CCGCAGGTAGGTGGCGGGGCCGCTAGTAGGTGGCGGGGCCGCATGTAGGTGGCGGGGCCGCTGGTAGATGGCGGGGCCGCACAGGCAAGTGGCGGGGCCGCGGAGGTAGGTGGCGGGGCCACACAGGTAGGTGGCGGGGCCGCGGAGGTAGGTGGCGGAGCCGCACAGTGAGGTGGCGGGGCCGCGAAGGTAGGTGGCGGGGCCGCACAGGTAGGTGGCGGGGCCGCGGAGGTAGGTGGCGGGGCCGCACAGGTAGGTGGCGGGGCCGCGAAGGTAGGTGGCGGGGCCGCACAGGTAGGTGGCGGGGCCGCGGAGGTAGGTGGCGGGGCCGCACAGTTAGGTGGCGGGGCCGCGAAGGTAGGTGGCGGGGCCGCACAGGTAGGTGGCGGGGCCGCGGAGGTAGGTGGCGGGGCCGCACAGGTAGGTGGCGGGGCCGCGAAGGTAGGTGGCGGGGCCGCGTAAGGTGGCGATGGGCGCGACGGGCGCGACGGGCGCGACGGGCGCGACGGGCGCGACGGGCGCGACAGGCGCGACGGGCGCGACGGGCCGAAAGGGCGGCGCGAAGGGCCGTAGGGGCGGCGCGACTCGGGCCGGAGCAAAACGCGCTCCGGGCAGGAAAAAAAAAAAAAAAATCGTGGTGGTGGGCCCTAGGAATCGTTCCCACTAGGGAACCTGCTCGATACCATGAGAAGAAACGAGGAATGGAATGACTAAGTGAAAGTTGGGTACAAAAAGCAAACCCTAGAAAACTGTACCCCATATGTGCCACCCCACTATAGCCTACAGTAGCTATGTCATATAAATCTGACATTTCGTACCTGGCGCTGTTACCTCACGGGAGCTGACGTCACCATCCGAACCGACCACAAGTCATTACAGTACATGCGCAGCCAACCACAACTCAACCCGCGACAAATTCGATGGCTCGACTACCTCGAGTCCAACTTCAGCTACACCATCACGTACAAAAAGGGCGCCAACAACATCGCCGACGCCCTGACCCGCCCATCAATGCAAACCGCAGCAGTACTAATCGCCCACTCCAATCCGTTATTGGCAGGATTATTCAAACACGGCTACAAGACTGACCGGTTCTTCAGGACCAACCAACACCAACGGGCCACCACGGCGCATGGGAGCTATTACCTAAAAGTCGGTACAAACCGAGTTTGGGTACCTTCCTACCGACCCTTACGAGAATTGCTGACGCAGGAGGTACATGACTCCAACCTCTACGGGCATTTCGGCGTCGACAAAACGTTGAAGCTGCTGCAACGGAATTATTACTGGCCCGACATGGCGTCGGACGTGCAGCACTACGTGTCCGCCTGCCCGACCTGCCAGGCAATGAAATCATCTCGACAACGCCCAGCTGGATTGCTGCAACCCCTCGAGCCACCCGAACGACCGTGGCAACATGTGACAATGGATTACGTCACCGGGCTGCCAGCTGGCACAAGTGGCAATGATTCGGTAATGGTCGTCGTCGACCGCCTAACGAAAATGGCGCATTTCGCACCATGCCGCACGACGATCACAGCCGAAGAAACAGCGAAGCTTTTCATCTCGACCGTCGTACGACTACACGGGTTACCTTCGGCGATCATCAGCGATCGGGATCCGAAATTTACGTCGAAGTTCTGGCAGGAGACCTGGGCACAATACGGCACCCGCCTGCAGTTTTCGTCGTCATACCACCCGCAAACCGACGGGCAGACCGAGAGGACCAACCAGACGATGGAGCAGTTGATTCGCACGAACTGCCCCGACATCACCAAGTGGGAAGACACACTCCCCATGCTTGAATTTGCGTACAACAACGCCCCGTCTGCGACGACCAATCAATCGCCGTTCTACCTTAATTACGGGATAGATCCGGTGGTACCCTCTTCAACGACTCCTGAAAATCCGGTGCCACGGTCGCAGCAGTTTGTTTCGGAACTTCAGCAAGCACGCGATAAGGCAGCGGAATTCATACGAAAGGCGAATACTACCGCCAGCCGCTACGCCGACCGACATCGACGGAACTTACCCTTCCGTGACGGGCAGATGGTTCTCCTGGACACAAAGAATCTCCGACTGCCCCAGCCTGCAAAATTGCGTCCCCGCTACGTGGGACCATTCCGCATCATTCAGATGCTGACCCCGGTCACAGCGAAACTTCTCCTACCGGATGACTGGAAAATTCACGATGCTTTCCACGTCAGCTTGCTTCGCCACTACGTGGCTCCGCAGCCGTCCGACGTCGCTCGACCTCACATTGCGCCAAGTGTCCGACCCGTCGCAGACCCGACACTCCAGCCCTGGAAGATTTTGAATCATCGCATCCGTGCGACACCAGCTGGACGATACGTTGATTTCCTCCTGCGGTGGGTGGATCGCACCAGCGACGATGACACGTGGGTCCCATCTGACTCACTACAGGGCCACTCGGTACTCCGGGATTATCTCTCCCGCCGACACGTGCCCGATGTTGACCACCTTTCTTAAAGGGGGGGGTAGTGTAAGGAATTTTCCTAATTCCTTACTGAGGCACTCCGTACGCGTACAAGTCCAACTTTTCGAAGTTCAGGCTCGGTCCGCTGACCTCGCCTTCCGAACGTCTACCGCGTCGCCTTCGGGTTTCCCAACCCCAAACCTACACCCGACCTTCGCGCGACTCCGCGACCTCGGCCTAGCTAGCCCTGCTATATTATGCCTAGGCCTCGCTGTTTGCTCAGTAGTTGTAATCACTTCCGCGTTATTGAATACTGCGCACTCTTCTTTCGTACAACTCATAACAGGCTGGGTATCCAGGAAGTGCAAGCGTTGTTTTGTTGAAGTGTTTGACCTTGATGTGGTGCCCACGTTGAATACGCGGGTCATGATGGATGGATGGGCTGAATAATATGCGCAAGTGACTGCTTGCATTAATTACATGTTTACAAACTGCACGAGCACATCACTAGGCACTCAAGTTTGATGGTAGTACACACAAGTGATGTGACTTTAGTATGATCGTACACTGAGGGATAGTGACGCACAGAAGCGGGGCAGCCTTTAACCTGCAGTTATGCTTGGTACTGTTGTTTGTTGTTGTTTGCTTTGCTCGAACAAAGGGCCCATCTCCTCCACTCACAGCACGGCACCCCTTTTTGGCAAAGGAAAGGAGTCTCGCGGAATTGAGTTTCGCGCCATCACGAACTTTTCATGGTTCCCCTCCAGAAGTATTGTGATTGGCCCTTGATGTGCCTGCCTCCATGCAGGATAAATGAAGCATGTCGAACCGCGCAAGGACGAACATGAAACATCGCTCTAGTGTCGTGAAATGCGATGCGGCTAGTTCGCAGAGTCACGTCTGCGACAGCCGAGAAGTCGCACAGCATTCTAAACTCGGCTCGCACTGGCAATCCAATTTTGCAGAACATTCACCGCTTGCAGTCGCTCGAAGTACCCCACCCCACGCCATCGCATGCCATGCGAATCTCGCGATCGTTGCCATCCGTTGAGTCAGGTCAGGACCATCGGGGCATACCCAGCATTGGGGGTCGCGAGGGAAAATGTATCTGCACGAGCGCAACTGGTATGCACCTCGTCCTCGACGCTAGCTAGTGGCGGAAGGGGCGGATTTTGTTCCTTGCCGTCACCATGTTACCGATTTTGAGCTCAATACCGTACTGTTATGTTTTTGAACGCGGCATACCGTACTAAACCTCTTTTAGTGCATACTGGCTTCTCGATTGACATGAATGGAGAGTTGAAACCATCCGTGAAACGCATGATATATGGTATTTTGCTGCTTATTTTTCAAGTCTGCCGCCATGGGGAGCCATCCGGATCGGCCTGCATGGATGTTCCAGCCACATATCAGGATCTTATTTGCAGAATTATTCTTCAGCGAAATAAATTGAGCCAACAAAGCCACGTGGTCATGCGAAGGGTGCCCCGAGTTTCGTCCGTAGCGTGCCATCGTCCGGGCGCGGTTCGTAAAGCTAACGGCCGTCTTAACCTTTCGCAACGCGATGCTCGCTTTCTTAGAACATGTCTTGGTCACACGAAACAAAAGTGGTCCTGATCTCGGAGACTGACATGCCGCGAGTCACTTGACATTCTGTTCATGACGCCGTCGTAAAACAATTCAACTTCGTCTATCTCGAACCATGCGATGACATTTCATAGAATGCTTAGCATACCGTTCGCGTCTGGTGCGACCACCTTTCAAGACCCGCGACAGTTTGCAAACGACCTTTTCGGCAAAACCATCGATGTTAATTCACCAGACATTATACTCGGACTCCGAGTGAATGCATCGGATGCCTAATGCTTTCCCAATGGACGATTCTGACATCTGCCAAATGAGCTTGACCTCATGTGGAAGTTTAGATTTTCCGGACCAATCCGAGCTTACAGACCTCGAAAGGACTCCTAGTCGAGCCATTTTCAGCAACCAGACTGTAAGGTCCGAGGAGTCTCAACCGGAAAGATTTCGCAAAGTAGAGTTTTCTAATAGGCGATGGCAACTTGGTCACGATACGCGACCTGACGGGAGGATGGAGCCTGATCCTAGCCTAGCGCCGGACAGCATCCCCCCCGACACCATGAAACCGACCCTTTCGCCTGTATTAGTTGACGCGAAAGCGGCTACCATCGCACCCGTGTCGCGAGCGAGTGTGGGGCTCAAAGCCACGTCGGAGAAAATCTTCGTGTCGGTCCGCGTGCGACCGCTGAATAGGAAGGAGGCGTCTAGCGGGGATAGGGTAGTATGGCGGATTCAAGAACCCAACACGCTCCATTTCCTGGAGCCGCTCCCCGAACGGTCGCCATATCCGGCTGCTTACACTTTCGGTAAGCGCTCAAATCTGTCCATCTTCTCGCTTACAAGACTGTTCAGCCCTAAATTGTGCACGTTCGTCCTGCTTAAACAAGCAGCACGAGTGTAGGGATTTTTTAGGAGGCATTCCGGTATGTACATGGAGGACTGCATTACCGAAGTCTGAAGACTCACCCTTGTCATGCTGCAGACCGTGCGTTCGGTCCCGCATGCCCATCGGATCGGGTCTACGCGGAAGGAGCCAAGAACATCGTGCTGTCAGCGCTGTCCGGGATCAACGGTGCGTTTTCTGCCTTGTAGCATTCGTACCACGGTCTCGTGATTTTCATTGTTCATTCTGGGCGCGTGATCATGAGAAGCATTCTGATTCCTGTGTTGCCGCTATTCTGTGTTTCCAGCGTCGATCTTTGCCTATGGCATGACAAGTAGTGGGAAGACTTACACCATGGAGGCTATTACTGATCTTGCTGCTTGCGACATCTTCACGCACATTCAAAAAGTGAGTTGTCTTTCACGGGATCCCCAGTGCAATTTTTTTTCAGAAACTTTGACAAAGTCAATCATTGTCACGGACATTCACAAAGCCATTTTTTTTCAGGGACATTGATTCTGTCACTTGATTTCACCGACATTTCCACTGTCAGATGGTTTCCATGGACATTCTCAATGCCGTTTTCTATTATGCACATTCAAATTGTCAGTTATCTTCATGGACGGTCAGTTCGTGAACATGCACAATATCAGTTGAATTCATGCAGGGTCCACAGTCCTAGTTGTCTCCATGAACATTGACGATCAGTTAACTTCATAGACATTCACAGAGCCAGTTATCTTCATGACTGGCAATGTCAGTCTTCAAGAGCTTCACAATGTCAGTTCGCGTCACGAACCTTCACAATGTCAGCTATCGTCATGGACGTTCACATCGTCAATTGCCTACGGACATCCAGAATGTCAGTTCGTGTCATGGATATTCACGAACTCATATTACATGGACGCTGGCGCTTCCAGTCATATTTCGGGAAAACTGACATAGTGCACGTCGTGTTTCGCTCTCCAGATTCGCAACGTTACATGTTATCATGAACATCACTATCATCACTTGACTTCGTGGACATTAATAATGTCATTTGTCAGCACAGTCACTCACGTTGTCATGTGTGTGTGTGCGTGTGTGTGTGTATGTGTGTGTGTGTGTGTGCGTGTGTGTATGCGTGTGTGTGTGTGCGTGTGTGTGTGTGCGTGTGTGTGTGTGTGTGTGTGCGTGTGTGTGTGTGTGCGTGTGTGTATGTGTGCGTGTGTGTGTGTGTGCGTGTGTGTGTGTGCGTGTGTGTGTGTGTGTGTGCGTGTGTGTGTGTGTGTGTGTGTGTGTGTGTGTGTGATGCGCAATGTGCATACCTGGGCAGAATCCGCATCGCAGCTTCCTGGTGAAGCTGTCAGCCATCGAGATCTACAACGAGATTGTCAGGGACCTCCTCAACCCCGACTCTGGGCCCCTTAGGCTCCTCGATGATCCCGAGGTAATTATTTAACCATGCAGTCTACAATTGTGCACTGTTTGAATGTTCCTGACAATCTCAAGGTACCCTCGCATTTGAACCATGACGATCCCATAATGCTCGTGTAAGTCAGGTCATAAACCCCAAAGCTCCCCTTCCTCTTGACCATTGTCGACCCAGTAATCAATGCGATGTACCCTCACAGCAGCTGCAGGCTGAATTGGTTGAATGAAACGTTCCCTTCCCGCCTTACTCCCACCATCCCTTGCACGCAGAGAGGCACAGTGGTGGAGCGACTGACAGAAGTGGGCGTGGAGTCCAAGGGGGAGTTGCAGCAGCTGCTGGCGCAGTGCGCGGCGCACAGGGAGGTGGGCGAGACGTCTCTCAACGATGCCAGCTCCAGGTCGCACCAGATCATTCGCCTCGTGAGTGTGGCGTATATGGTGTGTGTGTGATGTGTGCGGTCAGTGCATGTGTGCGCTGAACGAGTGTGTGTGCGATCCTTCAGTTACACCCTCGCTATATTTCCACGCTCCTCTGGTGCTGCCGTCCCTCCCTCCATTACCTTCCCCCCATCCACTCTCCCGCACCATCTTCTCACGTTCTCATTTTTCCCGTTTTCATTTCCTCATCCTCCTCATTTGCTCCTTTTCTCATCTCCCTAGCTGGTGGAGAGCTGTCCCAACGCAATGTCACGAGCGTCACCACCTCCTCCTCCCCCTCCACCGGCCACACCTGTGCCAACAGACGCTGCTGCCGCCCAAATGCTCTCTGCCACGCTGGTGAGTGACTTGCGCTTCTCTATCCCGTGTGCGGGATCCGATTGAGCGATTAGACTCTGGATCTGCTTTATTTTCATGCCCTACTAGCTTTACTCTCTCTTGCTTCCGTGATGTAACTTCCCCCCTGCCCTACCCGCCATGCTCTTCGTCCCTCAACAACACCAGCCACTTCTCTTCCCCTGGCTTTCCAGCACCTCTCTCACGAAATTATATCGCCTGTCTTCTCCCTTCTCCTCCCATTCTCCGTCCCCTCTGGTCCCATCCCCTTCCTCTGCTCTGCCCCTCCCAATGAAAACGGGCCACGTGGCTGCATCAGAACTTTGTGGACCTGGCGGGCAGTGAGAGGGCGTCTCAGACGCACGTGGCGGGCACACGTCTCAAGGAGGGGTGCCACATCAACAGGAGCCTGCTCACCCTTGCCACCGTGATCCGCAAGTTGAGCACGGGCAGCAGGGCCAAGGCGGGGCACATCCCCTACCGGGACTCCAAGCTCACGCGAATCCTGCAGCAGTCGCTGGGGGGCAACGGGCGCACTGCCATCATCACCACCATCAGCGCGGGGAAGACCCACCTGGACCAGACTCGCAACACGCTCGCGTTTGCACTGAGAGCCAAGGAAGTCACCAACTCGGCTTGTGTCAACGTGGTGAGTGGCTTTGCTGCGATTTATTTTGTGTGGGAGCGTGCAGTGTGTGTAGGCGGTGGATTGTGCTGTGTGGGAGGGTGCTCAGGGTGGGTGTATGGGTTTGCACAGCATCTTACTCCCTCCTTACTGCGTCATTTCATCCGCCTCTCTGCTTTCCTACTCCATCCCTCTCCTTACCACCTTCCTCCATCTCTCTCCCTTACCCCCTACCTTTATCCCTCTCCTTACCCCATTACTCCATCCCTCTCCCTTACCCCTCCATCTCTCTCACCCTGATGATCCCACCAGGTGGTGACGGACAGGGTGCTGGTGGAGCAGCTGCAGAGGGGAGGTGGAGCGGCGCTTCTTCATCCTTCTCTTGTATCCCCTGCCTTCCCTCTCCCTTATCGCCTGCCGTTGCTCTGCCAACCCGCCACCCCTCTCCCCCACCAGGTGGTGACGGACAGAGCACTGGTGGAGCAGCTGCAGAGGGAGGTGGCGCGGCTGGAGGGCGAGATGAGGCTGCGCCCGTCCAGAGAGCAGTTCCACCAACAGGCCGTGCGCATGCAGCAGGTAACAGGGGAGGAGGGATGTGGGTTGGAATGGAAGGAGGTGTGTGGTCGGTGGTGAGGGGGGGGAGAGGCGTGCAGCAGATGTGTGGGGAGGAGGGAGGACTGTGGCATGTGGGTGGGTGGGGAGAGAACACAACTCCTCTGCAGCCCCTCCAGACCAAGCAACACCGCACGCCCTTTGCTCCCTTCTCCATCCCCCCCTCCCCCCCACCCAACACGCCAGTTGGAGGCGGAGCTGTCGCTGGCTGCGAGGCAGCAGAGCGAGGCACTGGCACAGGTGCAGCACCTCACACACGCGCTCTCCGCTGCTTCCTCCTGCCACAGCTGGTCCAACGGCGGGTCCCATGGCAGGCGACGGGCGCACGCAGCCTGGCAGAGTGGCAAGGTATGCTCCTCTTTTATTCACGGGGGGAAGGCGCAAGCAGCTTGGTAGAGCAGCAAGGTAGGACCATGAGGGGTGTGGTAGATGGCAAAGGTGGTGCCTTTTACTCTCTTTGCATTTTTGCACTTATGCTGACCCTGCACTCTTCCTCCACTCTTTTGTACTTGGCCTTCTCGCTATCTTGCCCTCTTGCCTTCTCTGCACCCTCGCCACCCTTCCTCTCTGAGCTCTATTTTCCTGTGTTTCTACCGCCATGCGGTTCTCTCCACTCCAGCCAGCGACCGTCACTTTGCCCGACCCCGCCCCTTTCTCTCTCCCTGTTCTTGATATTTTGTGCCATCCTTCGCGTCCCCTCCTTCCCTGCAGGTGACTTTTGAGGCGCCTCAAAAGCCATCCCGCCCCTTTCTCTCTCCCTGTTCTTGATATTTTGTGCTATCCTTCGTGTCCCCCCTTTCCCTGCAGGTGCACCCAATCTCCAGCATCAACGTCTCAGAGTCATCTGACGACGAGGCGGACGGCTGGGATCGCTTCACGCCAACCTGCTTCCCGGCATCCAAGCCGTTGGATCTCGTGCTGCCCACGTGCTTCCCCGGTAGCTTCACCAGGCGACCCAGACCCAGCAAGCAGCAGAGGGAGAAAGACGCCTCGTTTCATGCCTCCGCTGCAGCTGCTGTTGCCACACAGGGGTTGGTGGATGGGAAGGTAGCGCCAGGGGAAGGGGTAGCACAGCTGGCAGGTGGGCTGGTTGTGGGCGGCAGATGGTTGTCCTCTAGCAACAGTGGCTGCGATGCTGCAGGGGACGGCGGTCATACCCGCGGGATCTCCAAGTCGAGATTTGCCAGCAGCAGTAGCAGCATGGGAGGGAGAAGGGAGAGAGACGGGCATGGTGAAGTGGCCGTGGGGGTGAGCGGGAGGGGAGGAGAGCAGCAGGCGCGTGCAACAAGGGGACGTATCACATGGGAGGAGAGCGCGAGAGCGAGGGAGGGAGAGCGGCAGTGGGAGCAGCACGAGGGAGGGGAAGCCGACGAGCGAGAGATCAGCCAGAGGAGGAGCGGGAGGCTAGGAAGGGACCAGGGAGGAGACTCGTTTGGCAGAGACAGCATGTCCCGCCAGTCCCTGCAGTCCCTCCATTCGCTCCAGTCGCTGGAAGCGTGGGTGGCGGGGGACAGGGCGAGGGAGAGGCGGCGGCGGCGCAAGGCGGTGAGCGCCAAGGTGCTGTCGCTGATGCACGAGATCCAGCGCCTGGAGAAGCTGCAGGACGCCCTGGGGGACGACGTGGGGCGGGCCATGGGTGCTCTTCAGGGGGAGATGGAGCGCATGAGAGCCAGGCAGCATGGGCAGGCGCATGGACGCAGGCAGGGGCAGGGGCAGGGGCAGGGGCAGGAGAGTGAGGGTCTGTCAGAAGGCGGCGTGCAAACGCCCCTCAGCCACCTCTCTGGTATCCTGACGCCCCCATACCACTGCGTGTCTGGACTTCTCACCCCCTCCTCCAACATCTCCTCCTGTTACGCGTCTGGCCTCCTCACCCCGCTCTCTCACCAGCTCTCTGGCCTTCTCACGCCCTCGTTAGCCTCCCAGCCTGTGTCAGGCTGCTTGTCCACTGCTGGTGGCGCTGCTGCCATTGCTGCTGCCACTGCTGCCGCCACTGCTGCTGCCACTGCCACGGGGGGGAGTGCAAGCAGGGGGGCTTCTTGTGCTGCTGCGAGCAGGGATGGGGACGAAGGGCGTGCCAGCTTGCTCCAGCTCCATGCAGAGCTGTCGAGGCTCACAGTGAGAGATGAGAATGAAGCGGAGCAACGGAGCAACGGAGCTTCAGCTATTGCTGCCCCTGCTGCTGCTGCTCCTGCAGCTGCTGCTGATGATTCGGCCGAAATCGCAGCTGCCCCTGCTGCAGAGGGAGCGAGGGAGCTTCTAGCTGCTGCTGACGCTGGGGTTGCAGGGATAGGGTTTGACATGGGATGCCTTGCGGACCCCTCTGGCATGACCCGGTCCTCCTCCCAGGACCTCCAGCGGATGGAGTTCCTGTTCCAGTCGGCAGCCGAGGTGAACGTGGCGAGCATCCGCACGTACGTGCTTGAACTGAAGGAGATTGTAGCGAAGCTGCACTACCAGAAGCAGCTGCTGGTGAAGCAGGTGGTCGAGCTGGAGGCGGGTCGACTGGGCGAGGAGGACGAGGATGAGATGGAGGAGGATGATGAGGAGGATGAGGAGGCAGAGGGAGAGGGAGCTGGGGACAGAGACTGGGGCAACGAGGAGGAGGATCGAGGGATGGGGAGAGCACAGGGGGGACGAGAGGCCAATGGTAGAGAGAGAAGAGGGCGATGGAACCGAACAGCTTCAGGGCATGCTTCTGGAGCAGCATGCATTGACACACCCGGCAACGCTCGTCCCCGACAGCATCAGCCTGGCCTTCCCCCCTATATTGTTCCACACTTTGAATCGGGGTTCAGGGAGGAGATGAGAGAGACTGTGGTGCTGTGGGACCGCTGCCAGGTGTCGCTCATCCGTCGCACGCAGCTGTTCCTCGTGCTGATGCAAGGAGAGCCGTCGGATCGGGTATATCTGCAGGTGGAGAGGCGCCGGCTGCAGTGGCTCGTACAGCACGTGGGGGCAGAGGGACAGGCCGCCAGGTAAGCCTCTTCTTGGGTGTTTGGCATGTGACAAACACGTGGGGAGAGGAAGGGCCAACATGTGTATGCCTCAAACTACAGGGCGTGCTGATGGTGTACTTCCAAAGTCCCTGTGGTCTCATCGACTCTCTACCTTGCTCGATGCAGATTCATTCTCTGCTCTGATCTGATGGTGTACATTCTTTCTCCCTTCCTGCCCCCCTCTCTCCCCTTGTCTTTTCCCATGGCTCCACATTATCGTGTCGCGGTTGGTACTCCAGGGAGAGGGAGCTGAGGAAGGAGAGGGAGTACCTGGCCCAGCGAATGGCCCACTGCTTCACACTCCATCACCGCCTCGAGCTCTTCCGCCAGTGGGGCATTGCCACGTCATCGCGCCAACGCAAGCGCCAGCTGGTTGTGGTCCTGTGGAGCCGGCCGCTCGATGAGCGCCACACGGAGGCTAGTGCTCGGATCGTGGGACGGCTGACTGGGATGATTGAAAGTAGCGCAGGGGAAGGAGGTGGAGAGAGAGGAGGTGTGGCTGGTTGGAAAGGAAGCGGAGGGAGGGATGTGTTGAGATTGTGCAGGGAGATGCTCGAGTTGCGGCTGATTGTGCCCTCTGGATATCGGGGGCTCATGGCAAAACGGCGGCGGAAATGGTTTTGAAAGGGTGTGGAAGAAACTCTGCTGACAGACGTGGAAACACGGTACGATGCCGTAAACATAAACAGCTGAATCTGGTGCATTCAGGCCAAACAGGGAGACGCTACAGGTGAACAACGACAGGAGAATAGCAGCATTAGCTGTCTATACTATTATATACATGTTATGTTATACTAAATAAATGGCTTTTAGTATTGCCAACGGTTATGCCTGAAATTGAAGGTATTTACAGATATTGCTTACACAGCTCTCTACACAGGATTCTAGGAGCATATTCTTGCAGCTAACCAACTAAACTACCAACCCACCAGGCCACACATATCCATGTAGCTAAAATCCGCTGTAGTTGCGATAATCTTGGAACCAATTCGACCTTTCAGGGGCCCTCGATCTGCTCCTGGTTGGCTCTGTTCTCCAGTCCAGAGACCCAGCACATCTTTCAGAAAGCAGCAACATTGCATTCAGATTATCAGCTGCAACAGATCTCGTCATTTCTGGCCGCTCCAGGTAATCCATGGAACTCGCTCGCCATAGTGTTGTGAAAAGCGCCTCATCGTTGGCTGGTTGATGTGTCGCAGATGCGTCTGATCGTCGAGACGATGAACTATTGCGTGCACGACGAACTCTTTGAGATGACGGAACCAGAAAACAGGTGCTCCCAGGCTGAATAACAGCACTTGGTCGAAGAGGATTGACGGGATCCGAATCCACGCAGACAACAAACTCGGGATAATCTTGCTGAACCTGCCGTACCGTCACCCGGTCCCAGTAGAGTCGAGCTGCTCCGCTTGGAAGAAGGAGAACGCACGGCGAGGATCCCATTATGGGATGAAGATCGGAGCGAGGAGATGCGGAGAAGGTGAAATTGTTTACTGCTCGCAAACTTGACACAGGGCGCTGTTCTAAGACAACGTGAGCTCTGCAGATGGCTTATTATGTTTATCCTGAGCTATCCTCCTGTCAGTGCAACGCAAGGACGTACGCTTCCTATAAGCATGAAGGAACATTCGAGCGGTTAGCCTGGTTCATGCTTTTATGCTGCTACCGTTTCGAGGTGCAGCAGAAGGAAATTAATTCGATTCTAATACAGAAGGCGGAAGCTCCAACTGATCAGATCGCAGCCATTGCGGGATACGGCGAAAGGCAGGACAGAAGGCCCTGAGGAAGAACCAAGGAGTATCAATCCGGCCCGATTTTGGAGCGCAATGCACCGAAGCGCTGAGTGGCTTTTAAGTCGACTCAAAGGGTACTGGGGTGGGAGAAAGTACCTTGTCCGTTGCATAAGCGCGACCGAGACGGGTAAGTAAGCACATAACGTGCGGAAAAGCAGGAAAGCGACGTTTTGTCGATCACCGTGCATGGGCTCTCTTGAATCGACTTGCTCAGTTGAAGAATGCAGAAAACGGCGTCTCCGCAAGCTTGTGCGACTTGCGTGAAACATGTTCCCGACGTGCTGCTAAACGGCAGTCTCGTCACGTGATGATGTACTCATGTCGTGGACCGACATGCTGTCGAACGACGTGTAATGTTCACGAACGTCAGAGCTGCCTACTACAGTACTTCAAGTACGCACATTTACGCACATTTTAGAGGAAAGCCTACGTTGGTTCTAGAAATAATTGTTTGTCGTTATCTTGGCCTCGAGCTGTCGGGGAACTGGATTTGATCATGCTCCTCGTACAATAGAGTCCGCTCCAGGAGCCTTCACTAGTAAAATGCTCGTCGCTCGTACACTACGTGTTCTAAAAAGCGACGCCTTCGAGCCAACTTGGACGTGACGGTTTTAAATACGGCCCTGAGCTACTGTAACGGAAGGTGTGCATGAGGAGCACAAGCTCGACCGATAACAGAAGGATAAAAAGTGCCACTTGGGGAAGGTAGTGGAAGATAGTTCACGTGGGGCGGTGCTCCCAGGAATGCCGTTTCGGAATGTGGCTCAAATTTGGGTCCAAGTCTGGTCCGCAACGGACGGTCTGTTGTTGAAGGGTCCAACGAACCTGTCCATTTCAGTTGCTGCTGAGTCCATGAGCGGAATTCTGACTCCCGCCCCGAGGCCGACACTGCCTGCGGTGCATGGAGCAATGTGACCAACAAGAACCTTTCATCCTCCACATAAGAGCATGATTCGACACAACATTTTTCAAATACAAAAGTAACAATAGATAATTTACAAGAGCATCAATTTCCAGTGGAATTTCACTATCTGGATCCGTCAAACCAGTTAGCCACTGCAATGTTCAGTGGCATGAGCATCCAGTCAGATGCAAACGATGTCCAATAGCTGGTGCCGCCAATACCATGTGCATATGCATTCAACAGGAACACTCTGATATTGTCGTGTGGATCATTGGCGTATTCCTGCAGGGAGGTGGTTACAATGGAGCCATGGTTCAGCACTGCAGTGCGTTCTTCAGGTCGACAGCCCTGCTGCTGCTGTTGCTGCTGCTGTTTTCCTCGTTGCTTCTTCTGAAGTGGCTGCTGCATTTGGTTCCGTTCTTGCACCTGCTGCTCCTTTGCAGTGTAGCCGTTCTTGCTTTGACCGGCACCAAAGCTGCTGCCGGGTCTGCTCCCAGCCTGATCACCAGTGTTACTACTAGCAACAACATTACTGTCACCATTGCTCCCGTTGCTGCTCCTGCTGCTCTCCGCTATGTTGACGCCACCTGAACCAGCTTCACCGTAACCACTTCCCAAAAAGCCTTCGTGGTAATCACTGTCAACCATGCCAACACTTGTGAATACAGCACCGCCATCATCACCCAGCAGCTTCGGCTTTGGTGTCTCCCCATCAACCCCTCCTCTCAAACCTCCCCTCCCTCCCGCCAGCCTGCCCCCCTCCCCTCCTCCCCCCATTCCAGCGCCTCCTGTCCAGAACCCCGCTCCGCCACTCAAGCCCCCTCCCGCTCCCCCCCCCGGCACCCCATCGAAGACCAAAGAGACATTCCTTGGCGTGCTCATGGCCCCAGGGCAGCTGGCCGCCAATCATGAGCGTTATGGGGTCGAAGAGCGTGTTGAGGATGAATATATCGGAGGTGACATAAGCGAGCGAGTACTGTGGGAAGAAGCAGCGCCACTGGGCGTGGCTTGGAAGTGCTGCAGAGGGGGGGTACCGGGAGAGGGAGAGGGGAAGGGGGTGGGGAGGGGGAGGGAGAGCTTTGAAGCAACAGGAGGAAAGATTCAAGAAGAACTTTACAAGAAGCTAAAGGTTCTAAGAACCTAGAGATTTGAGGAGCCTCAAACATGGCCTCACACAGAGGACAGGACCCTCACCCTGGTTGCACTTGGGGTTGAACATCTGGTGCAGCTGTGTCGCATTCTCTGCGATCTCTCTGAAAAAGGAACGCCCCCTCCTGTCAGGCGCGTCTGATGGCGGGGAGGCAGGCGCGGAGGCGGGGTGGGGGCAGTGCGTGGCGTAGGATGAGAACCCCAGGTGATGCCAGCATTGCGTGCGACTCTACAGGTGAGTGGCATGGATGATTCACACATGGGGGCGAGGCACATGGGTGCAATGCATGTGTGTCTCACACAGCAATGAAGGTGACCTTTGGGTCGACCTAAAAGTCGCATGGGTGCAATGCATGTGGGGTGTGTACGTGTGGTGAGGTGCATGGGTGACGGGAGCAAGGCATGTACGCCGCACACACCAATGAAGAAGCCTGCATCAGCGAGGCACTTGACAGTGCATGGGTGAGGTGCATGGGTGCGGCGAGGTGCATGGGTGCGGCGAGGTGCATTGTTGCGATGCATCATGGATGCAGCATGTACGTTGCACGCACCAATGAAGAAGCCTGCATCTGATAGGCACTTGACAGTGGCGAAGGAGAGGTAGGCTGCGATATAGTCACACAGGTTCACGACTGCTTGCCCCCCAGGTGACTCCCCCGTTATTAGCACCTGTTGAGCTGCCATGAGCCCCTTGGTTGACAGGTCTGAGGAGAGTGTGCGTCATTGGATGGGGGAAGGGAGGAGGTATGAGTGTGTTTGCACAAATGCGTGTGTGTGAGTGTGCAAAAGACAAGCAAGCACATGCCCAAAGCTCAGCAATGACTGAATCTCCAAAAAGGGAGCCGGCTAGAAGAGGAAGGGGGGGGTTGGAGCGGAGCGGAGGAGTAGGAGAATGCACTCACCCCATCCGGAATCGCCATGACGATCTTCCAGCTGTCTATTCAAAGGCCAGAGACAGGCAGGAGAATCGCTCCCATTCAGGGGGCATGGGAAAAGGCAAGGCACGCACCATGGACAATGGCCATGATGATTTTCCACCCGTCCATGTGGAGTGTTGTGTTGCCCACAGCCACCTCGCCCCGTCGCCCCACGTACCCGCCCCCATCGCAGTACACTGCGACTGCCAGGTTCCACTCGCCAAAACCCGGGTTTACGTCCGGGTCTGCACTCATGATGCCTGGCAGCCATGCCGGCTGGTGGAGGGGGGGGAGAAGGGATAGTGGGAGTTGGATTGAGGTGGTTCTGAGATGGCCTAGCACTGAGACCCCACACGCCCCACGTACCCACCCCCATCGCAGTACACTGCAATGCCCGGGTTCCACTCGCCGAAACCGCGGTTCACGTCCGGGTCTGCACTCATGATGCCTGGTAGCCATGCCGGCTGGTGGAGGGGAAAGAGGATAGTGGGAGATCGATTGAATTGGCTCTTTATATCAGTGCACGGTTATTCTCCCTTCAATACACGCACATCAAGCCTTTTCAGTGCACAGCACGCACATTCGAATCCTTAAAACGTACAGCACTCGCATCAATATCCTTCGATACATGCACCCGCATTCCCCTTCAAACACATGCACGATCATTGCCCTGGGCCACAGGCGCGACGACCCCAGCTTCCTCCCCGCTTCCCTTCAATCCACGCACTTGAACTCCTCATCACACCCTCATTTCCCCTTCGATACACGCACATTCATTCCCCCGTTACACGCACGATCATTGCCCGGGGCCACAGGCGCGACGACCCCAGCTTTCTCCCGGCGCGCCACGCGCACGTCTCCTCGGTGGTGCACCACCCGCCGCCCGGCAGGTGGATGTGCCAGAAGCGGCTCAGCGACGGCCGCGCGCGCCGCAGGTAGTACCCGGGGGAACTGGGGGAGGCGGGCGGGGAAGGAAGCCGGGAGGAAGACGGGAAAACAATGGGGGGAAGGGAGAGAGATGGGAAGGGGACTGGGGAGGAAGGAGGGGGGGAGGAGGGAAGGAGAGGTGGGAGGGGGGTTCGGGCGGGGGGAAGGGGAAATGGAGAAGAAAGCCCCGGGAAAGGGGAGAGGGGTGCAGAGGAGGAAAACATCGGTTTAGTCCGGTTCGGCGACGCTTTTCGCTCATAGGAATAGGCGCTTATTGTATGTTAACGGAGAAGGAAACACAACACAATTAAAGACCAAGCGACGAGTAAGTAACTTTCTTCGTTGACGAAAGGCCGCTGTGGGGTTACCTGCCGTCGAGGCATTTCGCGCCGAAGGGATTGTCTGGAAGGAGGGTCAAGGGAACGGGAGCCGCTTGTAGCGGACCCGCTTTATACGCCGCTACTCCGTTCCCGTCAGCCGCCTTCGTTCCCCGATATTTAAAGTCGCCATTGGCGTGAACAGCGGTGGCGACTAACAGTCCAGTCAGCAGTAACAGAGATACTTGTAACACAAGTAGTCGCGACGTAAGTGAATGAGTACACGAGTGCGCTCCTGCCCGACTCAACGAAGGAGCCGGATTTAGTGACAGCGCTGCGCTGTTCTTACGGCGATTGTTCCTACAGCAGCTGGATTGACGGCGACTAAGGGAGCTTGAGTGCATCGACGATCCCGAGTTACTTGCTGCCATTCTAGCGGCCGGTGCGGGCTCTAAAAGCTCTAAACGCTTCGTCTGTTTAAGGTAAAGCAGACACTCTTTGTCGCCTAGCCATTCTCATGATGATCTGGAAAGGGCGTCGCCGATCGTGTAAATGTTCGGTCGGCGTGTCATTTGACACGAGATGTAACGTAGAATGAACCCGTGTGGCTGCTTCACAGGGCCTCCCTGGTCATCAACGGGTATAAGGGCGCATCACCTCGGGGCTGGAAGGCCCAAATCCGAACATACGTAACGAATTCACTGTACGAACAGTTTCCTGACGAGATCCGAACACAAATTTGAACACCTTGGTGAATGGACAGCTCGTGACTAGAGGTGACAGCCTGTTCGAACATGCGACGTCGCCAAGTGTTGGACGACTTCGCGAAACGTCGCAAGAAAATAGTTCAGTCGTCTGCCATTCAAGTTTGACTCATTTTTCGCCCATCCAGTCAAAATGTCTCTTCGTGCTCTTCTACTACTGCTCACCTTGTTGTTCCCAACAACAATGTCCTTTTCGATGAACTTTCTCCTGCATGGCGACATTTGCAATGGTCGCAAACATTCGTGTACGACCCGAAGCCTGCTAACCAATCAAATCAGTCGTCCATGCGGAATCCCTGACGCCAAACCCAACTTTGTTCGAACAACTCTGTTCGAACGTGAGGAATGGAGAGCTTCGTGCCCCGTGTGACAGCTCTGTTCAGATTCGCGAAATTTCCGACTAGCGACGTCACGAACACCCATACGAGGAGTGGCGAAAAATGTAACTTTTCGCCTGTTCGAACAAACGTGCTGTTCGAACTGAGAGGTGAAGCGCCCTAAATCAAACTGCGAGAGTGAGGGACAAGGAAGCTAACAGAACGAGGCTCAGGTATGGAAGATCAGCTAGTGTCTTGCAGGCTAGAGAGGCGTTGAGGCGGCTGGTCAAGTAGTGGCGTACACCTGAGTTGGTTGGTTGCTGTGCTGAGCTCAACAAGCAAGGGTTGTTGCGTCACGACCAGTGGCGGCGGATGGTGAAAACTCGGTCGGACCATTCGGTTCGGAAAGTCTTCTATTTCCGAGCGTGGGCAATCCTCAAGGTTGTGACTCGTGGTGTGGGCAATCCCAGGAAGGGCAATCCCTGGGAGGGCAGCCCGAGCCCACAAAAAAAGGTGAGAGCCAATCGCGCAGCAATATCGGCCACGGAAAGCAGCTTCGAGGTGGCCTAAGGAAAGCGAGCTTTTAGGGTTCAGAGCAGTTTTTATACAATTTTAAGGTCACAGATACAATCTATCAGATTTATTACAAACGCGTACGATTTTATTTGCAACTCCAGTTCTGGTTGCGGCTACGTGGAGGGCGGAGGACCTCGCGCACCCACTCCACCCCATGCAGGGCGCAGTGCGCAGCTCGCAATGCGCACACGTAAGTCGCAGAGGAACCCCAGCAGTGCACTGCGCACCGCCGATATTCCCCAGCCAATCACGCGCTGCAGCAAGATGGCGTCAAGCAGACGAGCGACGTCAATCAAACACAGCAGTGGATGAGATGAGACGAGACTTGCTCTCCCGCGCGCGCTCGCTACTCCCCTCCCTCCCCCCAGCAATCGTCAAGCGGAAGGCAGTCATACTGCAATGACAGCTGAGCTCCCCCTGTGCGCAACCTGCGCTAACAGGGTTGCGTTTGCGGAAGGCACCATTCACGCGGAGAGCGCTCGTGAGAAAAGGGCGAGGAGTCGTTGATAAGGGAGAGCCGTTTGAGCAATTTCAGCATTTCAGCTTTTCCTAGCACACTAGGTGACTAGGGACTAAAGTTGCGTGTTGCTAGGAGGAGGCTCGTAATAACCGACGGCTAGGTCAAGGTCCTGATTTAGATGCTAATATGAATGCACTTTCAGTACAATACTGATTTTCTCAGGGAGCATTAGTTTAGCTCAACTTTGACTGCTCGTGTTCGGTTCGCGGTCGGACAACGGTTTTAGTTCAGGCCGTCTTCTGTTACAACCAGCAGCGTTCATCTTTTTTTTCGTCCGCACACCAGTCCTTGTTCACATCGTCCGATCGCTGCATTTTCTCCATAGCTGTTGCCGTCTTTCGCGCTCCTCGGACTTGTCGCTGGCGACAGCTGACGGGTCCTCCACAGTCCTATTCCATGTCTGACGTAGTCGCGACGTCGTCGTTGCCGCGATCCTCGTGTCCGTCGCGCTGTTGAGGAGCTATTTCTTGTTAACTTTGGGTTACTTCCGCCGCCGTCGTCGTCGTCGCCGTTGCCGTCGCTGTCGTCGTAGTCGTCGTCGCGATGTTCTTTTCGCAGCTATTTTTGTCGAAGAAGGGCGCGCTCGGCCCGATATGGATAGCGGCGCATCTGGAGCGGAAGCTGCGGAAGAATCAGATTTACGAAACCGACATCCCGCAGACCGTCGGTGAGGAACGCTTTCAGCGGGCCCTTGCCAACTTGGTTCTCGGGCTTTAAAGCTTTTAAAGCTTACGTTTCTGTGTGTTTACTTTCGCGCTAAAAAAAAATCGCCGCTGTCTTGTCTGATTGTCCTAGTCTTCTATCCGCGGCGTGCATAGAAGTTGCTGTATCGTTCGTACGCTTTATCAGATTTCGACGTTTAATCCCCGTCGTGGTAACCGTTGCACAAGCTAAACCGTTACACTCACCACACCCCTCTCCCCCACCTCCCCCCCCTCCCCCACCACACCCCTCTCCCCCACCTCCCCCCCTCCCCTCAGACACCATTCTTCACCCCGAGGTCCCCATCGCGCTGCGGCTGTCGGGGCATCTACTGCTCGGCGTCGTGCGAATATACTCGCGGAAGGTACACTACTCTTGATTGATGCTTTTCTCTCCTTGTTTCATTGCTGATGCTTCAGCAGTGCGCATGGCGTGTGCACTGAATCGAGCATGATGCATTGTGAGCTGTGAAATGCTCTCTTACTCTCTCCGCTGGAAGGCCGTTGCGACGTTATGGGTGTAATAACCTTGTAAAGTAACCTTGTTGTCCTTCCCTCGCCCGTTGCCCCCCCAGGTGGGCTATCTGTACGCGGATTGCTCCGATGCGGTGCTGCGCATGAAGCAGGTATGCACTAATAATACTCTTTAAAACTCATTTATTACATAAAAAATTCTTCCTTCTGCACTCGTTGTCGGTCTGTGGGCTTACCTTTTTTTTGTATCAAACTCCTCTCCCACGTCTGCTTAATCCCCAGTGACATGTAAAAACGGCTTTTAGGTTTCAGTATGCACATTCTGCATGTTTTTATCTCGTTGTACCCCTCATTGTTGGCACTCGTCTCTCGCTCTCCGCCCCTCCCCACCAGGTATTGGCGCGAGCAGCGGTGGACCTGCCCCCAGAGGCGGCAACGGCGTCGTTCCATGCCATCACTCTCCCGGAGCACTTCGAACTCGAGGAGCTGCTCGCCCTGCCTGACGGCGTGTTCGAGCTGCAACCTGGGTGAGAGGAGGAGAGACGGTTAGGGGCGTGGTGTGGGTCAGGGGAGCGTGTATGTGAGCAATATGGAAGAATGCATGAGCGTCGTAACACTTTGAACTCGAGGAGCTGCTCGCACTGCCTGACGGCGTGTTCGAGCTGCAACCTGGGTGAGAAATTTAGAGGCGCGTAGGGGTAATTGTGGGTTAGGGGGAATGTGCAGGTGACCAGTGTGCAACAGCGTCGTTCCATGCCATCACTCTGCCAGAGCACTTCGAGTTGGAGGAGCTGCTTGCTTTGCCTGATGGCGTATTCGAGCTGCCACCTGGGTGAGACGGGGAGACAAGGGTAGAGGCGTGGTGTGACGGCCAACGTGAGGGCCATGGTTACGGGCATGTGAGCAATATGGCAGTATGCAACAGCGACGTTCCATGCCATCTCTCTGCCGGAGCACTTGGAGCTCGATTAGCTGCTCGCCCTGCCTGACGGGTTCTTCGAGCTGCAGCGGGGGTGAGAGGAGGAGAGGCAGGTAGGAGCAACTGTGGGTTAGGGGCTTGCACGAGCGAGTAGTTATTCGCCCTGCCTGCCAGGGAGAGCACTTGGAGTGGAAGGACCTGCTCGCCCTGCCTGACGGGGCCTTGGAGCTTCAACCCGGGTGAGGCGGGAAGCGGTCTCCCTGGTGTGCTACTGCCTGCTTTCGTTCCTTCTTTCTCATCATGATCTGACCCGTCTTTTGTGTGTCGTGGTTGTGTGGGGTGCAGGGCGGTGGACAAGAGTCTCACCACTCGAGAGCAGATCACTCTACCGGAGCCGCCGCCTGTTGATGATGGCTACGCGTTTGGCTCGCAGTATCGACTGGACGGTGGGTGGTGGTGGTTTATGCGCGTGCTCGGGTGTAATTACGTATGTGCATGCGTGTAGCGGTTTCAGGAATATTGCACGTGTGTACAGTGAATAATTTAGACGTCTAAAAAAATCACTGTATGCACGTGGTGGTTATGCGTCTGGATCACAGTTAACCTTTCGCAGAGCAACTTCCCAGTGGTGGAGGTGGGTTTTGTGATGCGGCAGGTTTGAATGGGCACTGTTTTCTGAGAATTCTAAAAAAAAAAACACTGTTTTCCCCAAGGAAAGCTGCCTCAAAATGCTCGTCGTCTCGTGGCCCTGCTCCCCCCGCCCCCACTCGATGCAGAGCAATTCGCGGTGGTGGAGGAGGGTGCGGTGATGCGGCTGGTGGAAGAAGGCGAGGAGGACGGCGAGCCATGGCTTCCCCGTGACGTGGCCCACGAGGAGGCACGAGAGGGAGGCAAGGCGGGAGGGGAGGCGACGGCAGCGGATGAAGGGAGGGAGGCGGAGGAGGTGGCGGAGGAGAGGGGGATGGGGGGAGAAGGGGTTGTGGGGGCGGGGGGGGCGTATGAGCCTGAAGCGGGCCTGGAGGGGTATGAGCCTGAGGCAGGGCTCATGGAGCCCATGGATCTGGACATGGGGTTTGGCGCGGGGATGGAGATGGGTGGCGATGGGTTGGGGATGGGTGGAGAGGGGCGAGGAGTGGTGGGGGAGGAGGGAGTGGAGGCAACGCAGCCAGTGGAAGCAGCACAGGAGGAGGCTGAGAGGCGGGAGGTGGGGGCAGCAGGGGCGGCAGGGGAAACAGCAGAGGCAGCAGCAGGGCGGGAAGCAGGAGAAGCAGGGGCAGCAGAGACAGCAGCAGCTGAGGCGGCAGCAGGGGCAGAAGAAGGAGCAGAGAGAGGGGCAGGGGCTGCACAGGCGGAGGCGGAGGCGGAGGCAGGGGCAGAAGGAGGGGCAGGGGAAGAAGGGGAGGAGGTACGTGAAGTGGAGATGAGGCGAGCAGAAGCCGTTCCTGCTGACCATGAGGCGCGCAGCCTAGAAGCTGCTGAAGCTGCTGCTGCCGCCGCTGCTGCTGCTGCTGGTGCTGCAGGAAAGGGGTCTGTGCCAGGCACACCACGGGCTGACGTGGCGGAGGAGAGGGAGGGGGAGGCGAGGAGAGGGGAAGGGGAGGCAGGGGAAGCGGGGCGCATGGGCGGAATGGTTACTCCTGGCGGGTCCATGGGGTTTGCCACGCCTTCTGTTGGCATTCCAGGTGAGACATTGGGGCGAGTTAAGGGGAACAGTGGGGGTAAAGGGGGGGGGAGAGGGGGGGAGGGGGGGGGGGGGAGTGTGCTTTGGTGGGAATGCGTGAGAGGGTGTTGTGAGGCTCAGTGGTTGCTGCTTCTGTTATTAGTATCGGTACTGGTGTCAAAGAATCTTACCAGCAACTGGTGTATGATGTTTACTCTTCTTTGCACTACCCTTTTCTCTGGCCGCCCTGGCTGCCCTGGCTGCCCTCTATCCCCCTTGCCCCACTGTCCCACTGCCCACCGCCCCCACCCCAGCCATCCCCACGCCAGACTTTGCCCTCGCACCAACACCTGCACCCGCACCTGCGCACGAGGACCAGGCCGGGCCTGAACACCACGCTGCAGCTGCCGAGCCTGCTGAGGCTCACGAGCCTGCAGACGAGGCTCGGGCTGGGCTGCCCCCGAGGCCGCCGAGGCGAGGGCAGGCGAAGAGGAAGCGAGGAGCAGCAGCAGGAGGGGATGGTGTGGGGACAGTCTTGGACTCGCTCACTGTGCTGCCCTCTGAGTATGCCCTCTTCTGCCCTCGTTGCCCGCAGCTATATGCATGCCTTTGGAGGCGTGTCGCATAGCCATTGTGGTCCTTTGAGTACGTCGTGCCTCCCTCCTCTACCCTCTTCTCCCCTCCTCTTCCCTCCTCTGCCCTCTTCTCCCCTCCTCTTCCCTCCTCTGCCCTCTTCTCCCCTCCTCTTCCCTCCTCTGCCTCTATTGTTCTACCCTCTGAAGAAGCGTTTTGACGAGTTGGCTGCTGTTCCCTCCCTCAGAGTGTGGCCAGTACCCACTTTACGTTTTGCCTTTCCTTTTGCCCCCTCCCCTCTTTGCCCCTCACTCCCCACCACCTCCCCCCCTTCCCACCCGCACCATTCGCCAGCAGCTCATCTTCTAGACGACCTTGATAGGAAGCGCCTATCCTATCTCGCCCTCTCCCCGCCCCAACCTGTCCTGCCCCACCCTCACCCCACCCCTCCACACACCCTCCCTTCCCCCCTCCCTTCCCCACCCTCACCCTGCTCCACACTCACCCCCCCCCTGCCCCCTTCCCCCCACTAGCGCCATCCGCCAGCAGCTCATTTCCCTGGACGTCCTTGTGGTGCCTAACCTCACTCTTGCCCTCTCCCTGCCCCAAATCTCCTGCCCCTCCCGCTCTCTGCTTTACCCTCCCCCTCGTCCCCCCTTCCAAACAGCACCATCCGCCAGCAGCTCATTTCCCCGGACGACCTCGTGAGGAATCAGGGCCTAACTTCTCTCTTGCCCTCTCCTGCCCACCCCCTCCCCCCCGCTCGCCTCTCCCCCCCACCAGCACCATTCGCCAGCAGCTCATCTCCCCAGACGACCTCGTGAGGAAGCGCCGCAGAGCCCCGCACACCCTGGTCCAGCTGGCAGCACTGCATTGGTCCGTGGCAGGCGTGGAAGGGCTGCATGAGCCGGCTGTAGCACAGAATGTTGCTCCGCCTGTAGCGGGGGATGTAGCAGGGGGTGTAGCAGGGGGTGTAGCAGGGGGTGTAGCAGGGGGTGTAGCAGGGGTAACAGATGGAGTGGCGGCAGATGGGGTGGCCTATGCGTTTGCAGCCGATGGGTTTGCACATGGCGTGGCGGGAGTGACAGCTGCAGCTGCTGATGGTATAGCCGAAGGGGAGGAGGGGGCGGGTCTTGGTTCGTTTTTGGCTCGGTTCTTCTCCGAGGCTTCGCCGAGCCTGCCGAGTAGGCCTGGAGAAAGGGGGACGGGGAGGAAGCGGGGCAGGGAGGAGGGGGAGGGGATGGGGGTGGAGCGGAGGAGAGGGGAAGAGGAGGTGGAGAGGGAAGAAGACGTGGAAGGGGAAGCTATGGCCATGGATGGAAGAGTGGAGGGGGAGGGGGTGGAAGGAGGTATGGGTAGGGAAGAGGAGGCAAGGATGGGGAGGGAGGAGGAAGTAGGAGTGAGGAGGGAGGAGGTGGAGGAGGGGAGGGAGGAGGTGGAGGAAGTGGAAGTGGTTAGGGGGCAGATGGACGGGAGAGAGGCTGGCCCTGAGACTGCTGCAGAGCCTGCTACAGACGCTGCTGCTACAGACGTTGCTGCTACAGGCGCTGCTGCTCAGGTTACTCCTGGTGGAGAAGAGGGGGCGGGTTGGGTGATGCGCCCTCACACCACCCCGGACAGTGCTGCTCCTGGGCTGGAGGGTATGCCTGCTGTGCCCCCCACGCCCTTCACCCCCGGCTCTCCTGCTGCTCCTCTCTCCCCCGTCGCTCCTCCCTCTCCTGCTGCAAGTGGCGAGGGAGTAGCAGCAGGCGCAGAGGCAGAGGCAGCAAGTGGTGCAGAAACAGCTGCAGGAGGGGCTGAGGCAGATGCAGGCGCAGAGGCAGTGCCGGAGCTCTTTCCTGGTGCTGGCGTGACACCGTCCACAGAGCCCTACTTCCCCCCCGCGGATGCTGGGCTGATGGAAGGCCCTGAGGAGGAGGGGGCATCGGAGGAGGAACGCGAGGGAAGCGGAGGAGAGGCGATGGCAGAGGACAGAGGGAGGGAGGCGGCAGCAGCAGAGGGGAGGGGGAGAGAGGCAACTCTAGCTGCGGTTAGTGATGCTCTAGTTCTGTGTTGTCTTTGTTCTGGTCAGTTCGCTTTTCAAGGGCTAGAGCTCCGGCTGCCCTTTGCTTGTATCTGTTTTTCCTATTCCCGTTCATGAGTTTCCAAGTTGCGTTTTTCTGTGGTTCGAATTCAATATGGTGGGTGTTTGACGCTGTGGTATTTCGTTCCCTCTTTCCCTCTTTCCCCTCTTCTCCCGGATTCTGTGTGTGCAGCTGCATGTGTCGGAAGAGAACTTTTACTTCCTCAGAGATGGAGGCGACAAAGGTGAGTGGTGGCGAGCGGTGATGAGCGGTGGTGGGAGGTTGTGAGCACTGGTGATGGGTGGAGACAGGTTGAGCTGTGGTGATTGGTTGGTTGGTTGTGTGTGTGAATCTCCCTACTATCCACACTCATACCTCTTTCACACGCCTTAGAACCTGCCGCATACCCTCCCCACCTCCCCATCCCCGCACCTGCAGAGGTGGACGAGTGGGACCCGACGGGGTCGGGCAAGCGCAAGGCAGCAGCAGCAGAGGGGCCCACAGATGACTTTTCCAGCTGGAGCTGGCGCACCAGGTGGGCAGGGATGTGGGGTTGAGAGGGTTGGGGGGGGAAGGAGGGGGGTGGAGAGGGGTGGGGAGAGGTTGGAAGAGCTTGGGGGGGAAGAAAGAGGGGAGAAGTGAGGGGGATTGGTGGCTCAAGGGGTTTGAGGGCTTTGGAGGTATGAACCATAGATGGAGGCGAGGATTTTAAAAGAAGGGGAAGGGAGGTGAAGGAAGCAGACGCCCAGTGGGTTTCGAGTAGGTTGCATGACGGGGATTCACGGGAAGAGAGGCGCCTGGTGATTCTTTCTGGCTGCATACCGGTGCTAGCATCCCTTTCCAATCTCTTCCTGCTGCCATCCCCTCCGTACCCCCCCTTTCCTCCCTGCGCCCACCTCAGAGGAGCTGCCAAGTTTCTGCAGCACTCGTTGACAGCGCTGGCGGAGCAGCAGGCACTGGCGGGCGATGGAAGGGGGGGAGCAGCAGCAGCAGGAGGAGCAGTGGGGACGGAGGAATCGGCAGGGGTGGATTCGGCGCGATCGCTGCCATCGGTGTCACTGCTGGCGGTGGTGAAGGGACGGCCGAGACGAGAGGCCGCTCGGATGTTCTTTGAGATCCTCGTGAGTGCATGGCGTAGGCGAACGAGCGGGCTCTTGCATGAGCTGATATGATTTCGTAGGCACGATTTCAAGATCCACCTGTTCAGTGCCCGTTCTCTGCTCTCTCACTTAGCCCGAACCCTGAACTTTCCTTCATCCCAAAAGGTGACTTATTTTGCCTGAACTTTCTCACTTAACTCTGTACGGCCGTAAACCCTGTGCAAAACTCTGTTTCACCAGGTGCTGAAGACGAGGGACTTCATTCAAGTGCAGCAGACAGAGCCGTATGGTGACATCAGCATCACAGCACAGGATCCCCTCATGCAAGCCGCCCTCTGATGCTGCTCCGGCCGGGTTGTCACATCATGACATGGTATCATGCTGACACACACTAACCTCTGGGTTGCTCAATGTCCTCTGCCCACCCACTGGCTAAAAGGTTTTAGGTAGGTAATAGCTTGTTATGAACATAAGTTGGGGATGAGCGATTAGTAGGTTTTATCTATGAACTAAATAAGCTGCTTTTGCATTTGTAGGCTTGTTTAGGAGTCCTCAGTGCACGTTTGTGAAGTTAGCTACATGTTTCTCCATATTATGAGAATATAGATTTTCCGTTATACAATTTGAGTAAGTTAACTCATGGTTTTTCACATCAGCCTCGGGTGTATGCTATCTCGAAATAACCTTACCTGCCACATCAGCCTCTGACCATTTTCTCGGGGCGTCCACATCAGCAAGCCGTGATTGCGTTACCAATCCCAAGGTGCAGCTCCCCAGCCCAGGGCGTCGGATTCGCCGCGAGCCGAGCTGAGAGGATAACAGCGCGAGCAGGGTAGTGAAGGGGAGAGAGTGGAGTGGGAGGACAAGGCTAGGGAGAGGTAAAGAGTTTCGTGCATGTTTCCAAGAAGGCCTATTTCTGGCACCCAGTGTCGTTGCTTTCTGTTTCACTTGCCTCATTCTCTGCAAAACGAGAGCGTTTTGCGTGCAACAGCAACGCGAAGCAGCCACATTGTTTGTGGCTTTTTGCTTGCTTATCCAGGACGTTTGCTTGACTGATTGCCCTGTGGCTTCGCAGCTGCTACCATGGCGTCCGTCGCTCAACGAGCAGCAGTTGCTGCCAACTCAGTCTCTCAAATTGCCTCGTCAGCACGCAATGCCTCGTCCAGGCCTAACGCGACCTGCCACGTGGCGTCCCCTCGCGTCCACCTCGGATCAGATTTCGTCTCAAAATCCGCCTCTTCCGCCTTCCAAGGCGTTAGAATCACACTCGCAAAGAGCCAATCCGGCCGCAATTCCCGCTCCGCATCTCGCGCCGTGGTCGTCGCGGCGGGCGGTTCCTCGAAACTCCCGTCGATGAACGAGCTCCCGTTACTGAGTTACATCAACCAGCAGGGCCGCATTGTCCCTCCCGTCGAACCCGGAACCACTGCGTCCGTGTTCGCTGTACTCGATAAGAACAAGAAGGTGCAATATATCGGGTTCTCCAAGGACGTGCGAAACTCGCTGCGAACGCTCATGGGACGGCGCCCCGAGTTCTGCTACTACTACAAGCTGTACAACCTGTCGACCATGGACCAGCAGCAGATGATTGACATCCGCGCGCAGGTACGACTACCGGGGTGCTTATATCGGATCGTTGGACAAAAATGTGTTGTTATACGACGGTCAGGTCTGTTCTGCTCTGAGAAATGTAAAATTTCCTGGCTTCTTCATCTGAATTCTCTCCATGAGTCACCCTAAATTTGCTTCCCTTTTTTCCCAACCACCTCTTTGAAGATTACTCGCGCTCCACATAAGAATCTCTTTGAATCGAATTTCCGCATGTTGGCAACACAGGCGTCGTGCAGAGTGGGCTGTGTGAGAGACCAGCAGATGTGGGGTTCGATTCGGGAAAAAAATGACAACGACAAAGGATCACTGAATATCCCCTATATTGTGCTCTCCCTTGTTTCTAATGTCTTCCCACTCTTTCCACATGCTACAGTGGTTCTCGGAGATGGGAATTCCGCCCGTCGGCAACACGGACCCGATCCAGAGGGGGTACTGGGAGCGGCCGGCGGACGCGGGTTCGATCTCGGAGAGAGGCAAGGTGGCGGCTGCGCAGTCCAAGGCGAAGACGCTGCTGCAGATGATGGTGGACCGCGGCCTCAAAGAGGAGGTGAGCTGACGTGACTATAGTTATGGTGTTTGAGTTGTGAGTGTTACTGTAATGAAGGGGGGTTATGTGAGGCAAGGTGGCTGCGGCGCATCCAGAGCGAAGACGCTGCTGCAGATGATGGTGGACCGCGGCCTCAAGGAGTAGGTGAGTTGAATCGGATGTTACTGTAACGAGGGTGTCAATGAATATGAGTGATGTTACAGCAACGAGGGAATTGAGCAAGGCGCGTAAACGTGCGGTGCGGAGCGATGCGATGCGGTGCGGCGGAAGAGGGCGCTGGAGCTGGATTCGCGCGTGATGACGCAAAGAGACAGTGAATTTAAATTGATTGAAGCGGTGGAGCGTAGAAGCGTATCAGAAAGACATCGCTATAGTACGGACCCGTTTTATGGTGTGAAAAGGGGTAGCAAATCTAGCATAGAGGACGGGTGAAATTACAAGTAGCCCTCACATGCCTGGCAGAGCGATTATATATATAAGTATTTTGTGCACTTGGAGGAATTTCTAAGGGCTGAGAGGAAGTTTCACTTCCCGTTTGGCTTGCACCGTGCGTTTACTGCTCGTTCACGGTTGGTTCACTGCTGGTCGGCTGCTGGCTGACTGTCAGTTGGCTGTTGGTTGACTGTTGATTGACTGCTGATTGCTTGTCCTTGTCCAATTTGTCCGCCACCTGCAGATGGAGTATGACCCGAAGCTCATTGAGGAGGGCAAGTGCGACGTGCTGCCGGTATGCCTCCTCACTCGCACTCACTGTCACCCACTTACTCACCTTCACTCGCCCTCACCCACTCATTCACTCTCACTCTTTCTCGCCCTTTCACTCACAACCTCACTACACTCACTCACTCACTCACACGCTCGTCCTCGCTCCTGCGTGACCAAGGGTTGTCCACCCGCACCATTGCCTGTCGCCGCTGTTTTCGAGCGAGACTAGCCACCCCCAATTGCCTCGCCTCCATTCCTCACCTGAATGCTGTCCCACGCCAGTCCTTTCACGCAGTTCTCCATTGCACCCAGTTCTCAATCCTTTCAATGGTATACGTCTCCATGTGAACCCTCCCTCCTTTCCCCCTCCCCCTTCCCTGTATCCTTCCCCTCCCCTTCCCCCTTCTTCCCTCCCCCTCCTCCACAGTCCAAGTCACAGTCAGCTGAGGAGCTGGCGGCGGCAGCAGCGGAGCAGGAGGCGTCAGCAGCGCGGGTGGTGCACATCACAGAGACAGCGCCGTCAGGGGAGGTCATCGAGTTCGACCTCACCACGGACGACAAGATCAAGACGAACGGCGGGTGGATGTATGACATCTATGTCACCAAGGATGACAAGGAGACGCGCCACCGCATCGTGCTGGGGAGGGTGTACTCTGAGGCCGTCAACCTGCCAGAGGATGCTGTCATTGCCCGGATCATCGCCTTCCTGCTGGTGAGTCTAAATTACTCTTGGAGATGTTCAGCACTGTAATTAGAGGTGCTGGGGAGGGTGTATTCTGAGGCTGTCAACCTGCCAGAGGATGCCGTGATTGCCCGGATCATCGCCTTCCTGCTGGTGAGTCCTTTCTGCTGGCGCCACTTTCGCATTGTCTCTGCATTACCCCATCACATCAACCCCCCACCCCACCTCCCCTTGCTCTTGCTGCAACACAGGCGGCGCATCTGCATGGCAAATGGAGGGAGGGCATCCATCTAGTAGCAGTCATCAACTGCTTTTATCCTCTTTCCCCGTGTCTACTTTCCCTTGCTTCTTTACCCAATCCCTCCCCTCCCTTCTCCCCATCTCCCTTCCCTCTAACATCAGCACAAGCGCATTCCGAGGCAGACGGAGGGGGTGCATTCCAATGAGCAGTTCCCTATCAACTACTTCATGCCTCTTTTCCCTCATCTGTTTCTCCCTTATCTGTTCCACTTATATGCTTTCCCCTTGCCTACTCCTATCGCAGCACAAGAAGATCCCGCGGCAGACGGAGGGGGTGCTATCCAGCGAGCAGTTCCCTATCAACTACTTTGCGGTCTCAGAAGTGGCGCAGAAGTTTGAGGACCTGGGGGAGTGGTTCCCCGGGGGAGATCTGCCCGACAGCTACTGGCGCTTCAACCGCATCCACGAGTATGGCAATGTCACCGCGCCTGTTTCCACACAGGAGGCGCCGCAGCTGTACTCGCCAAAGTATTAGTCTGATATGGATGTGTTGGGTTGTTTTGGAAAGGCGTGGTTGGCTTTTGCGAAGATCTTTGTACTTTTCCAAACAGCAAACTGATATCAATCCACTTTCAAAGCCCATTGTGCAATCACAATTGTTACAAGTCAGCGCCGTCATGCTCTAAAAAAACCTTATACAGTAACGTTCTTTATTTATGGTTTCCAAATAATCATCTCAAGTTCTCGCTGAAGCAGCAGCTCTGGAGACGTCAATACAGAAGCGCTTGAAAGCGACAGTTTCATCTTCCAGGAATGAGCTGCAGGACAGAAGGGGCACGCAGAGAGGGAGAGAGCGAGGACCGTTAGAGAGCGAGGACCGTTAGAGAGCGAGGACCGTTAGAGAGCGAGGACCGTTAGAGAGCGAGGACCGTTAGAGAGCGAGGACCGTTAGAGAGCGAGGACCGTTAGAGAGCGAGGACCGTTAGAGAGCGAGGATGCACTTTGGGTGCATAATTCAATCACAATGAGGCACAGCGAGCACCGAGAAATGCAATCGACACCAAGCACCCACCAAATGCCCATCAAGCACCCACCAAATGCCCATCAAGCACCCACCAAATGCCCATCAAGCACCCACCAAATGCCCATCAAGCACCCAGCAGCACGCACCCAGCACACACCCATCACGCACCCAGCAAACACACCCATCAAACACACCCATCAAAAACACCCTTTCCCTCCACTCACCCGAGGCGCTGCGCCATCTGAGCAGGAGACCAGCGGGGGTTCCAAGGAAAGCTGCTGATTGGCTCCGACGCCACGGGGCGGTTGTGTGCGGTGAAGTGCTGTGGGTTGCGGTGTGGTGGGGTACAAGGCGGGGGCGTTGGGATGGGGGAACAAGGATAAGGCAATGGGATGGGGGGGCATTGGGATGGGGGAGCATTGGGATGGGGCATTGAGATGGGGCATTGGGATGCGCCATTGGGATGGGGGGGCATTGGGATGGGGCATTGAGATGGGGTATTGCGATGCGCCATTGGGATGGGGGGCCATTGGGATGGGGCATTGGGATGGAATATTATTACACAAACAGAACGAGTTGCTTACATGAATGGATTGCAGGGTGATGTAGGGCTGCTGCTGTGGGAAGGATGGAGGCAGAGAAATGCGCACCTGAGGTGAGAGCGACGAGGGGTGAGAAGGACGAGGGGTGAGACGGACAAGGGGTGAGAAATGAGGCTAGAGGGAATGGGGAGAGATAGAGGGATGGAAAAAGTGTGTGAGGAGCGGGAGGTGATTGGGGTGGAACGGCAAGACTGTAAGAGGATACCATGGCACACAAGACGGTGCTGCTGGCAACCCTGCGTCTATTTACACGCCTTTTTAACCCAGCAGGGAGTGTGAGAGAGCATGGTTGGGACAAGCAGTGCATTGAGAGTAGCACGTGGCAGTCACATGCAGGTGGTGTGAGGGGCACGTCTCAGGCACATGCAGGGAGTGTGGGGGCACGCACCAGGCACATGCAGCTGTTGGCCGACACAAAGAGTGTGGTGTGGGAGAACAGTTGCTGCCGGTATGATGGGATGAGATGAGGGGATCAATACAGGGGAAGGGGGATTGGGAGAAGGGGAATGGGGAATGATTGAGGAGAATGAATGAGGGGAAAGGGAATGAGGCAAGCGGGGAGGTGAGGAAGTTTTGTGCTCTTTCATGCAGGCAGCGTCCTCATGTGCAGCAAGAGAGACACTCACCGTGTCAGTTTCTAAAGGTTGCCCGAATACCGCGGGCAGAGCAGAAATAAACTCTGCCCGGCTTTGCATGGAAGAGACAGCAGTATCAAGCTGTGGAAGAGGGATAGAAGGACAGTCAGAAAACAAAAATGACGTGAAGATTGGTAGAAGACAGCTTATCTCACATGCGGGGATAGCTCAGTTGGGAGAGCGTCAGACTGAAGATCTGAAGGTCGCGTGTTCGATCCACGCTCACCGCACTTTTTTTTTCCCTTTTTCTGAGAAACTGCACACTTCTTCTGGACAGATCCCACTAGATGGGTTTCTTATAAGAGTGATAAGTTTTTTTACTCAGCCTTGCACATTTCAACAGCCTTTGCTGAAAGGTGAGAAAAGAGTGAAAGCAGGTGGAGTGTGGTGAAGAGAGATGGAATACGGCACGACTCACTCGCTGGTGGATGAACGCAGCAAGCTCAGGCAGATACGCAACTGTGCACCTGAGGCAAGGTGTGGAATGCGGTGTGGAGCGAATATGTGTGGTGAGCTATTTGAAGAGAGGTGGAAAACGACAGTAACGAGCATGTGCGAGCAGAGCAATGTAGCAACCAGCAACACAGGGCATGGCAGGCAGAGACACATGCAGAGAACTGAGGCCCACTATGGCATGTGATGACGAGCCAACGAATGTGTAGAAACCAAAACATAGCCTCCGTATGGAGTCGGCCCGAGGAGGTGAGTGGTGACTCGACTTGAAAGTGATCTCAATGTAATAGCACCTCGTCACAAAGGTACCTCGTTGCACGGCAGCTCGTTACAATGGCATGGCACACAACAGACTCCCACTCACATGGTGTCCGTCCAAGCAGGCAGCTTGGTTTCTGGAAAGCCGAGGAGCCGAGGAGGCAGCTTGGTGTCTGGTAAGCGGAGGAGCCGAGGAGGCAGCTTGGTGTCTGGTAAGCCAAGGTATTTCGTTGCAATGGTACACAACAGTCCCTCATTCACATGGTGTCTGTCCAAGCAGGCAGCTTGGTTTCTGGAAAGCCGAGGAGCCGAGGAGGCAGCTTGGTGTCTGGTAAGCCAAGGTATTTCGTTGCAATGGTACACAACAGTCCCTCACTCACATGGTGTCTGTCCAAGCAGGCAGCTTGGTTTCTAGAAAGCCGAGGAGCCGAGGAGGCAGCTTGGTGTCTGGTAAGCCAAGGTATTTCGTTGCAATGGTACACAACAGTCCCTCACTCACATGGTGTCTGTCCAAGCAGGCAGCTTGGTTTCTGGAAATCCAAGGAGGGAGAGGAGGAGCGGTGGGCCTCCGAGCTTCAACTGGGGTTGAGTGAGAGAAGAGAGGGCGGATGGGAACAGGAAAGAGGAACGAGAGGGAGAGGGAGGAGGTTATTGCAAGAATTGAGGCGGCTCAGAAGAGTTGAGGCAAACTATTGCAAGTGCTTGCTCCATTCTGCCCGGTGCCTCAAAAGAGGTAGTGGGGGAGGATGTCATCAAGCTTTCATCACTCCACTCACTCACTCACTCACTCATTCTCTCAACTAACAACACACTCACTCTCTCAAATCCCTGGGATTACTCACTCAACTAACCACTCACTCACTAACTCCCTCACTCACCTGGTGCTGGAGGGTGGAAGCCTTGCCATTGAGGTGACTTTTGAGTCGACTCAAAAGTGATCTCCCTCACTCACCTGGGGGGTGGAAGTCTTGCCGTTGGCGCTGCCACTGGTTCCTGAGATGGGGAACTTGATCTGTTGTGGGGATGCGGGAGAAAGAGAGGGGGAACTTGAACTGTGAGTGAGGGGGAACTTGAACTGTGAGTGAGGGGGAACTTGAACTGTGAGTGAGGGGGATGAGGGAGAAAGAGAGGGGTGGGCGTGGAGTGCAGGTGGGGGAGTGTGCGGGTGCTGGGTGGGTGGGATGGTGATGCAGCCACACACCATCACTCACATCACCCACCCTTCACTATCCACTATTCACGATGCACCAGCCACCACCCTCCATTCACCACCCATTATCCTCCACCCAAGTACCCCCATGCACTCTCCAGCACCCCCCATAACCCACCCGCAAGCAGCCTGAGGTGAAGGTTGCCCGAGCAATCCCCAGCACCCATCAGCATCCCCCAGCACCCACCAACACTTCCCAGCACCCATCAACACCCCCCAGCACCCATCCACACCCCCCAGCACCGCTCAAAACACCTACCATCAGCCTGAGATGAAGGTCGCTGCCACAGCGCTTGAGCCAATCAGACCACCACCTGATGCATGGGGAGTGAGAGCGAGGAGGCATGCACTTGAGATATGCCGAGAGATACACAAAAGAGCACTTCCAGATCTGGAGGGTCAGGATGAAGGTCTAGAGAGAGATGCACCTGAAGTGAGTGAGAGGGCGGAGATCGATTCCCAGCACCGGCACTGCCAGCTGCAGCTCCTCTGGAGTCGACTGCAGGAACGGCAAGACATGCGTGAGACTGTAAGGCAAAAAAAGTGTAGCGCCCGTGAGATGGGGCGGGTGGGGTCAAGTGTGGTTCCCAACGTTTCTACTCGGAGCTCGGTGTATGGTAAGTGGACAGAATGGACTGAAATGGATAACAGGGGAACAGCCTGTAGTGTAAGGAGTAAAAAACGGACCTTGCCTACCATAAGCGGAGCATAGACCTCGAACTCCTGACAGACAAGCAGGGAGAGGAAAAGGGAGATAAGAGAGGAAACCATTTCTTAGGCGCCTCAAAAATAGCCCTTCCCTTCAGTTAATGGGGCATAGACCTCAAAATCCTGACGGACAAGAGAGGGGAGGAGAACGAGAGTGGAGAGAGAGGAGAGGAGAGAGATAAAGAGAGGCGAAAGTTACAGGAGAGGGGATACAAAATAGAGTACCGTATTTGAGCTTTTGACCTGTCTTCATCAACTCATTTGACTCCTCCCATGATCCAGCTTCATTCCCTTTGTAACAATAGGCCATTGCCTGTCCCTTATTCCCTCTTCTGCCTGCTGCACCACGGCTGCCTTCAGTTCACCAGCGTTACCACTGCCCACTGCCTGACCGCCTGCCTCCCCTCACTGCCTCACCTGCTGTGCCAGTGTGCTGAGCTCGAATTTGACCCGCCCATCCTCCACTGCCTCCCAGCCCTGTAACATGTGCCATCTGCTGCCTCCCCCTTCCCCCTTCCCCTTTCCCGCCCCCCCTTCACCCCCAACCCCCCCCCTCCCCCTCTCACCTGCTGCGCCAGTGTGCTGAGCTCGAACTTCACCCGCCCATCCTCCATTGCCTCCGCCTGCTGCCGCTGCTGCTGCAGGAACAACGCCCTGCGTGGTGGAAGTACGGGGGGAATGGGAGGGAGGATAGTATGGGAAGTAGTGTGAGTGGAGGGACGAAACTTGGGTTAGGATAACGACACCGGAGATGAAATAAGAGGGTATTTTTTTACGAGAATTGCAACATGGGTTGAACCCGTTCAAATGGGTTCAGCAAGGTTCAAATGGGTTCGGATGGAATCAGAAGAATTCAAAGCGGTAACTCGAAGTGCGACATGAGACCGGAAATTTCACCTGAGGTGCAGCAGGAGGCGCAGCAGGCGATAGGAGTCGTTGTGCTGCCAGTCCTTGAGCAGCCCCCAGCTGCTGCTGTCATTGCCCGTGCCACCTGCATCCCGCATGTGCGTCATGGGTTACAATGGGTTGAGATGGGTTCGATTAGAGTATAACTTGAAGGCGCAGCAGGCGGTAGGAGTCGTTGTGCTGCCAGTCCTTGAGCAGCCCCCAGCTGCTGCCCTCACCAGCCATGCCACCTGCATGGTTGCACCGCACACACATGAGAGGTGCGAGTTGGGTTGAGATGGGTTCAAAACGGTAACTTGAAGTGAAGCAGGCGGTAGGAGTCGTTGTGCTGCCAGTCCTTTAACAGGCCCCAGCTGCTGCCCTCACCAGCCATGCCTCCTGCACCCCACACACAAGAGGTGTGAGATGGGTTGAGATGGGTCCAAAGTGGTAACTTGAAGGCACAGCAGGCGGTCGGAGTCGTTGTGCTGCCTGTCATGCATATTCACCTGGAAACAGCAGAGGATTCACCTGAGGTTCCAAGGGAGGCAAAAGGTTCACCTGAGAGAGACAGTAAGATTCACCTGGGAACAGCATAGAATCCACCCCAAAGAAAAAGGAGAATTTTTCTGGAAGCACCGGCGGATGCAGGTGGGAACAGCAGAAGGCTGACCTGAAAGCAACAGAAGATGTACCTGAGAGCAGCGTAGGACTCACCTGGGAGCAACAGAGGATTCACCTGAGAGCACAGGGTGATTCAACTGAAACTGCTGAATATTCTCCTCCCGGGAGCAGAGGTGAATCCTTCTGAAACTACAGGAGGATTCACCTGAGAGGATTCACCTGGGAGCACCTGAAGCTTCACCTGGGAGCAGCAGAGGCTGGAAGCAGAGGCCATCAGGCGAGGAGTGGAAGATGACGTCAGGTGGGTCCCACGGCCGACTGCTGTTGAACTGCACGTACCCTGGGATTGCCGCGCGGGGGGGATGAGGGGATGGGGGGATTGAGGATAGGGAATTGGAAGTTGGGGGTGAAGGGAGAGACGGAGGGACGGGAGGGGTGGAAGGAAGGATGGAGGGCGTGAGTTATAGCGACCGCGTTTGACTCGTCGGAATCGAGGGGGTTATGGGCGGTGCTGCATGCAGCGTGCGTATGGGCGGTGAATCGTGACCGTACATTCTAGCTTGTCCCAACCGCACGGCACGTGCACCGTGAACCGGTCCGCGAATTCCGCATCCTCCCACCCGCACCGCACGTCCCGAACCTGGAACACAAGGAAATCGGGAAAACAAATGTTAGGAAGCGCGGGTGTGTGCGAAGAGGGCGCAACAGTAGTGACAGGCTGAGGTTGATAGGGAGAGAGAGTGGGCAGGAGACGCGGGGAGAAGGTGGTAAAATCCTATGCGTATCGCGTCGCATCCTACCTGAAAGCCGAATTTGGGAAAACTGCAGAGTACCGCAACCTGCGCCGCGATTGACGGTTCTAAAGGCTTCGTGTAAGGAGCCATGACGACTACCCGTGCGTGAGCAGAGTACCGTAGTAAAAGCTATTGAATATAGAAAATCATGAAGTCACTGTAAACGTGCGGGGATAGTTCAGTTGGGTGAGCGTCAGACTGAAGATCTGAAGGTCGCGTGTTCGATCCACGCTCACCGCAACTTCTTGCCTTTCCACCTTGTCCTCCGATAGGCGGAAATTCCGCTACAGCTTGGTGATGCAAACTCGACGGTCCAGAACATTCCCGAATCCAGATTGCTCAATTTCCGATTCGTCTCAGGCCAGGGCCTTAGCTCGTCTTCCTTCGCTCTCTTCATCCCTTTCCTATCCTCCGGTCACATAGAGTCTTCCCTATTCGACCGATCCAATTTCGACGAGGATTTGTTGTTCACTCATCCTTTTTCGGCGTTCGCCATGTCGCTCGACGTCTCCATGCGACGCGTCACTCTCGTTTCGCTGATCGCTCTTCTCGTCATCTTGCCGTTCGCTGAAGGTAAGTTTCGCTCTATAGCAATTGAATGTTTTGTTTCCTAGGTAGTACGTCACATAATCTTTTGAATGTTTCGCAGCTGTCGACTCAATCATAGACTTTTGAAATTATAGCCCCGTAGCCGATCTCCGCACTTACCCCATTATGGCCTACTTTGTGCCTTTCTTATTGAGTATGCTTTTGAGAATTCTCAGTCGTCCTTGTCTTTTCACTCTCGCGTGCCCCTTCCCATTCCCCTGAAAGCCGATGAGCAATCAGCATCAGGCGGCAGTGCTGACGTGGATCTGACGAAGCTGAGAGTCAAGGAGCTCAAGGTGAGCGAACGTTGTCAGCTACACTACAACTACCTAAAATACCCTCAATTTTCGTGCCAAAGCTTCGTGGCAGATTCAGGCGTGTGGACAGAGGTGCAGGGTACCCAGAGGGTGCTGTCTGAAACCTTTCGGAAAGAGAGGGTGGTGATAGGTGACTTGCAGTGGCATGTGCGGTGTTGTCTGTTGTCTGAATTGCGGATGTAGGCAGGGTATGCTGCATGCTGCATGCTGACAGGGAAATCGTTGCCGGCATGCGCAATCTTCCAGCAGCTGGAACGCCAGTCGGATGCCTTCTGCTGCTCGTTCATGAGGCCCTTTCCTTGTCTCGCATCTCGAGAACGTTCTTGTCAATCTGTTGTTGGCCCTCCGCTCTGCCAATGTGTGTGGGTGATGCTTGTGTGTGGCTTGTGTGCGGCTTGTGTGCCACTTGTGTGCGGCTTGTGTTTGGCTTGTGTGTGTCTGGTGTGTGGCAGAGGATGCTGGAGGAGCGAGGGGTGGAGTGCCAAGGCTGCATAGTACGTCTCCTCTCCTCACACCCACCCCTCGCACAATCTGTTTTCTCATTGCCCACTCTTGGTTTCCTCAGCAGTTTCCTTAGCTAAGCAGACTTGTCATATGCCACCTTCTCCCCCCTTCCCCCTGCATCCACTCTAGTCTCCCCATCCCTCCATCTTTACCTTTCTCTAACTGCCTTTCCTCCTCGCCCCTCGTTCTCCCCCCCTTTCGCTTCCACTCTCTTACCCCGCATCTCTGCCTGTCCCCTTACGTCAGGAGAAGGAGCACCTGGTGAGTCACTCCAGGAGGACCATCCAACCTTTGCTCCCTTCCCATGCGTCCCCTGTCCCTCATCCCCTCTCATATCCTCCTATGCCTCCCTGTCCTTGTATCAGGAGAAGGAGCATCTGGTGAGTCGCCTCAGGGAGACCATCCACCTGCCCGTGCTCACAGCAACCTTCGTTCCCTCCCCATCCCTCTCCCTTCAATCAATCATCCCTCTCTCTCTCATCTATCTCTTCCTTAATTTCAGGAGAAGGAGCATCTGGTGAGTCGCCTGAGGGAGACCATCCACCTGCCCGTGCTCACAGAGGAGGAGAGGCAGCAGACGCAGCCCAAGGAAGCTTCCAAGAAAGCTGCCTCGTCTGATTCGTCCTCTGGCGACGATTCGTCATCCAAGGATGCTGACATCCAGAGGATTCTGGGTGAGTCAACGTTGTGCTGCTGATATCTGAGGCGTCTCAGGCATTGTGAAGATTCTGGCATTCCTGGGATCTGTCATCCAGGGATGCTGACATCGAGAAGATTCTTGGTGAGTCAGCAGTTTGTTAATTCCCATGTATGTTGTCTTTTTGTTCCTCCACGTGCCCGTTTGATCCTGGATGGATGCCAGTGGCCTGAATAAAAAAGGGGTTCGTATGGGGGGGGGGGGGGGAGTGGTAAGGAAGTGTCTTCACAGGCCTTTTTCCGTGTCTCATTCTTGTTCTCTCCTCGCCCCCTTCTGTGCCTGTGCAGAAAAACTTAAGGCTTCTGGAAACTTTGGTGACAAGATTAAGGTAAATATGCCTCCCATGTGGTGTTCCTTTGCTCTCCGTGATCCTCAAATAGCTTCTCTCATTCTTGTTGCGAGTCACTTCTAAGAATCTCTTGGTTCTCAGAATATGACTTACGTATAGCCGTGTTTCTCCTCCTCTTGTCCTGCTTCATAGCTTTTCCATCTCTTGCCCTCTACCCACCCACCCACCCACCCCTTTCTGGTATGTACGTTTTCTTGCTTCCTGTTTTGCCATCCTGCCTGCGCAGCATCGTTCTTTATATGATCTTTCATTTACCCGTCTTACTTGCATCGCATTCTCTTCACGTTTGGGTGCGTCCCCCGGCAGATGTTTTCGGCCAAGGACTTTGAGAACCTCGCCCAGAATGTGGATCACCGAAAGGGAGAGGGTTACAACGATGACATGTGGAAGCAGTACGATGGAAAGCTGTGGAAAGACCTTGGCAAGGGGAAAAAGAGGGCACCCAATGACGAGTTATAATGAATTGCACGTGCCTGATCCGGAAAATCGTGACATGGATGTGAAAGGGGTTTGTGGGTGGATTGACGAACGTGCCTTCATGTCATGGGGGCTGTATCTGAGCGCAGTCTGTAAGGAAACTATGCAATAGAGAACAGTAATCTTCATATGCGCTATAAGCCAGATCGAGCGAATTCCAACAACGGAGATTGAAGCTGGCATTGGGGATGTCAGAGGGAAATGTGCAGCCTTCACCTGAATTCGGATACTCGCAGCTTTTCCCATTCTGAGAGCCATTTTCGCGTCGTTTCATCCATGTTCTCCTGACCACGCACGAGCGTATGATAACTCTCATAATGCGGTTGTAGAATATCTCTGGCGACCGAGTTTTTAATCGTTTATTAATCGTCAATATAGTGAGACAAGGCGAGGCGAGCCGCGGTATGGCCTGTCGCGTTGTTCTGCTGTCGCTAATTCTCGCAGCACTTGCGTCGCGCAGCGTCGCCGACGACTCGTCCGACGTCGTCGAGCTGACGCCTAACAATTTCGGGGATTACGTGGGAACGGAAAAGGCGGTCTTTGTGAAATACTACGCGCCATGGTAGGTGAAGTTTTTTCTCTCACATGCAGTTCATGCTGCGTATCCTTTATCCTTCCGTCGAATACTGACTGCTTCCATTCAATCCCTCATCGAAGCTCCCCTTCAATCTCTCTTGAGACAATGAACCTCCCACTCCTCCACGCGACGCATCTCCTCCCATTGGCCATGCTGCCAGGTGCGGCCACTGCAAGAAGCTAGCTCCGGACTATGAGAAACTCGCTTCGGCCTTCAAGAAGACCAAGACGGTGGCGATCGCCAAGGTGAGCCCTTGAGACGCCTTGGGCCATAGGCGTCTCATATATGCGTCTCATATGGAAGGTGCTTCAAACGTGAAGGTGCAGCCACTGCAAGAAGCTGGCTCCGGATTACGAGAAACTCGTATCGGCCTTCAAGAAGACCAAGACGGTGGCGATTGCCAAGGTGAGCCCTTGAGAGACGATACCCGCACATGAGGTCCCAGAGGTTTGAGACGTCTCAAAACTCCTGAGACAATACCCGGAGCCGTGAGGTCCCAGGGGCCCTCACTCGTGGGCAAGAGTTTTTTTTAGGCGCCTCAAAAGCCTTCAAGAAGGCCAAGGCGGTGGCAATCGCCAAGGTGAGCTCCTGAGAGACGATACCCGCACGTGAGGTCCCAGGGGTCCTCACCCAGGGGTCGTCACTGGTGGGAAGAGCCGCACGGTAGATTCCTTTGAATACAAGGTTCTAACAGGATTCCTTTTTTGTATGGTGGTCATTGTCTAGGCGAGCTCTTGAGGCGTCTCAAATGGGAGGCGTCTCAAACGCAGCTAGCACAGGGTGCTCTCGGGACCCTATTTTGAGTCGACTCAAACCGCATGTACCCGTTATCGCAGGTGGACTGTGACGCGTACAAGGAGATGTGCAGCGACTACAGGGTGCGAGGGTACCCCACTCTCAAGTGGTTTCCTGCTGGCACTGACATTCCAGACGAGTGAGTACGTGGAGGAGCGGAGTGAGGGGGGTTGGTGTGTGGGTTGCGGGGGTTGGGGGAGGCTATGAGGGGGTTTGGGTGTTTGCGCTTTATTACGTTACAATTCGATTTTTCTCTTGGACTTGACTGGCACGTGCACCTGCATGATTGCATGATTGCATGGTTGCATGATTGCATGGTTACGTGTTTGCATGGCATGGTCGCATGATTGCTCTGGATTGCTCTTGGTTGGAACATGATGGTACCTGATGCCTCATGGATGCTCCACTGCTCTTACCCTCCTCTCCTGATATGATTATTTTCTCCGTCTCCCTCCCCCTATCTCTCCCTTTCACTCCCTCCAGCTATGACGGGCGCAGGGAGGCTGCAAGCATGGTGACATGGGTGAATGAGAAGCTAGGTGCGTGACTGATAAGACACTGGGTGTGTGAATCGTAAGGCGCTGGGTGGGTGACTGGGGATTTGATGCTAAACGGTGTCAGGTTGAGCTGGGGAGAGGCGCACGGAGGCTGCAAGCATGGTGACATGGGTGAATGAGAAGCTGGGTGCGTGAATCATAAGCATCTGGGTGGGTGAAATGAAGTTGGGTGGGTGTTTGCGGATTTAGTGTATGCTAAAAAGTGTCGGGTTGAGTAGGTGAGTTTGTCACCTACCGATTTGGCACCGGGTTGAGTGGGGACGGATTCGGAAGTTTGCCAGCTGGCCTGCCGCCCCCCACATCCCACGTTCTTTCCATGCAGGCACGAATGTGCGTGTGTCTGACACCGTGTCACACCTGGTCACACCTGGTCATACCGTGTCACACCTGGTCACACCTGGTCACACCGTGTCACACCGTGTCACACCTGGTCACACCTGGTCACACCTTGTCACACCTGGTCACGCCTGGTCACGCCTGGTCACGCGTGGTCACGCGTGGTCACGCGTGGTCACGCCTGGTCACGCGTGGTCACGCCTGGTCACGCCTGGTCACGCCTAGTCACGCCTGGTCACGACTGGTCACGCCTGGTCACGCCTGGTCACGCCTGGTCACGCCTGGTCACGCCTGGTCACGCCTGGTCACGCCTGGTTACTTCTGGTCACTCCTGGTCACTCCTGGTCACCCCTGGTCACGCCTGGTCACGCCTGGTCACCCCCGGTCACGCCTGGTCACGCCTGGTCACCCCTGGTCACTCCTGGTCACTCCTGGTCACTCCTGGTCACCCCTGGTCACGCCTGGTCACGCCTGGTCACCCCCGGTCACGCCTGGTCACGCCTGGTCACCCCTGATCACCCCTGGTCACGCCTGGTCACGCCTGGTCACGCCTGGTCTGGTCACGTCTGGTCACGTCTGGTCACGCCTGGTCACGCCTGGTCACGCCTGGTCACGCCTGGTCACGCCTGGTCACGCCTGGTCACGCCAGGTCACGTCTGGTCACCCCTGGTCACGCCTGGTCACGCCTGGTCACGCCTGGTCACGCCTGGTCACGCCTGGTCACTCATGGTCACTCCTGGTCACCCCTGGTCACGCCTGGTCACGCCTGGTCACCCCCGGTCACGCCTGGTCACGCCTGGTCACCCCTGGTCACTCCTGGTCACTCCTGGTCACTCCTGGTCACCCCTGGTCACGCCTGGTCACGCCTGGTCACCCCCGGTCACGCCTGGTCACGCCTGGTCACCCCTGATCACCCCTGGTCACGCCTGGTCACGCCTGGTCACGCCTGGTCTGGTCACGTCTGGTCACGTCTGGTCACGCCTGGTCACGCCTGGTCACGCCTGGTCACGCCTGGTCACGCCTGGTCACGCCTGGTCACGCCAGGTCACGTCTGGTCACCCCTGGTCACGCCTGGTCACGCCTGGTCACGCCTGGTCACGCCTGGTCACGCCTGGTCACGCCTGGTCACTCCTGGTCACTCCTGGTCACTCCTAGGCACTCCTAGTCACGCCTGGTCACGCCTGGTCACCCCTGGTCACGCCTGGTCACGCCTGGTCACGCCTGGTCACCCCTGGTCACGCCTGGCCACACTCACGCCTGGTCACGCCTGGTCACGCCTGGTCATGCCTGGTCACGCCTGGTCACGCCTGGTCACGCCTGGTCACGCCTGGTCACTCCTGGTCACTCCTGGTCACGCCTGGTCACGCCTGGTCACGCCTGGTCACTCCTGGTCACGCCTGGTCACGCCTGGTCACGCCTGGTCACGCCTGGTCTGGTCACGCCTGGTCACGCCTGGTCACGCCTGGTCACCCCTGGTCACGCCTGGTCACGCCTGGTCACGCCTGGTCACTCCTGGTCACTCCTAGGCACTCCTGGTAACGCCTGGTCACGCCTGGTCACCCCTGGTCACACCTGGTCACACTCACCCCTGGTCACCCCTGGTCACGCCTGGTCACGCCTGGTCACACCTGGTCACACTCACCCCTGGTCACCCCTGGTCACCCCTGGTCACGCCTGGTCACGCCTGGTCACGCTTGGTCACTCCTGGTCACTCCTGGTCACGCCTGGTCACGCCTGGTCACGCCTGGTCACGCCTGGTCACGCCTGGTCACGCCTGGTCACGCCTGGTCACTCCTGGTCACGCCTGGTCACGCCTGGCCACGCCTGGCCACGCCTGGTCGCGCCTGGTCACGCCTGGCCACGCCTGGCCACGCCTGGTCACGCCTGGTCACGCTTGGTCACTCCTGGTCACTCCTGGTCACGCCTGGTCACGCCTGGTCACGCCTGGTCACGCCTGGTCACGCCTGGTCACGCCTGGTCACGCCTGGTCACTCCTGGTCACGCCTGATCACTCCTGGTCACTCCTGGTCGCTCCTAGGCAGTCCTGGTCACCCCTGGTCACCCCTGGTCACGCCTGGTCACACCTGGTCACGCGTGGTCACGCGTGGTCACGCGTGGTCACGCCTGGTCACGCCTGGTCACGCCTGGTCACGCCTGGTCACGCGTGGTCACGCCTGGTCACGCCTGGTCACGCCTGGTCACGCCTGGTCACGCCTGGTCACGCCTGGTCACGCCTGGCCACGCCTGGCCACGCCTGGTCACGCCTGGTCACGCCTGGTCACGCCTGGTCACGCCTGGTCGCGCCTGGTCGCGCCTGGTCACGCCTGGTCACGCCTGGTCACGCCTGGTCACGCCTGGTCACTCCTGGTCACACCTGGTCACTCCTGGTCACTCCTGGTCACGCCTGGTCACGCCTGGTCACGCCTGGTCATGCCTGGTCACCCCTGGTCACCCCTGGTCACGCCTGGTCACGCCTGGTCACGCCTGGTCACGCATGGTCACGCCTGGTCACGCCTGGTCACGCCTGGTCACGCCTGGTCACGCCTGGTCACGCGTGGTCACGCCTGGTCACTCCTGGTCACTCCTGGTCACGCCTGGTCACGCCTGGTCACGCCTGGTCACGCCTGGTCACGCCTGGTCACTCCTGGTCACTCCTGGTCACTCCTGGTCACTCCTGGTCACGCCTGGTCGCGCCTGGTCGCGCCTGGTCACGCCTGGTCACGCCTGGTCACGCCTGGTCACTCCTGGTCACGCCTGGTCACTCCTGGTCACTCCTGGTCACTCGTGGTCACCCCTGGTCACCCCTGGTCACGCCTGGTCACGCCTGGTCACGCCTGGTCACGCCTGGTCACGCCTGGTCACACCTTTCACCCCTGATCGCACCTGGTCACGCCTGGTCACTCGTGGTCACGCCTGGTCACACCTGGTCACGCCTGGTCACATGTGGTCACACCTGGTCACACCTGGTCACGCCTGGTCACGCCTGGTCATGCCTGGTCACGCCTGGTCACGCCTGGTCACGCCTGGTCACGCCTGGTCACGCCTGGTCATGCCTAGTCACACCTGGTCACACCTGGTCGACCTCACTCCAGCCACCTTTTTATGCCATTTTCTGAACTGCAACAAGCACTATCTCATTTTCTCTCATCCCAACATCACCTCATCACCACACCCCACCCATGCAGGCACGAGTGTGCGTGTGCCTGTGGCCCTGTCTCACGTGGTGGACCTCTTACCTGCCAGCTTTGATGCAGTCGCTCTAGACCCCACCAAGCATCGTGCCATGGCTTCCCATCCCCACACCCACTCATCCGCACTCCCTCCACTCCCTCGCAACCCCTTCTCATCCCCTCGCCAACATGCAGGCACGAGTGTGCGTGTGCCTGTGGCCGTGTCTCACGTGGTGGACCTCACGCCCGCCACCTTCGATGCGATCGCTCTGGACCCCACCAAGCACGTGCTTGTGGAGTTCTACGCACCGTGGTGTGGCCACTGCAAGCAGCTCGCCCCTGTGAGATGAGAACCGCGCCCCTGCATCGTGCCTGCAAGTAGAACTCGCCTTTTACTGTAGGGTGAGTTACTTTCTGAGTGGAGTCAGAAACTGCCTTCGGTGCCGTTGCCCTGGACCCCACCAAGCACGTGCTTGTGGAGTTCTACGCCCCGTGGTGTGGCCACTCCAAGCAGCTCGCCCCTGTGAGATGAGAACCGCGCCCCTGCATCGTGCCTGCAAGTAGAACTCGCCTTTTACTGTAGGGTGAGTTACTTTCTGAGTGGAGTCAGAAACTGCCTTCGGTGCCGTTGCCCTGGACCCCACCAAGCACGTGCTTGTGGAGTTCCACGCCCCGTGGTGCGGCCACTGCAAGCAGCTCGCGCCTGTGAGAACCTCGCCCCTACAGTCAGCTTTTCGCGCATCTTTCTGCTAGCTAAGTCTCACCTTTTATCGTCAGGGAAACTACCCTGTGACCCCACAAGGCACGTGATTGTGTAGTTCTATGCACCGTGGTGTGGCCACTGCCAGCAGCTCGCGCCTGTGAGCATTTCCACTCTCTCACAGTTGCTTTGTAAGGCGTCTCCCTTTCCTTTCCACCTCTCATGGAATCATCCAGCGCAACAACGCGTCACGTCAACCCTTGGCTTTCAATCCTATTCAAAACCCTGTACCCCTCTGTAACCCCCTGTAACCCCCTGGAACCCCCCGTAACCCCCTGTAACCCCCTGTAACCCCTTGTAACCCCCTGTAACCCCCTGTAACCCCCTGTAACCCCTTGTAACCCCCTGTAACCCCCTGTAACCCCCTGTATGTTGCCCTGTTGCCCCTTTCCTGCGTGTCTATCTGCTGCTGCAGGTATACGAGCAGGTGGCGGAGGCATTCAGGCTGGAGAGCAGTGTGGTGATCGCCAAGGTCTACCCTAACCCTTTGTCCCTACCCCCTTACCTGCGTGTCTTACTGCTGGTGTCTGTCTGCCGCTGCAGGTATACGAGCAGGTGGCGGAGGCATTCAGGCTGGAGAGCAGTGTGGTGATCGCCAAGGTCTACCCTAACCCTTTGTCCCTACCCCCTTACCTGCGTGTCTTACTGCTGGTGTCTGTCTGCCGCTGCAGGTATACGAGCAGGTGGCGGAGGCATTCAGGCTGGAGAGCAGTGTGGTGATCGCCAAGGTCTACCCTAACCCTTTGTCCCTACCCCCTTACCTGCGTGTCTTACTGCTGGTGTCTGTCTGCCGCTGCAGGTATACGAGCAGGTGGCGGAGGCATTCAGGCTGGAGAGCAGTGTGGTGATCGCCAAGGTCTACCCTAACCCTTTGTCCCTACCCCCTTACCTGCGTGTCTTACTGCTGGTGTCTGTCTGCCGCTGCAGGTATACGAGCAGGTGGCGGAGGCATTCAGGCTGGAGAGCAGTGTGGTGATCGCCAAGGTCTACCCTAACCCTTTGTCCCTACCCCCTTACCTGCGTGTCTTACTGCTGGTGTCTGTCTGCCGCTGCAGGTATACGAGCAGGTGGCGGAGGCATTCAGGCTGGAGAGCAGTGTGGTGATCGCCAAGGTCTACCCTAACCCTTTGTCCCTACCCCCTTACCTGCGTGTCTTACTGCTGGTGTCTGTCTGCCGCTGCAGGTATACGAGCAGGTGGCGGAGGCATTCAGGCTGGAGAGCAGTGTGGTGATCGCCAAGGTGGATGCAGACCAGCACACGGAGCTCAAGGTCAGGTGCGTGATGTGGCGTGGAGAGGGGTGGGTTCTCTTGGTTGGAACTGTGTCAACGTGTCAATGAGACCTTGCCAAGGTGGATGCTGTCTGCACAAGGAGCTCAAGGACAGGTGCATGGCTTGGCGTGGTGTGGAGTGGAGAGAGGGTATATCCTGGTTTGAAGTGTCCACCCAGATCTGAAACAGCTGTTGGTGATTCGATTCACTGACCCTGCCAGGACTCGCCAAGGTGGACAGTGACCGGCCTCAGGAGCTCAAGGACAGGTGCGTAGTGGTATGGTCACTCAAGAACAGGTGCGTAGTGGTACGGTCACTCAAGGACAGGTGCGTAGTGGTACGGTCACTCAAGGACAGGTGCGTGGTGGTACGGTCACTCTTTGAGGCGACTCAACGAAGTAAACTCATGGGGTATGGTCAGTCAATGCGAATAAATTTCTTTCTCTTATACAGCATCATGTATTCATCAATCCATACGGCTTTCCCACCACCAGGTTCGCCATATCAGGAACCCCAATTCCCAACTTGTTCCCTGCAGACACTGGGTCTGTGAGTCGACTCGAAAGCCATGCAGTGCCTATGTAACTCTGTGCATTCATCAACCCATGTGTCTCGCCCACCACCAGGTTCGCCATATCCAGCTTCCCCACGCTCAAGTGGTTCCCAGCCGCGAATCACAAGAGCCCAACCCGACGTATGCAGCCATCGCCCAGAGCGAGCCGTCCGGGAAAGACACTTGGTTCTTGGACAGCTGCTGCGGACAACACATGTGATCCTCGGGTCGCTTCGTTCAACAGGAACATCAACTTCAGCGCGAAGTTGTAATCACCGTCGCCAACAACCAAAACCTGCACACACGACGACAAGGGATCGTACAACTTCAGTCTCGAGAAACTAACGTCATTTTACAAATGTCAAATTTTTTGATTGCAGAAGAACTCGGCTACAACTTACTAAGCGTCAGTCAACTGATGGCGAATGACATTCATCTCGAAGCAGACAGCACCACTCAGGAGTTCAAGTTATTCCACGGAAAGGGCGGACTCTACATCGGCAAAGCAGACTTGAAAAATAACGTCTTCGTTCTTGATTTCGTTCCGGACCAAGGTACAGCCGACAGCGACGCCATCGTCAACTTCGCTTCTTGGACACATCCACCCGATCTCGATCCTTATTTCAGCCCTGGAGGATTTTGGTATTCACATACCATACCTGAAGCAGAAAGAACAAGGGCATGAGCAACAATCCGGCAAGAAGAGATAACATCGACAGCAGCGGAGACAACATCGGCAGCAGCAGCAACACCTACGGCACCAATCGCGAGCTCTTCGACAGCACCAGCTTGTTAGAATCTTAGTCAAGGTGAGGTTAGACTATCGAGAGTTTGGTACAAAAGGAAAACCTAAGGGGTTGTACCCCACAGTGAGTACCCCACTAAAGCCTACCTAAACTATAACATATAAACATATGTTTGACACACCCCCATAGGCAAAGTGGGGGAGAACAGAGGGTCACAAGGCCAGACAGGAAGTGCAAAACAAGCTCAGGGTGGATCACAACGTCACCACGGAGTCTGAGCACAAGCAAAAGGCCACAAGGCCAGTTCACATGCAGAGATATATGTGTAACAACAACAGCACAGTGATATCTACCTACAAGAGCAAGCATGCAGGTATACATATAGATCACAGTACAAACAAAGCCTACAGCAAGTGAGGAAGCGTGGGAACAAGGCCTAACAAAGTGCAGAAAAGCTGATGATCACCTGGCGGAAGCGCCTTGGTGAATATATCAGCAGTGTTGGCCCGAGTGGCCACGTAAGCAAGACGAAGATGGCCACGCTGCTGCAGCTCTCGAGCAAGGAAGTAACGTAGAGCGATGTGCTTCGTTCTGTCCTCCAGTCTGTGCTCCTGACACAAGGCAATGGCAGCCTTGTTGTCGACGTACAGAACTGGAGGAGAACGAGGCCGCTCTCCCAAGTCGGTCAGCAGGTAGGTGAGCTAGCGTAGCTCCTGTGCAGCCATGGCTGTGGCGTAGATCTCGGCCTCACAGCTGGAGCCGAGAACTGAAGACGAACGTGTAGAACGCCAGGAAACTGAACCAGAACCAAGGCTGAAGGTGTAACCCTGTGACGACCGCTGCGTAGCCTGGTCGTCAACCCAAGAGGCGTCCGAGTGACCAGTGAGGACAACGTCACCCCGTCCTCCAAGCACGAGCCCCATGCCCGATGTACTGCACAAGTAGCGTAGTACCCTCTTAGCAGCATCCATGTGCACCTTTCAGTGCCGACCAGGAGCCACGTAGCGAGCCAGAAGACCAAGAGGGTACGCAAGGTCAGGACGAGTGCAGGTCATCAGGTACATGAGGCAGCCCACTAGCTCTGGGTAAGGACCACTCGGCTCTACGGACTCGTCCGAAGGTGGAGCTGAGAGCGAGTGACCTGTAGCCAGAGGAGTGGCCTGTGCTGAGGACCAGGTGAAGCCAAAGCGCTGAAGGACCTGCTGCACCATGTGTGACTGAGTCAGTGTGATGGTGCGGCGTGCTCTGTCACGGGTGATCTGCAAGCCAAGATAGCTGCGCAGCTCACCCAGGTCTGTGCACGTGCATCTCTTCTGCAGCTCCGACTTCACCAGAGCGAGAGCCTAACGGCAGCAGGCAAAGGCAGCAGGAAGCAGGCAGCAGACATGGGGCAGTGGACAGTAGGCCGCAGGCAAAGACAGAGACAGCAGGCAGTAGACAGGAGGCAGCAGGCAGTAGACCGCAGGCTAAGACAGAGGCAGTAGGCAGCAGGCAACACAGGCAACGTGCTGGGCAGTAGCTTGCCGCACTCGAGCTCCTAAGGTGGCGCTCTAGACAGTAGCAGGCTGTGCAATTCTAAGGCAGCGGGCTCGGCAGCAGCGAGCCGCACAGGCAGGCACACGAGCAGGGCACGCGTGGCTGCTGGCTGCGTGCGGCTGAGGGCTGCGCGCGGCTGCTGGCTGCGCGCGGCGACGTGCTGTGCGCGGGTCCTGGCTGCGCGTGGCGACGGGCTGCGTGCGGCTCCTGGCTGCGCGTGGCGTCTGGCAGCGCGCGCGGCTGCGTGCTGCATGCAGCGACGGGCTGCGCGGGCGTGGCCTAAGCAGGCTGCGCGCGGGCAACGTAAGGGGCGCACGGGCGGGGCCGAAACGGGCTGCGCGGGCGGGGCCTAAACGAGTCGCGCGGGCTGCTAAAGAGGCGCGCGCGGGGAAAAAAAAAAAGAGGGCCACGCGCGTGCAGCCAAGGCGCGCGCGGGCACTAGGCAAGGCAGGTACGTTTTAGTGAGGTGAAATAGTTAACGGTGGGCCCTAATCCTAGGTCCTAAGGACCTATGCTCTGATACCATGTTAGAATCTTAGGCAAGGTGAGGTTGGACTATCGAGAGTTTGGTACAAAAGGAAAACCTAAGGGGTTGTACCCCACAGTGAGTACCCCACTAAAGCCTACCTAAACTATAACATATAAACATATGTTTGACACAGCTCTCATCGACGACACTCCACCGACTCCTGCGCGGCAGTTAACTCCCACTCCACGAGAAGTTCACAGAAGCGCCAACCTCACCGCGGGTTTTTACTCCAACTCCGACGGAACAATCGACAAATTCAAGGCACGCTGGGTCGTGCGTGGCTTCGACCAAGAGCAAGGACGAGACTTTTCGGAAACATTTGCACCAGTTAGTCGACATACCTCACTGCGGATTCTCCTCGCGATAGCCGCCATGAACCGGAAGAAACTTCGACAAATCGATGTCGCCAACGCATTCCTCTACGCCCCCGTCGATGCTGAGATCTTCGCTGAACTCCCGCACGGGTCTAAGACCCCAACCAAGTCTGTCGACTGGAAAAATCGTTGTACGGGATCAAACAAGCCCCGAGACCGTGGCATCAGCACCTTCACGCCCGCCTAATCCGCATTGGATTCCTCCAACTACCGCACGACCAAGGGATGTACCGACTCACTTAGGGGACTGACTACATCCTACTCATCGTCTACGTAGACGACCTCCTCTACATAGGCTCCACCGACGACATAACGACCTGGTTTGAAGGGGAGATGTAGTGGGATCTCACATTCACCGTCGCAACTACCGTGACACAGTACCTGAGACTCAACATACAAGACGGCGACAAAGCAATCTACCTCAGCGCCGAAAAATACACGAACACTATCGCTAAACGATTCGGACTTACTCCAACTATCACCACCACGCCATACCGCCACACCGACGGAAATCGAAAAGTCTCCGCCCCACTCAAACCCGCCGGCATTCGCGACTACCAACGAAAGCTAGGCTGTCTACTCTTTGCAGCCGTTACTTGCCGACCGGATCTATCCTACTCAGCTAGTCAACTCGCCACCTACCTTAAGAAGCCTGAAGCAAAGCACTTGATGGAGCTCGACCGTGCACTCCACTACCTCGTCAGCACCCCGACGATCGGACTAACCTACCACAAGACCGGAACTACGACACCTAAGTTAATAGGCTACATCGACGCCAATCACGCTGGAGACTCCGACAACAGACGATCTCGAACTGGCTACATCTACAGACTCGAACCTATCGGCCCTATCTCATGGCAGTCGAACAAACAAGAGCTAACCGCTCTCTCCTCAGCAGAAGCAGAATATATCGCACTCTGCCCAGCCACCAAGGAAGAGCTATATCTTCGCGAATTACTGGAGGAAGCAAAATCGGCTCAGTTACCCAGCTTCTCCCTCTTCTGCGACAACCAATCGGCTATTTGCATAGCGAACAGAAATGGGTTCGCGAATCGAACAAAACACATCGCCCTCCGGTACTTCTTCGTAAAAGACGAAATCGAGAAGGGAAGACTCGAGCTATCCTACTGTCCCACATCCGAGATGGCAGCCGATTACTTGACCAAGAAACTCGGAAAACAGAAGTCCGAATACTGCATGCTGCTGACTGGACAAGAACACGTCATTAGCAGCGACACTCCAGAAGCGAAGGGGAATGTTGGAATTGGAAACAAGTAATCTAACGCTTCTGAAGTAATCGAAGTATCGACACGAGAACGGAGCGGACTACAGCGAAACAACACGCGAGTCAACAAAAGCAACCGCTGGAGGTTACGCGAAAGTCAAAGGTCGCTGATCTTTGACTTGACGAAAAGTACAGTGCGACAGCAAGGACACATAACTGACTCGATACTGAGCAGTTACCCGAGTCGTCACTGTATCGAACCGCAACAGCAAAAACAGTCAAAAGTAGAACCTTTCATATTCCTTTGTAATCATATAAAAAGCTTGTATCTCTTTGTTATTATCATCTTATCTTGTTCTCACACACTAGTGCAAGGTGCTTCAAGCATTCTTATTATTACGCTTCCGCAAACTACAACATTCCTACTTCAAACTAGATCTTAGCCTTGAAAGATCCTAAGGGTTTTTTCTTAGCCCAACACCCAGCAGTGCACCGTTACCACTCGCGACACTCGTCTTGACCACTGTTCCCGCTACTGTTCACGACGCGACCCAACCTCACGGTTCGGTTGGTAACCCGCGCCCCGGACCTCCGCCTTGACATTACCCAACTTGGGCGCTAAGCCTGTAGCGCACCCCAATTTCTCGCATTACCGTTACCACGCTAGCTTAGCTATATATTTTCCGCTCATGCCTTCGCTCAATATAACGTTTGCTTCGATAGTGCAATTCTAGCTCACTCTCTCAATGCACTCCTGACATGTGAGCCCAGGGTTTAGGGTTTTAAGGTTTCGGGTTCAGGGTTTAGAGACCAGACATGTGAACCCTAAAACCCTAAAACCAGGAGTGGGGTTTTAGGATGGCCAAGCCCCACTCGTTACATGTGAGCCCATACTTTTGTGATCATGTTTGTCACCCCAAAAAGTGGATTGACTTTCTAGTGGGTAGGTACACTTTTTTCCCAACCCAACTCCTTGGCCAGGCACAGAAATTGCGCCTTTGGAAAAGTGTGATATTTATGACTTCCAAATATCTCGAGCCTGTGGATATTCGCGTCGCGAGAAGCTCTATCTGAAACACTTCTACAAACTGGGCAAATGAAAATCGCCAATTGTCGTCAGGAGAAATGAGAAAGGGGTTACCTCTTCACGAACTAAGCGTGCGACGTAACAGCACATCATATTGCAGCAGCAGAAGCTTCGCGAAGCCCATCTGTGAAACCAACAGCCATGGCCGCCTGGCTAGGCGGCGAGACTACTACACTACACGTACACCTGTCCAGATCCACAGTTGCGACCACTTGGGTTTGCCCCGATAGCGAGGGGTTCTCGGCCGGACCTGTTCCCTAAGGAGCTCCTCTCGTTCTTTCTGTCTTTATCCCAAGATTCGCCACGTTGTCACTTCTCGAACAATCTTCTAGCATTTTTATGCCTTCTAGTTCCTTCTTTTACAGACACTGGAATGGCAGTAGCCAATGAGACCTCTCACTCGCTCCCTCCATGGCCAACAACTGAAACCTTTAGCGACAATACTGTATCTCAGCCTTACAGATATTTTCCGCCATAAGCCACATCTGGCAGTCCACCCCACAAATATCGACCGTGCGGTTCAGCGTCACACGCTTCCACATGTCGCTAACTCACGATTTCGCGATCTCAGGCGATGCAATCGTCCTACTGATTCAATTGGTAGTCATACCCGAGTCCTCCATTGTCTGTCCTGGAAATCACTCTACTCTCACAGCAGAGAGTTTACTCCCGCAGATACATACCAGAACCGCAGCGACTTTTTATGGTAGTAGTACCGTCTCTTATTTGATTTCTTAGCTGCAATATACAAAAGGCCATTTACTTTCCGTAGGCGCCATGGGTTGTGTTCGTACCATGAAGCTCCGCAGACCGTACACCGCTGAACCGTACACGACTCCTCCATCTCCACAACGGGCCTCACGCCAACCATTTCAAGCCACTTCCACCGAGCCTGATACTTTCGGCATTGAATGGGAGATTCTCGGTAGCGTCTCTCCAACGTTTTCCAGTCCCGTGTGGATTGTAACGGAAACCGTCGACGCTTACGTCTTCTGCGTGGAGAGCAGAGGTTTCCCGCTGCAGCGCGTGCAAGTACTGCTGGACAAACGCGAATCTCCAAAGTTCGATGGAAACAGGTGCAGGGAAGGAGATACTGACTGTCGCGAAACAGCATTCGACCAGGACAGTGACTCGTTGAAGCAGTCATCAAGCAATAATTGCCTGGAATGCAGCGGCATGAATCCGAGCAGCATAGACGCATCGCTGCTTACTATTCTGTGTGACTTCCACCCAAACTCGCATAACTGCGAGGGGAACACCTTTCATCATACGACAGGCAGGCGGTTTAAACTGCCGCCTGACGCCGTCGCAGAGGACACAACCGCCATGCAGACGGCGACAAGATCGCTGGTCGTTTCCGTCCCTCGCTCCCCTTCAATATTCAACGGCTCCTCATCCACTTTAGCTACTCCTGAATATCGTTCCCAAAATTCCTCCGGACCAAGATATGGCCAATGGACTGTACACGTGGCATCAGCAGCGTCATCAGCGTCAGCCTCGTCATCATCGTTTCATTCAGAGAGACAGTATGAGCCATCTGCTGACTCATTTCAGCATTTCAATATGGACTTGCTTCAAGAGCTTAGGGTATGAAAGGTGCAATTTGACTGCATCTATTGTCGGGGCCTGGAAAGCGTCAGCCTGTACAGCTTACCATATCGCTTCATACAATGAAAAGGAGCGTCATTAACGTAAAAGGAGCCTTTACTTATCATTTCCAGAAGGCAGACATTCAGTGAATACCGGTAGCTCTGCCTGAACTGGGGGTACGGTACCTGCCGATGCAGCATGGTATAACAAATGATAAACTGCATGCTACAGATACTGTGCACATGCTGCTTCCATGTGAATTTGTAACAGGCTAGAGAACTACTCCTGAAGTTAAGGTCACGAAACAAATAAATTACTCTACGCATGCCAAGAAAGCAGGTCATTTGGCTTTATGAGGGCAATAATATTCCGATTTAAAAGGCTTGCACACTGCATGGTTGTTGCTCCCGCCAGTGCCGTACTGACCAATCAGCCAAGGACATGCAGCAAGGTTATCATACTGCTGTCCTGACGCCGACAACGGCATGTCACTGGATCGTGTCGCTCCACATGCCCCTAGATGGACACAAACACCAAGTAGCAAACAAACACATGAAAGGGGAAGAGTAAAAAGGAGGAAACTGTCATGTCAGGCCAGACGTCACAGTGTCACAGCAGCAGTGGGAGCTTGGTCCACGCAAGCTTTATCAGCGCATGTTCCACGCAATCTTGGAAGCTTGTTTCAGCTGCAAGGAGCAACGAGCAGCCATCAGAGTAACTATGACAAAAAAGGCCATCATGAGCAGCACAAAACAGCTGCTTAGGCTACAATAAGGTCATCATGTGGCAGTTAAAACACGTGCCGGAACGACAGCAAGACTGGCGTACATGATTACACCTAGGACACTACTACAGTGACACACAAACGATGTAGGAGACAGTTAATCGCAAAGAATCACGCACCTGGTTATGACTAGTCGAATATGCTACGCTTTGTGATACAGTGAGCTTAAGGGCTGTTACTATCCTTAAGACCAGTAAAGTCAGAATTACCTCCCCATCTTCAGTTCCCTTACCCAGTCCCATCACTTACAGTCACCTTTCCATTCTCCTTTCCATCCAACGTTCTGCCTGTTTCTGCAGCTACGCACTGTTGAAATGATAACTCTGTTGGGATGATAGCTTCGATCTGAAGGTGTAACCGAAGGCCAGGGATTGCCTTACTCTGCTCACCACCAAGCAATCCCAACTAACAACTCTGTTCATTACCCAAAAACTTAAATAAATGCTGCGATGCCTTCGATTTTCACCTGCAAGCTCACACACACCTCCTCAACTGCATCACTCACAATCCACCATTCCCAAAACGTCATCCAGATTACCTCTCAGCTTAAACTCCAAAAACCTCAACCATCACAATACACCCTTCCCACTCCACCCTCCCCCCCACGCTCGCTCACCTGAAGCACTTGCAGCACCAGAACCACTGCAACCAACCGCCATCACCGCTTGTTCTCCGCGCAGTGCTGCCGCAGGATCTGCAGCAGCGTCTTGGCCTCGGAGTTCTCGGCACTCGTCTGCGACACGCGCACCAGCGACGGCAGCACGCCCTCCGCGAGCAGATCCCCGTACGTCACAAACCCCATGGCCGCCAGCTGTAGCAGCACCGACGCCGCATCCTCCTTCACTCGCGCCGACGACCCCTCATCGAGAAGATCCACAAACATGGTGAGTCCATCAGATTCCACCACGGATTGGCACCCTTCCGGGAACCGGGCGAGGTTCGAGAGCACCGCCGTGGCTTTCTCTTCCAAGCCTGGCGGGGGAGGGTCGGCGGAGTCCCCCGAACCACACATGCCTAGCAAAACCTCGACAGCTCCGGCCTTGAGGATATCCCGGGCGCAGCGCACCTGGGTAGAGAGAGTGAAGAGAGCAAGTGCCGCGTCTTTCTTTGCTCGCACCGTGCCGGTTTTGAGGAGCGAGATGAGCGCAGGGATGGCACCGGAAGCTCGAACCATCAGTTTGTGATCGTCCTCCTTGGAGAGAGCAAACAGGGTGGCGGCAGCATTGCCTTGCGAGGCCGACGTGCCGTGATTGAGCATTCCGACCAGCGCTGGTATCCCGCCTGCTCGCACAATCTCCCCTGATGCGTTCCAGTGGAGGGATAGGTTCATGAGAGCAGCAACGGCATGCTCTGCTGCTTCTAAGTCGTCTGATTCGATTACTTCCACTAGCGGCTCGATCCCCCCTAGTTGCACCAGCTGCGCTTTGTTTTCCGGGCAGCCCTTGATGGCAGTTCGGATGTCTCGCACGGCTGCCCGCCGGTCCACACCTGACCCGAAATTCAGCGCCTCCACCATCGGGCCCATGTCCCGCCGAACCGGCGCGCCGCCCGGGTCATCATTGCTGCCGCCTGGCATGCTCATCATGCTGCACGTGCTGCGCGCGCTGCTGTTTCTCTGCAGCCGCGGCACACCAGGAACACCGCCTCCGCCCGTAGCAGAAGGCCCCTGCGGCGGCTGGGGGGGGAACTGAGGGGGAGGGGTCATGGGGGGAGTGGCATGACCATACCCCATGTCTACATCTTGCATTGTGGGGTTTGTGGTTGATTTTCTGAAAGCCCTGCCGGCCGATGATGTACTTTCCACGTCCACGTCGTGCAAGTGGGGCGAGGGGTTGGTCGGCGACTTTCGGAACGTTCTGCCGGCCGACATGGCCTCGATATCCGCCTGCCATTGCGGGATGGATGACGTCAGCCGTTCCAAACCCTGCCCCTGGCCCCCGCCATACCCACCCCCGCCACCGCCGCCACCGCCGCCGCCGCCAGCAGCAGCAGCAGCAGCGCCAGCAGCGCTTTTAAGCACGCCTTTCCGCAGCCCCTTGGGCCTGCCCCCGGTGCTGCCGCTGGGTGCCATCCCCGACCCTGCGCCCCTCCATGGCTCCCCCCCGCCTCCGCCCCCCTGCCCGTACTCCCCGCCGAACGCGGCGCCCGAGGTTCTGGGCCGCTCGTCGCCGGGATTCGCGGCGAACTGCCGCCTGCCGCCGCTGGCGCTGCTCGCGCCGCCCATGCTGCTGCCGTCAGTGGAATCCATACCGAAGTGGCGTCGGCCCCCCGTGCTGCTCCCGCTGCTGTTGCTGCTAATACTAGGCACACGCCCGTGCCCCACCGACCCCGGCCGCTGGGGCAGCGGGGACATGCTCGCGCCTGCTCCGCCTCCGCCTCCCCCCGCCAAAGTTCTCCCCGCTGGCGCCAGGTGCTCCCCGTGCCCGCCGTATTCCTCGTCCCCTCTCCCCCCTCCCCCGCCTGCCGCCCTATCCGCGTCTCTTTCAGATTTCTTCACCTTCCTGCCCGTATCTGTCTGGGACCGCATCTTCGCGCCGCTGCGCAGAGAAGGCGGCGCCGCCTCGTCCGCGTCGCCCGACGACGGCGCATCGGCAGGCATCCTTAGGCCCCCGCCGCCTCTAACTCCATCCGATCCTATGTCCGATAGTAGCTTATCTCGCTGCTTCCGCGTCATCTTCATACTCCTCCCCTTCATCAGATCGGATACCTTCCCCGGACCGCCACCCCCGCCGCCGCCGCCGCCGGCGCGGCCGAACTTGAGCGCGGACATTCCGCCAGAAAGCTTCCCCCCTACGTCATCGTCGTCGTCGGCGGGAGATCCGAACCCATCTTCACCGCGAGGAAAGTACGATAAATGCCGCTGCAAACCTCCTGCCTTCTTAGGCTTGCTGCTCTGCGACGCTATAGAATCCCATACGGCTTTAATATCCGTCGGCCCGTCAACTCCCGGACCATCGCCCATCGCCGCCACTTTCTTCGACAGGTTCGACGGCAGAGGGCTGACGGACCTCGCCCGAGCCTTTCCACCGGCGTCCGAACCACTTCCCGAGCCTGACGCCTTCCGCCCTCTCTCTCCCTTGCTCTCCTCTCCACCATCCGCACTCTTCTTCTTGACCACTTTTTTCTTCCGCACTACTCCATCGGAAGAACGTTCGAACTCCTGATCGTCTGGACCGCGCTCCGACTGAGACTGCGCCAATAGCGAAGGAGGAGGTGGTGTTTTCGGCCGCAACTGGCTGGTTTTCGAGGAGCTTTTTACCGCGGTTTTTTTCGCTGGGGCAGTGCTGGGTCGAGCAGCTGAAGAGTGGCTGCCCGAACCTTGCGCCATCCAATCAGAGATCATGCTTTTTAGGGCAAAGTTCGGGCAGAAGTTTGTATGGTCAATCCGCACGCCGGACTTGGGGCACGTCCGCTTACCCTCCGCGAACCACCGCTCGATAGAAGCACGCTCGTACGTCTGGCCTGATGCGATTATAACGGGGTCAGTCATGACGGTTAACGAAAGCGGACACATAAACTCCTCGGGTATTGTCGGTCCATTCGACTCAACCTTCTTACCACTGCTGCTGCTGCTACCGCCGCTCTCTTTCTTTTTTCTCGTCGGCTTTGCTTCCCGTTCCTTGGACGGTCTTCGCCGCTCCTGCTCCCCTACATGGTTATCCTCCTCCCACGCCTGATCCTCATGCCGATGCTGACGCCGCTGCTGCCTTTGCTGCCTATCTACAGTGTTTTCCCGCTCCCAATTAGACGGTCGGGGTTCGTCGTTCCATCCGTTGCCGTGGTCGTCTTGATAATCATCGTCGGGATGGTAATGATCCGACGATTGCGACGCTCTCTCCCAGCTATTACAAGTTGCTGGATCCATGATACGCGGTAACAGCTAGGGTTCTGGTCTGGAGGGGGGGAAAAAAAGAGAATACTTTTTGACAAAAACACAAACTGAAGGAAGCCGGGTTACAGAATCGTGGCCGTGCTCGTTTAGCGTTCATACACTCGAGTACAACAGGTCCAGATTGTGCTTGTTTTTATTGCTTCCGTACGTTGCGATAGAAAAGGAGAGGCGCAGAGAAACGAGTACAGAGAATTGGGTAGGAAAAGCCATGGCGAGCCTTCGATTCGCTTGCAACCACCAATGCAAAAATACACACTGAATGGGTGAAAAATGCTGAGCAAATGCCAGAGGTAATTTGAGCACTATTCAAGTTGAGGGATAAAAAATCAATCACTTCATTCGACAATGGGAAAGTGATACTTGAAAAGGCTTACACTCTTAAGTCGTCGAATAAAAACTGACTTCGTGAAAGACTCGAGACTGGACAAACCGATACAGCTACTGGTAACTAAGAGTATGGCACTGAACTCTAACAAGATCGGGATTGGCTTGCCTAGTAGGAACTCGGCTCAGATCGTTATCGTACTCCCTAACAAAATAGCTATCCTCGAAATCAAGCCGTTGGCAACGTCTTCGGCACCACCTAACTACCGGCATTCACGGCATCACGGCCATTCTATCGCAATCCTATTTCACAGCACAAACGCTTCCGGCGGAACATTCTGGACAACAACGAAGGAACCAGCTACGAAGAAAGACGCAAGGAAAACGCGACTTTTCGACTTGCTGTCAGGAGTTCTTAGGGTTACAGAAAAGAGAAGGGACCGAGAGCTTGCAATGGTTCTCATTCCTGAAATGCTGTTGGCTTTGGCTGATGTCATGGCGGATCAATTCCGTTGGACAGACGATAAGGGAGTGCTGCTTCTGAGTCGCGGTACTTGAGATCCTAAAAGCGGAGGTTATGATGAGTGCCGTGAGAGAGTTGAGCAATCTAAGCGAGACAGTTTTAAGCATCATGTGGTAACCCGACAGACCAAGGGATGCAATGAATCGGATGGATGAGCGGACGAGATGTGCCGAGATTGCAGTTCTGGTTGCAGGACTGGTGGTTTGGTGAGGTTGGGCTGGATGGGAAACCTTGGAATTCGGGGGGGACCGGGCAGAGTAATGGGCATAATGGACAGTGAAAGATTGGTCTGAGGGAAGATCACGAGGGAGAGGTGAGAGAAGGGCAAACATTTGGTGGTTGGGAGGGAGCACCGCGGGCAGCATTCTCGGGAGGTTGGTGGAGGTGACAGCAAAAGGCACCGCTATTAGATTGGAGGGCGGTATACAAATTCACTTTTGAGCATTTTTAACAAACCTGTAAAGAGTATATACTCAAATATGTTTGAGTAGTATGAAGAAGAAAATATTCTGAAATGCATACTTCGTGATATCTTCCTTGACCAAGTGTGACTTATGCGACCATGCGTAACGAGTGTGCCAATATTTATGCTACTTATAGAATGTTTTCCACCTCATTCTTTAGATAGCCTTCGGCACAAAAACATTTTGTGGATCATGGAATAGCAGCAAGGACAGTTATGCAACACATACCCTCCATGTTGTAGAATCTGTCAATATTTGTTCAGTACAGGGCTTGCCGAAAAAAAACCATGTTACGATTACGGCCATCAGAGCTGTGCTGCACCGGTCGATGCCCGAATCCCTATATGGGGCAATCAATAGCTGGCCAATGTCTGGCTGACATTGACACGGCCAGGTGACGCATTCTTGTTGAACTTGGACCACTTGAAGTCCTCGTACTTCTTCCCCACCCCAATCAGCCCAAGAGCACTCTCAGCCGGCGAGTTATCCGTCTCCTTCACTCCAATATCCGTCGACTTAAAACCCTTGGCTGGCCCATCCACGGCAACCAGCTCGCCATCGTACGACAGGAATTGAATCACTGTGGCATTGCCATTTGCCGGCTGTGAAACTAGCGCCATGCCATCTGATGGCCCGTTCTGCAGGCCTCCCTGAGCGTACGTGTTGCCATACACCACGAAGCCGTTCACGTTGGTGGGAGGAAGGTTGAACTTGGAGAGAGGAAGCTTGCCGTAGGTCTTCCCGTTAGCTCCGTTGTAGAGGTAGATGGTGAGGGTGGAGGGGTCCACGCCCGGACTCACAACCACCTCGATGAACTGCATTGGAGCGTCGGTGAGGGAGGGGGGAAACGAAGACAGGGGTGCAAAGAGACAAATGAGGAATGTCGCAGTGGCTTTGGACCAAACGTGCCTGTGGGGATCTGGGTTTGGAGAAAGGTAGGGTTCGAGGGAGTAAGCAGGGTGATTGGGAGTGAGGGGGGCTTCAGGTGGAAAGAGCAAGAAGAAAGGCTGAGTGCAAAAAGAATTTGGGTGGAAAGGTTGAGAGAATGACGTGGATGAGATGGCGCTAGGTAGACAGCTCTGTCAAGTGCTGCAAGGTGGGTAGGTAGGAGGATTATCGAGGGAGAACCCTGCAAGCAATTTAGTTCTCCCTCACTGCTTCAACCCCCTTTTCTCGATTCACCCTTTCTCCACCTCCCTTCGCCCTCCCACGCACTCCCCAACCCTCGTCCTCCCTCACCTCTCACCCACCCACCTCGTTCTTGTCCGGCCCTTCATTGCTGTAGTGAATCTCATTGAACCATGCCTTTGCCTGCAAACCAGGCGCGCGTGGAGCAGCCACCCCGCTCGCCCCCCCTGCTGCTGCTCCCAAGCCTCCCCCGGCGCTCCCACTGGCGGTGCTGCTCCCGGCAAGCTGAATCCGCTCCCCGAGCCTGCGCCCAAGTCTGCCCCCGAGCCTACGGCTGGTGCCGAGGCTGGCCCGGCGGTCCAGATGAGGGAGACGAACTCAGGGTGGTCGACGAAGGGGTTGCGGTTGTGCTGGTAGAGGGAGCACACGCGGGCGTTGCGCGTGGTCTCAAGGGATGAAGGCGGGTCGATGGCATGCCACTTGAGGAGAGGTGAGAGCAGCCCCATCTGACCCTCGGCTGCAGGGATTCGGATGCAAGCGAGGTAGGGAGGGATAGAGAACGGTGGTGGGTTGGTTAGAGGGCGGGTCAATGGCATGCCACTTGAGGAGAGGTGAGAGCAGCCCCATCTGGCCTTCGGCTGGAGGGAGTTGGATGCCAAGGAGGGAGGGATGGAACGGTGGGAGGAAAGGGTAGAGGGAAGGGAAGAGGAAGGAGAATCGGAAGGGAAAGAGAGAGTGACATTTAAGACGAGGGGTGAGCAGCCCATTTTGGGCTTCAGCTGGCGGGGAAAGGGGACAGAGGCGTGTGAATTGTGCAGAACAAACAGCTTAAAGGAAAGCATCGCCATGGCATACCGATTTTGGGGTTGTCTGAGAGCTCGAGGTCGAGCTCGCCTGGCACAGAGCCATCGTATCTCACAGCCATGTAGAGCAAGGCACGTGCTATGTCTCCCCGCACCTGGTTCAGAAATGCACAGGCACAAGGATTGCACGAGGCGGTCAGTTTGACAGTGCTAGGCAAGTATGGCAATGGTATCGTAAACATTGGAGTGCTAAAGCGAGGCAGTGTCTGTATGCGTACAGGCAGATGGAATTCATGAGGTGGTTGGACAGAGAGAGACGAGACACCATTGCAGTTGATTCTGTGAGGGTGTGTATGATGACGCATAAATGCCTTAGTGTGTGCTCACATGGAAAGTCCGAGTGCATACAGGTCGGAAGTGGGTTGAGAATATTCTTGAGTCGACTCAAAGAAAGTCCGAGTGCATACAGGTCGGAAGTGGGTTGAGAATATTCTTGAGTCGACTCAAAGAAAGTCCGAGTGCGTACAGGTTGGAAGTGGGTTGAGAATGGGTTGGAAACAGAAAGGCAGCACGAGAGCAAGAAAAGAAGGCAGGAAGTAAGAAAGCAAGAGGCAAGAACACTAGCACGCACCTCAGTGGGGGGAGTCCAGTCGTCCTTGTTGGTGGTGGTATCCGCTGCTGCCTCCCTGTTGGCTGGCACCATACAGGCACCATCTTTTGAGGCGCCTCAAACGACGCAAGAAAGCAAGCACGCACCTCAGTGGGAGGAGTCCAGACGTCCTTGTTGGTGGCGGTATCTGCTGCTGCCTCCCTGTTGGCCGGCACCATACAGGCACCATCAGTGGACGCGCATTCGCCGAACCACTTGTTGCCTCGGGCGGAGTTGACTGTTAGTGACATGACAACAATGAGGGGAAGTGTGGTAATAAGGATGAGATTACGTGACAGTGGACAAGGGTGTGATAGATAGCCAGCACGGTCCCTTTCCAAACCCAGCAAAAAAGTGAACATCATGTCACTGATCCAAATCCGCTACCAGTGCAGCCCAGCACGTCACAAAGCCTACCATTGACATCAGCAGGTCTCAGGTTGTGAAGGTCGGAGAACTCAGGGCGGCCCTGAGTGAGGCCGTAGGAGCGCGGCCACAGATGGGTAGAAGGAGACAGCGATTTCAGTACAGTTAGTACAATTACTGCAATATCTTCAAGATTCCAGAACTCATTGCAATCCGTGAAGTCACTGCTATAACAGCAATCAGCACAGTCGTCGCTATCAGTTGCCACTCACTGTTCCAGCCTTCAGGCGTGGCTTGTGTGTCCTTGGGCACTGCCCTACGCGTGTAGATCTCCACACTGACCATGGGAACACACAGGGAGAACCAGGAATAGCGAGCAGCGGTGAGGAAGAGGGGGGAAGGAAAACGAGGAAGGGAGGGAACATTTGATTGCGCAAAGTGTGCAATTTTGTGTATTACTCGTGGTAGGCCCACTCACGGACAGTGAGGAAAGGAGGGACCACTTGATTGTGCAAAGTGTGTGAATCTGTGGATTACTCGTGGTAGAGCCACTCACACGTCACGGGATTTAGCAGGATCTGATTGGTCCGCTGCATCAAGAATCTTCAGAGCATCCCATGCCTGTCATGAGTTCAAATATCGTGGGAGGGAGGGGGTTCTGGAATAAGTGAGAGGGGCCAGTCTTCTTGCACGACACTGACTAATTCGTGGAGTGTGATGTTGAAAAGAAACGATGGAGCTGATAGAGGTACTATAGCCATCCATTGCTGCCCAATGAGTAATTACCCGTGGCTGACAGCCTCTTAGCACCAATAAATTCCTTCAAACTACCTCCTCAGGTGATCCATTACTCCCAGTACTACCTACCTCGGTGTAGGTGTACACTTTGTGACCCTTTATAATGTCGTTCAGCTTCGCCTTAAGAGCCTCCCCCTTCAGCCCCTGCGTCCCTGCATAGTACTGCTCCACGTCCTCGCATGGGAACTTCGTGGAAGCTGCTTCGGCTGACCATGGTGCGAAGCAAGCGGCTGCTGTGGGCGTGAGAGTGATGAGGGTTGCTAGCAGTGCTGCTGTCGCCTTGGATGCAGCTGGGGAAGAAGACAGAAAGGGAGGGTTTTGTGGGTGTGAGGAGCGAAAGCAGGCGAGAAGGCAGGGTCGTAAGTTACCGTTGTCACGTTTTCGTTTTTATAAACATTTCCATGTTGGTTCCGCTTCCACTTTGACAACTCGTGAACCGTTACCGCAGGTAATGGAATACCGAAACGACCAATGCTCTCGATTCCAGCATTCCAGCCAGACCAACAAGCATTGCTAGTCAAACGCCTGGACAAAACGCAGAATCATGACCGAATTCAAGTTGAAATCGATAAATTCCTGGCCAGACGTCACCGATTCAAGCGAAGGCGGGCGACAGATAGCTTGCAACGATCCTTGAAATGCCGTACCTTTCTGGCCAGACGTCAAAGTTTCCTGCAGAGACTCCAGCCGTCCGTTGCCATGTCTACCTCGTCCACTTCCCGTCGCGTCAGAACGAGACGACGCGGATGTGAAGCGTTGGGAGCGGCAAAGAACCGGACCTGCTTGCCTGGTCCTCCGGGAAGCACCCGTGACCGCGGGGCCTCCAGGGGCCGCGATTGTCAGTGAGCGTACGGACGAGGAGGAGGCTGTGCTGGCCAATTGGGAGCTTCGTTGAAGGAAATCTGTCTGGGGTCGACCTCCCTGTGGGATGGAGTGGACGGAGAGGGGGGTTTGCGGAAGGCACGGGTACGATGAAGAAAAGCGCGAGTCCAGAAAGTGGGAAAGTGACGGAAACTACGGGTACATTGGAACTCACGGCGGTCAATCCGCGAGCGCTCATCAACGAGCAGTCAGAAGCCAGCAATGCCATTGCGAATCAGCGAATCCAACGATCCAGCAGCAGCACTGCGTAAATGCCGCGTGAATTCGGTGTTTGGGACACCAGACGGGGAGTAGTCAGCTGCGAACTAAAAGAATTCTGTCGATCAGCAATGAAATGATCGATGATCAAGGATATGTATGGAGTCGCAGAGCAACTCCAACGATTTTTTTTCCAGGGAAGAGCAGATGAAAGATGTTGGAATTCTCGAGAATGTGACACGTCATCGAGAGAATTCTGGCTTGGAAACCGTACCGAGCGTACCACACTTCGGCTCGGCCGAACCAGGTTCTCATTATGTGTAATTCTGCTCCGTGCATCATCCCACCACCCTCGACAAACCTCATGGTTCCGAAACACTGTGATTGGCTGTATGCTCTGGCCTCCTCCTCTTATTGGACGCCGCCTCGTCAAAGTGAATGTAGCCTTGATCTTGGTATCTGTGACACAACATGGGTGGATGCCAACAAACCTCAGGCTCGGAAACATTTTCCTTGTTTCAGAAATGGGACTCCTGGCAGGCCAGCAACGAACACATCCACCTCCATGACCACCACACAGATAGACGGAACAGCAAAATCGCCCTCTTCTGTCTCACATTTCTCCTCGGGACGGGAATCATCAGATAGAGCGTCACCGTTACGTTACGTCCCGTTATTGTATCGGAATGTCGACAGGCATTTCTTTAGGGACGTGTCGCCAGGTTCCCTTGCAAGGTTTTCGGTGTCGCCATTCGGTGTCGCCAATATCGGCGCCGGTCTCCTACCATCCTGCGTCGAGATCGCTATTCCCTACATCTGCACCTGGAGCTCTTGGCTCGATCACAAGAACGGGAGGAGGCATTAGGTATAGAAAACGATGCCAGGAAGGAATATTTAACAGTCGCATTTCGGGGAGCAGCGTTTGGAATATTCGCAGCCTTGCAGAGACCAACTTGGAGCAAGGAAACCAGTCTGATGTAAACCCGCCACGCACCGCCAGATCTTGCGTATCAGCTGATATTTCTGGTAGACGAGCCTTCCTTGCAGGTGCAGCAGCACTGGCAGCAGTCCCTGTTGCAACTGAGCCATGGGGGATTAGAAGCTTCACGGAGCCTGGAGCTGCACATGCAGCTGTTCTGCCAGGGCGAGTAGGGCAAGGGCCTCTGTTGGCTGCTTTGAGCGAAGATGACGAGGACACCATCGTGTCTCTGTTTGAGGTGAGGGCCGCCTGTGCTATGGTAATTCCGCATACTTTGTCCGTTCCGTTGCGGTGAGGCGTGATCATCTCTTATCGTCTAGCAAATATAGGCGTGATCGTCTCATTTTTGAATGTGTCATGTCGTTTTGCATAATTTTCTTCCGTTTAGCAACTGTCATTCTCCTTGCATGTCCATCTTCCCTGCACGTTTCCCCACGTCGTGCTTCCAGAACGCAACGGCGTCAGTCGTGTCTATTATGAATGTGGAAGTGAATGGCAGCGGCAAGGGAAAGGGAGGAGCTGGAGAGGAGGTCATGGAAGGAATCGGCTCCGGTTTTGTCTGGGATGAATACGGTCACATTGTAAGATACTGCTATCATTGCGTTGATGGTGCGCTGTAGAACACTGTCTGGGCATGTTACAGTGCAATGCGATATCACACAGACCCATCAATAATAGTCAGGAAGTCATTGCGGTGGCTCGGTCTCGAAGGATCTATCACATTGAGATTGACAATGGTCAGGTGTATGCTGTGCATGCCTCTACATCATCTCATGCACATGGTAGTGATCTCCTTCCACCTCCATCTCGCTGACGTGGCAGGTCACCAACTACCATGTGGTTGCCAAGCTGGCGACTGACACTTCTGGGCGGCAAGCCTGCAGGGTGAGAATGGAGGGAAGTGGAAGGGAGAGTAACATTGCAAGAGGTAGAGGGTGGTGACGTTTCTGCTCAAAGAGGAGGACGTTGTAGTCATTCAAAAACTTTCACCACCAGTGCTGTCATTGTTACCTCTCCCCTCTACTTTTGTCCCTGATTGAAGCTCCCAAACGTATTTTGCTACAATCCTCGCCTGCCTCTCCCTCTCCAGGTGTCTCTTCTCGCCCCAACAGGCGCCATGCAGACGTACGCTGCTACTCTTGTCGGCACCGACCCCTCCAGAGATCTTGCTGTCCTCAAGGTGAGTGTTCTGGAGAATCTTTCGCCTCATTTGTTGGTTCAGCTAAATGGATGGATGATCCCAGAGATTGACCCACTCAAAGATTCATATCCTGGAATCAATTTCTGTTAGAGCGCCCACATTACTTCTGATTGTGCCCTGTATTTCTGATGTTACCAGGTAGAACTATCTCAGCCTGTACCTGAAGCAGCGGAAACAAGTGCAGCAGCAGGCGGTGCAGTAGCGGTAGCAGCACCAGCAGCACCGACGCTGTATCCCATTCCTGTGGGCTCATCATCGGACCTGAGGGTGGGCCAGAGCTGCTTCGCCATTGGCAATCCCTATGGCCTGCAGCACACACTCACTGCTGGGGTACGCGTCTCATTTTCTAGTCGTCTCAAACTTCATTGGCCATCTCTATGGCCTGCAGCACACACGCTGGGGTATGTGGGTCCTGTCGGCTTCAGGCGAATGGTTGTGATGAAACAGGGAGATGCTGCAGATGTGAATGATACTGCCGTGGATGTCACTTGTAGGATGAAGCTGGTACGGATGACACTGGTACAGATAATACTGCTCTATGTGGCATCAGGCTACGTTGTGTACATTGTCGGTGATGATGTAGTATGGCAGGCAGTACTCCCTCATTTCATGAGGTGTTAAGTGGGGTGGGTGATTGATGGGGTGGTGATACTGGGACAGAAGGTTGATGATTGGGGTGATACAGAGGGCTCAGTACATGCCTTGTGCTTTTCCCTCCAGGTCATCAGTGGGCTAGGCAGGGAGATTCCGGCACCAACGGGTGCTGCGATCAGGGGAGCGATTCAAACTGACGCTGCAATCAACGCAGGTGAGACGCTCAGTTGTGACATGCGAGGAGGTGGGGAGAGCGGGGGAAGGAAGGAGGGAATTAGAGTGGGAGGTTTCGACTACTGCTGGCATCAGCTTGACCAATTCCTGCACCGGTTTATGTGAGCGCTCTTGTGAAGCCCTACTGACTCGATTCATTCGTGTGTTCAGGTAATTCCGGTGGTCCTCTGCTCGACTCCTTTGGACGGATCATTGGAGTAAACACTGCAACTTTCACTCGATCAGGTTAGTCATGTCACAGGGGTGGATGTGAGCTTCCGGTCATCTTTGGTTGACTGTTGCAAGAGAAGGCGGTTTGGTTGGTAGCTGTGCACGATTCTCAACTGTGTTGTGGTTCCCGTCCCCTCCACATTGCACATTACAGGTTCTGGCTCTTCATCCGGGGTCAACTTTGCCATCCCAGTTGACATGGTCAGGAGAGTGGTGCCCCGACTTATTGTCTATGGTGCTCCTAGACCACCAGCGGTGTAGGCACTACGTATTATTTCCTTATTCAGCAGGGGTCAATAGTTGCTCATATTGTATCAATGGTGGTGATGAATTTATGAGAGGTCCCGGAATCAGGGGATGATCTCAATTAGTTATTGACTAAATGATTTGTGGTGAATTGCTTGTTGATCCACACACATGAACTTTACAAAGAAAATGCTTGTACTGACAACCAACGTGGCATGCTGAGGGAACGTTATCCACGTCACCACATCCTCACCCCCGATTTCCCCCACTTCGCGAGCCTTCCCGAAATAGTCACTCAGCTGTACCTTCGATGTTCTGAATTCGCCAATCGCAGACTCCGTGGAACATGGATTTGTCAAATGTCTGGCTGCGGGTAACCCGCTTCTTCGTTCATAGGCGATAAACCAAGTGAACATCCTACTGCAGCCTCCCCTAGCTCCTCTTGTCCGGCAGCCTATCTTTCTGACCGACCTCGCTTCCGACCACAGCAATCCCTGCCAGAAGCAACCTACAGTTCTCAAGGTGAAACGACCATATTGATATTGGTGGACTCATTTCAGAAAGGATTCTTGGTTAGACTTTCACCATGGCTGCCTTTGCGAGCTCTCTCGCGCTCTCCGCCACCTCCGCGGCTCCCCGCGCTGCCGTCCGTTGCTCCGCTGCGGAACCCGCTCCGTCCAGCCAGGCCGCTCCGGCTCAGGTCCGCGTGGCTTCGTCGGGCCTTCCGTCCTTCGCGAGGGTGTCCGCGGAGAATGCTGCGACGGCGATCGACCCGTCTGCGACGTTCGCGAACGTGATGTGGGCTCGCACGTACAACACGCAGATTCTGGTGGGCGAGAGCGAGAGCACGGAGTCGGTCGTGCGACGGTTTAAGAAGACTTGCATGGAGGCGAACATCGTGAACGAGTGTCGCAGGCGACGCTTCTTCGAGACGCAGCAGGACATCGTCAAGCGCAAGCAGAAGGACGCCGCCAGGCAACGCAAGCGATTCTCGTGAGTCTCCCGTGGTTACCCTAACATGGTTTTTTCTGTGTTTGTTTTTCTTGTTCGTTTTTTTGCGAAGGATCTTCGCTAGATTTTTGCCAAGCTGTATTGGCGACTTCGACCGTCATGCGAGAGCATGAGCGCAAGAATGGTGCTTCAAGACAGTTTAGTTGACTTGGCTGAGATTTGTCCTTTTTTCAGAAAGCACTCGCGCAGAACTCGCCATTCCATGCCAATGTCGCCATTCTCTTCGCGTCCGTGCGGGCTTGACGCGGAAGAATCAGGGTTTATGAGTAGGTCGGACGGAGCATGAGAACGGCTTATCTCCGGTGCGAGTAAGGGTTTCTCGCGCATAGAAACGCCAACGGGCAATCGCGGGCTGGCAGTTCGCCTGGGCGGCACACGTGGCGCGAGTGCGGTTGCAACGTCTTAGTAAGCGTTACGGAGCAGGATAAGGTAGCACGCAGTCGACACTCGGGCGGCACTCGGGTTGGCGCCCGGTGGGACGTGGTTACCAGAGCCGCTAGATTGAACGGTGGTTCCAGAGGAGCAGCAGCTGCAGGAGGGGGTCAAGCTGAAGGGCATAATAGGCGCCTTATAATCGTCTCATCACTCGCGTAGGAGGACGAGCAGCAGCAGTGAATAGCGTCGTAGGTTAGGAGGGTTTCGGCAGCGGCACAGGGGACCGTCGCATTGTAATGAGAACAGGAAAAAATGTTACAAGAATAGGGACTGTATCGTTGTCATCCGCAGCGTGGTATCGCTTCGTAGCAGCGTCACTGCAGTCTCATCAGAGCACGAGATTTGTGCGACCCGCTGTAGTTGTCGTCGTTGGGAACGCTGTATATTCTCATCCCGTTCCTTCAGCTCCTCAACATACGTTCGCTATATACTATCATTCTACACCCATCTGTACCCGTGCCCGGGCAGCCGCCAGCCAAGCAGCAATTGAGGTCCACGTCATATCATATCGTATCACACCATATCATATCCTATCATATCATACCATATCATACCATACCACATCATATCAATTTGTCATACCGTATCAAACCATACCATACCATATCATATCATGCTGATGTCTGTGTGTACCTTGTGCTTCTGACTGCATGTGTGCCTCCTCCAACCCTGCTGCCCCTCCGTTCACACACCTTCTGCAAGTTCCTGCTGTGCTGCTTCTCATCCCTCCCTCTCTCCGCCTCTCACTGCTTCCTCTCTTCCACTCTCTCACCATGATTCCCAACACGCGTGCCTCCTACTGCTCTCGCCCCTCCACACACACCCCTGCAAGTTCCAGCAAGGCAGCAGTAGAGGGAGGGACGTACCGTTCAAAGAATAATTTCATTGCCCTTTATTCATGATGTCTCTCCATACCTTGTTCTGCCGTCTCCCTTCCCCACCACAGCCGTGCCTCCTCCGGCCCACGCCCTTTCTTCACGCGTGACCCGGCAGCGGCCAGCAAGGCAGCAGCCACCTCCAACGACGATGACGATGATTTCTGGGATGCCAAGGTCGAGCTGTAGAGGGCACTTGCCAAATTGCCGTCATTTGTGGGCTTTAATGCTGGATATTACTGTACTGTAGCTGCTTCAAGTCATTGGCAGTGCGTAACTACAGCAATTTCCATGAAGTTCTGATTTACCTACAGAGTGTAAAAAACTAGAGATGCAAGTAACAAATGAGTAGCACTGGTACAGTAAATTTGGGACGTTTTTACCAAACTGCTGAAAGTGGCGAAATTGGCACGTATGCAACGCAAGGGAAGTCGTGAAGAGAGCTGACTGGTGAGATTATCTTTAATGGAGTAAAAGCTTCCAAAATTACCGTACAATGAGCTGGAATACTGTTGAACAAGCACCCAGTTCAGTGCCCAAGACGTAGCAATACACCTATTCTTCAGTTTGGTTTGAGAGAGTAGTACCATCTTACGGAGGAACAGGCATGCTACGGTAGCAACTACAATACTACAGGTTCAATGCACTTCCAAGCAACGATTGCAATACAACGAAGTGTAGCAAAAAAGAAGAATCATGTCATGGCTTGGTGAAAGCTTCCAGAATGTTCCGGCGAGCCGACAGCTTCTCCACCTTGTCAGGCTTGAGGGACTGCCAGAGAATGGAGTGACAGGTTGGGTGGGAATGGTGGGGATGGATGATGCTTGAAAAATCTAGTTTTGAGGCACCTCAAAACTGGTTGGGTGGGAATGGTGGGAATGGTGGGAATGGTGGGAATGGATGGTGCTTCAAAAGGTGGCCACTGGACACCACACCGGAACTCATGGTTTGAACAAACGTACTTGGAGAAGTGCTGTGCTTCAGAAGGCATTTGTGTTGTGGTATGCGATACACAATAATGATGATGCGTTTATGGTATGGTTTTGAGAAGAACACCATAATATGGTCTCAACACCAATGGACTGCTCATGCTGCAACTCACCCCTGCCAGCAGCTTGGAGAGGCAAACGCGCTCCATGCTCACATACTCACACAGAGCACAGCACCGTCTCACACACATGCACACCCCACCACACTGTATTGCACCATGCGCACTCACCCCGGCGAGCAGCTTGGAGAGGCGGGCATGCTCCTTGCCCACATACTCCTCGCCCTGCTCCACTATGTTCTTCATTGCCTTCTGATAAAACACCCCGTGCCTGGTGGGTGGGGTGGGAGAGGTGGGGTGGGCAGAGAGGGATGCATGAGAGGCATGGAGGCGAGAAAGAAGCACTTGAGAGCTACGCCACTCACTCCTCGCCACTCACTCCTCGCCCTGCTCCACTATGCTCCTCATCACCTTCTGATAAAACACCCCGTGCCTGGTGGGTGGGGCGGGTGGGGTGGGTGGGGTGGGCGGGGTGCGAGAGGTGGGGTGGGTGGGGTGGGCGGAGAGGGAGGCATGGAGGAGAGAAAGAAGCACTTTAAAAGCTACGCCAGTCACTCCTCGCCCTGCTCCACTATGCTCCTCATCACCTTCTGATAAAACACCCCGTGCCTGGTGGGTGCGGTGGGTGGCATGGGAGGGAGGAGAGGCACGGAAGGCATGGAGGAGAGAACGAAGCAGAAGCAGTTTCAAAGATTGTTTTTTGAGAATTCTCAAGAAACAGTTTCAGAGATCGTCTTTTGAGAATTCTCAAAAAACAGTTCCACAGATCTGTGCCATGACCCCCCTCCCCCTACTCCCACAAAGTTGTCATTTTTGAGACGCCGAAAGAAATACTCTTTTCATCTCTACCTTTTACACGTTGCATGATCGCACGATCCCCCTCCCCCTACTCCCACAAAGTTGTCATCACTCTCTCTCACCCCTCCATCTCTCCTGCATCCTCTCAGCACTCTTCACTCTCAGCCACCTCCACCGCCCCCCTCGCCCGTATGCTGCACCCATATCCCCCCTAACCCTCTCCCGCCTCCTTCTCCCGTCTCCTTTCCCCTCGCACTCACTCCTCCAGCTCGGGCGCATCACCAATCCCATTGCCCTTACGCCCCCACTCGCCCTCTAACGCCCCGACCCGCGCACCCCTTCCCCCCCCTCTCCTCCTCCCCCCCCCCCTTTAAACAACTCACTCCTCCAGCTCGGGCGCCACCACCACTCCCATCGCCCTTGTGCGCCACTCGCCCTCTAAAGCCCTGACCCGCGCACCCCTCCCCCACCCTCTCCTCTGCCCCCCAACCAAGCAACTCACTCCTCCAGCTCGGGCGCCACCACCACTCCCATTGCCCACTCCATTGCCCCACTTGTATGAGACACTCCCTCAACCCCTCCGCCCGCCCTACCCGTCCCCTCCCTCCCATCCCCTCGCACTCACTCCTCCAGCTCAGGCACCACGACCACTCCCATTGCACGCTCCATCAACCCCTGCTTCTCCGCCTCCGGCGCTTCCACGAAGCTTCCCGCCATCGCGTCCAGCTCAGCAATGCGGCCCACCTGCAGGGGGGTGGGGGGGGGGGAGAAGGGGGGGCGAGGGGGCTGAGGGGAACAGGTTGGGGAGAAGGGGAAGGGGAGAGATGGGGGAGGGTCAGAATAGCAGAGGACTTACGGTGCCTACAGTGCCTTGTCAAGGGGAACTCCATAGGAGGAGAGTTTGGTGTCAGTCCAGAGGTTGATGAGAAATGCACGAGATCCGTGAGGGTGGGCAGGGTGGTTGCTTGCACTTGATATCCTTGAAGGGGAGAGTGTCGTACCCTCGTTTTACCTGTACCATACCGTACCATACCTGAGAAAACCACAGTGACAGTAGCTTATCAAGGGAGACGCCATAGGAGGACTGTGTGGTGCCGGTCCATTTTTGAGGCGCCTCAGAAAGGGAGACGCCTTAGGAGGACTGTGTGGTGCCGGTCCAGTGATTGACGAAATGCGCGAGGTGCACAAAAGCGGGCAGGGGTTCCCTGGTAGGTCCAGGTAGATGGTGCCGTACCTCATTGTACCGTACCTCATTGTACCGTACCTTATCCAGAGGCACCCCATAGGACTGTGTGGTGCCGGTCCAGTGGTTGACCAAGTGCACGAGGTGTGAGCAGGAGGGGGCATGGGCGCTCTAGGAGATCCGTGAGGGTGGGCAGGGGGTCGCCCTTGAGGTTGTTTAGAAGGGGAGAGTGCCGTACCTCACTGCACCACACCGTACTGTAAGGCACCTGCCTTCACCGCACCTTATCGAGGGGAACCCCATAGGAGGACCGTGTGGTGCCGGTCCAGTGGTAGATGAAATGCACGAGGTCAACGAGGGAGGGCAGGGGTTCCCCCTTGGCGATCAACGAGGGAAGAGTGCTGTATCTCAATGCACCGCACTGTACCTACCGCACCTTATCCAGGGGAACCCCATAGGAGGACTGTGTGGTGCCGGTCCAGTGGTTGACGAAATGCACGAGGTCAACGAGGGTGGGCAGCGGGTCGCCCTTGAGGTCCTCTCCGTACTTGTTGGTCCTGGTGAAGAACTTGAAGAATGGATACTCTGTGATCTTGAACCTGTGGGAGGTGTAAGGGGAGCAGGGTGGGAGGTGTAAGGGGAGCAGGGTGGGAGGTGTAAGGGGAGCAGGGTGGGAGGTGTAAGGGGAGCAGGGTGGGAGGTGTAAGGGGAGCAGGGTGGGAGGTGTAAGGGGAGCAGGGTGGGAGGTGTAAGGGGAGCAGGGTGGGAGGTGTAAGGGGAGCAGGGTGGGAGGTGTAAGGGGAGCAGGGTGGGAGGTGTAAGGGGAGCAGGGTGGGAGGTGTAAGGGGAGCAGGGTGGGAGGTGTAAGGGGAGCAGGGTGGGAGGTGTAAGGGGAGCAGGGTGGGAGGTGTAAGGGGAGCAGGGTGGGAGGTGTAAGGGGAGCGCCCTTGCGGTCCTCTCCGTACTTGTTGGTCCTGGTGAAGAATGAGTACTCTGTGATCTTGAACCTGGGGGGGGAAGAGGGGGGGGAGCACAGGGGGAAGAGGGGCAAAGAGAGCAGTGGCAGAGGGTGCTCCGGGTGGGCGGCGGGCCCCCCTTGAGACCTTCCCCGTACTTGTCGGTTTTGGTGAAGAGCTTGAAGAATGGATACTCTGTGATCTTGAACCTGTGGGGGAGGAACGGGGCAGGGGAAGGAGGGCAGGGGGGCAGTGGGGCAGGAAAGCAGAGGGGAAGGGTGGGAAGTGTGGCAGGGGGGACGCATTGGAAGGGGGAACGCAGTGGGAGGGGGAACACCGTGTGCCACACCTGCCACATCAGCATTGCGCACCTGCCACGTCAGCACGCCCCACATGCCACATCAGCACGCCCCACCTGCCACATCAGCATGCCGTTGTTGTCTGTGGCAAAGACAATGCTCCTTGAGACGTCTCAACAAAGGGGGCCCGGGTGACAGGCGAGCAAGCAAGCCAGCCCCTCAAGTCTCACTCACCTGTGGGGGCCCCACCGGCCTGACCCCACCGGCCTGTCCCCTGGTAGCGAGCAAGCCCCTCGAGTCCCACTCACCTGTGTGCGAGCATGCCGTTGTTGTCCGCATCCACCTTGGCGAACACAATGCTCTCCTCGCCCTTGAAGATGTTTGCTAGCTTCTCCACCGTCTGGTGTGCACACATACACGGGGGAGAACGGGTGGGGGCAGGGCGGAATGGGGGCAGCATGGCATTGCTGTCAGCATCCGCTCTCCTCGTCATCAGAAGCGACGGGTGAGATGAAATGACGGGTGAGATGAAACGACGGGTGAGATGAAACGACGGGTGAGATGAAACGACGGGTGAGTCGAAACGACGGGTGAGTCGAAACGACGGGTGAGTCGAAACGACGGGCGAGACGAAACGACGGGCGAGACGAAACGACGGGTGAGACGAAACGACGGGTGAGATGAAACGACGGGTGAGTGAGATGAAACGACAGTTTACCTTGGTCATCTCCTTGCAAGGCTTACACCTGGGATGAGGGAGAGAGGGGAGTGGGAGAGGAGGGAGAGGGAGAGAAGGGAGAGGGAGAGAGGGGAGTGGGAGAGGAGGGAGAGGGAGAGAAGGGAGACGCAGGAATGGGGACGGTTAGGCAAGGAGAAAATCAGGAAGAGAAAAGCTCTAACGCATGTGAACGAGTGTGTTGGTGCGAGTGTGTGTTTGTAATTGCAGCATTGGCCTGGAAAGCAGCATGATGAAAAACGTATCTCAGCTCACTTCCTCACTCACTCCCTCAATTACTCACTCACTCACTCACACACTCACTCACTCCCTGACTCACTCCCTGACTCACTCACTCACTCTTGATCCTCCCTTCTTGAATACGCTCACCCAGCGTCGTAGTAACCCCGTTCCGTTCGTCTCATTCAAGAGGGTGCGCGAAGCAAAGATGCGCTTCATTCCAACCAGCATGCCCCGGGGTTGAGTAACCATCTGCCAGCCCCTCTTCGACTCACTCACACGAAATACCACTACTCACGCACGCTAAACCCCACCACTCACACCAACTACCACCACTCACACCAACTACCACCACTCACGCGGCGTCATAGTAGTAGGTGAAGAGGTGCTTGGTCTCGTTGAGCAAAACCACTCATAACCACTCATAACCCAACTCAACCCAGCCCATCAACACCACTCACGCGGCGTCATAGTAGTAGGTGAAGAGGTGCTTGGTCTCGTTGAGCAAAACCACTCATAACCACTCATAACCCAACTCAACCCAGCCCATCAACACCACTCACGCGGCGTCATAGTAGTAGGTGAAGAGGTGCTTGGTCTCGTCCAGCATGAGCGAGGGGAAGGCCCACGTGGTGAGCTCTATCACCCGCGACTCCTGCTCCGTCTCCACCCTGCCCTTGGTGCCTGCACGGATGGGATCACGGGAAAGGGAGGAGAGGAGAGGAGAGGAGAGGAGAGGAGAGGAGAGGAGAGGAGAGGAGAGGAGAGGAGAGGAGAGGAGCACGTGGAGCAAGGGGCCTCTGAGTCAATGCACGGGAGAGGGAGGAGATTGAGCGAGAGGGGGGGGGAGCGGGAGGGGGAGGGGAGAGGGAGGGGGAGGGGAGAGGGGAGGGGGGGGGAGGGTAGGGGGAGGGGGAAGGGGTGAGGGAGGGGGTCCGGTGAAGAGGAGTTTCAAGCAGCGAAGGGGGTGGAGGCTGGGGAAGAAACGAGGTGACTTTTGAGTCGACTCAGGAGTGGAGGCTGGGGAAGAAACGAGGTGACTTTTGAGTCGACTCAGGAGTGGAGGCTGGGGAAGAAACGAGGTGACTTTTGAGTCGACTCAGGAGTGGAGGCTGGGGAAGAAACGAGGTGACTTTTGAGTCGACTCAGGAGTGGAGGCTGGGGAAGAAACGAGGTGACTTTTGAGTCGACTCAGGAGTGGAGGCTGGGGAAGAAACGAGGTGACTTTTGAGTCGACTCAGGAGTGGAGGCTGGGGAAGAAACGAGGTGACTTTTGAGTCGACCACACCATCACACACCTTTTGACTCAAAAGGGAGTGGAGTCTGGGGAAGAAACGTGCCAACCACACCATCACACACCTTTTGACTCAAAAGGGAGTGGAGTCTGGGGAAGAAACGTGCCAACCACACCATCACACACCTTTTGACTCAAAAGGGAGTGGAGTCTGGGGAAGAAACGTGCCAACCACACCATCACACACCTTTTGACTCAAAAGGGAGTGGAGTCTGGGGAAGAAACGTGCCAACCACACCATCACACACCTTTTGACTCAAAAGGGAGTGGAGTCTGGGGAAGAAACGTGCCAACCACACCATCACACACCTTTTGACTCTGAAGGGAGTGGAGTCTGGGGAAGAAACGTGCCAACCACACCATCACACACCTTTTGACTCAAAAGGGAGTGGAGTCTGGGGAAGAAACGTGCCAACCACACCATCACACACCTTTTGACTCTGAAGGGAGTGGAGTCTGGGGAAGAAACGTGCCAACCACACCATCACACACCTTTTCTTTGGCCTGTCGTTTTTTTAGAACCACGCATCCCATCCCGCACCGTCCACTCGCCAGGCAATGCGCCTCAAATCGCACAACCATTCCCCGAGCCCACTCACCCAAGCCTGCCGCCCACTCACCCAAGCCTGCCGCCCACTCACCAAGTCGACTGTTGATAAAATCCACAAAAACGTTGGCCTTCCTGTCTCCTCCATAGCTGTCATGACGTGGCATGGGATAACGTGGCATGGGATGACGTGGCACAGTGTGGAATGGCATGGGCGCAAGGCAAGAGGGTTCGGGGATGGATAAGCTTCACGTGGATGAGTGCGGGGCATGCTGGGTTAGGGGAGAGGGGGGGTGGTGGATAGAGAATGAGTAGCCCAGCATTTAGCACAGCACCACACAGCAACACACAGCACCGCACAGCACCCACTCCACCGCCCCCTTCCTTGGCATTTTCTAAATCGATTCAACTGATTCCAGTGTATTGAGGTTAACATCTGCTGGCAGCACACCCCATCACACCCCATCACACCCCATCATACCGCATCACACCCCATCATGCCCCATCACATCCCATCACACCCCATCACTCACTCCTCCACTCCCCCCTGGCCAGCAGCGGGGAACCACTTGAGCGTGGGGTATCCGCGGACCTCGTGATTGGTGCACAGCTCCGCGTGCGCCTGACAGTCCACCTGCGCGCATGGCAGGGGGAACGGGGGTGGGGGGAGGCGGAAGGGGAAAGGACGGAGGTGGAGGAGGGGGGAGCGAGGGAGAGGGGATTCGGACCAATGCGACCCACCTTGGCGATGCAATGCGACGCGACGCACCTTGGCGATGAAATGCGACGCACCTTGGCGACGCAATGCAACGCACCTTGGCGACGCAATGCGACGCATTTTGGCGACGCAATGCACCGCACCTTGGCGACACAATGCGACGCACCTTGGCGACGCGATGCGACGCACCTTGGCGACACAATGCGAAGCACCTTGGCGGCGCGATGCGACGCACCTTGGTGACGCGATGCGACCCACCTTGACGACGCTATGCAACGCACTTTGGCGACGCTATGTGACGCACCTTGGCGGCGCTATGCGACGCGGGCGACGCGCGGCGACACAACTTGGCGACGCTATGCGACGCACCTTGGCGATGCGGATGGCGTCGGAGTCTTTGAATGCCGTCGCCACCTTCTCCCAATCCGGCGCCAGGCGCTGGCAGTGCCCGCACCTGCAAAAACAGGGTTGCGACATGCGAATTCGAGTTGCGAAGTAGCGAAAACGCGAGCCAACAAAGGTGTAAAGTCAGTAACGCGAAAAACACTATCCTTGTGAATTGTTTGTGTTGAATCATTACTTCTTAGAAACCCACAAGCCCAACCGATGGCTTGGATTTCCACGCGGGTTAGAAATGCAGATGGGATGCAATGGTTATCACTGCATTGTAACATCGACCTGCTAAGAACTCGCAGCGGCCCGCTAACGGAAACGAGACCGGGAATGACGTCATCATAGGATCCAACAAGTCGTTATCATCACGGGCGGGACGCACCAGGGAGCGTAGAACTTCACGAACACGACCGAGTCGCCTCCCACGTGGTCGTAGAAGTTCGCCGGCGTGAGCTCCAGCACGTCCGAGTTCTCCGCGCCGTCCGCCGCCGATCGCGGCACCGCGAGCAGCAATGCTGTCACCAGAACAAGCGCAGCGATCGCGATTGGCGGAGATCCGGTGACGAGTCGCGGGCTGGCCATTATGATCGCGCACTCGACGGAAACTGTCACGCACGGCGCACGGCACTCGTCGGTCAAGTTCAGCAGAGCTATCGTATTCAACACTCCACTGCCTCGACCGCACAAAGCACAGCCAAGTGATGGAGGAGCAGCCGTTTTGTCGTAATCTCTAGGGGAGGTGAAAGCTGGATACATCGGACGGTTTAGATCTCTTGTTCCATTTTGAATTGAAGAGAATATCCCCGCTATAACATCGGTAGCCTCAAAACCTGCCCACAAGACCAAGTTGTGGGACTTCAAGAGGAAATTCAGGACGAGTCCCGATCGAGACGCGTGCTGATGCCACCCGCTAATGGCTAGAATCAACCTGACTTCTAGAAGCTGCATCTCCAAATGGAAGTTGAAACAGTGATAGCTTACACTCAGTACGTTTATAGTGTACAGCTGATACACGATTTTCAGAGGGCTGAGAAATTAGGGTTACGATTGATAAAATCATCTACATGGGCTGTTATTGGGCTGCTAATTTTACGGAACTAAGCAGTTTATTTCCGTCTTGAACGTATAGCTACAATAACAGAATACGAACGACTAGCACTAGCCTGATCAAATGACAGCTGGATCTGCCACTGAAATCTAGCAATATAACAGCTCATACATTATAGCAAAAAATGATCTTCTAAACCGTTGTTTATTGTTAGAATACTCAATATCTCATCCACAATTGGGAGCCGACCAGTGGAAGCGAGACCATCCATAAAGAATGAAATGTGTGTCAAGAGTTATGATGGGTTTGGAATGTCGGTCTTTATGATGGGTTTGTTGACGGCTGCCGTTGATGACACCCTGTTTCTCATGTCATTGGATGCGATGCGTGTGTTCTGTCGACGCATGCGATGATGCGATGCCCGAAGGGCATGCGACTGCGGGTAACGGATGCGAAAACGGGAGTGGGAAAGGTGGTTTTAGGTGCTGATGGATGGCCAAATATTCGTGCGGCTTCGCACGATCGACGCGCGGTAAGCGCGGGAACACGAGTACCGCGGTTGTGAAAAATCGGCTGCGGCGAAAATTGAAATTTGAGGAGGCGGCTCGGCTTTCAATTTGCGCCTTTCCACTCCAAGAGAAATTTCGACGCCAATTTTCAACGCCCCCCAACCAGCATTTCGATTTTTCACCAGGCAGATTGGGCAGCAGCCACCTCCGGGTTGAGGCAACAGTGAAACTGGGCAGCAGGTGGGGCAGCAGCGCAGCAACAAAAATCGATTTGACTCGACTCGACTCGGCTGAGAGTTTCCCATCCAAACGAAAGTCCGTCCAACGGGCGGATGGAAACGAGATTTGGAGGGCGGGCCGTGAGGGGGGCTGGGCGTCAAAGACTTACCAAACTCGCCATCAGTTTCAAGTAGTCATCACGAAACGCAGGTACGTAGATGGCGGTAGGAGCTCGTAGAAGCATGAGCTAATTATCAGATAGCGCCGACACTTCTGCTTTTTGCATGAGACGAAGCAGATGTACGTCCGTCCGTAGAACGTTATCGTAGCTGCAGTCTCCCCTCCTTGTGACCAGGCCGCCATAGCTCCCAACACGGCTAATCCCAGTAACGCCATTTCGTTAACAGCCAGCAGTTGCCGGGACCTACCGACAGCGTTAGTTTCCATAGTTGTTAGTACTATTATTATATAAAAAACTTCACAGCCGATCCACGAGCCACGGCAATAGCGATATTCAGCCGAGATAACATTCATCCATGGCGCAACTTGCCATGCTTCCGCTAATGGAGGAATCACCCGTGGCCGACGATAACGGCGGATATAGCGGCGGATACAACGGCGGCATGTTCGCTCAGCAGACAAGCCCCGCGCCTCCCTTATGGACCTCCCTAGACGCCATGCACGGGCTGGACCACGAAGCTTCTGGGTTCCTTCCACTGGACGCATCCGACGGAGACGAATCGCAGCAGCAGCAGCAACAGTCGGACTACACCCACCACCACAGCCACCAGCCGTCTGATCATCTCAACGTACGGCGAGATCTTCTCGAAGACGATAACTTCGGCAGCAGCGAGTTCGACCCGTCGTCAGCGGCGAGCGGAGCGGGGGAGTGTGTGATGCTGTACCAGGACGCGCAGAGGGGGGAGGAGGAGGATATGGTGGGGAGCCTTAACCTCCGCATCTCCCCGCAACCCGACGCGTCCGATCTCACATCGGCGCTTTTCTCCGAAGGCCAGGCGAGCAACAACGGCGGCGGGGCGACGCTCGGCGGGTCGTCGTGGCAGCTGTGCGACAATTTGTTCGCCGAGCCGATCGTCGACTGCGGCGAGCTGCTCTCCGGCGACGGCGACGGCGACGATCTGCTCGCGGCTTCCGCGGGGCACGACGAGGCGGAGCAGGCGGACGGCGGAAGCGGCGGAGAAGAAATGGAGATGCGGGATCCGGCCGCTGCGTATCTCACGCCGGAAAAGGCGCCGCAGATGCCGACTAGCTCAGACCCAGCGGAGGTGGCAACGCCGGGGTGTGACAATAGCGAGGGCGATTTCAGCACGCCGCAGGTGCCAAGCGCGGGTTTCTCCCGCCCGCGCAGCCGCTGCCCCACGGAGCGGGGACTGGCGCAAAAGGGCGCGCTCATGACCCCGTCCGGCGGAGCAACGGCGCGCTCAACCCGCGAGAACTTGATGCGGCGGCTGGGGCAGGCGGGCGGAGCGGTGGAGCCGTGGACCCCCGTGACCCCCGCGAAGGACGAGGCGGGGAAGCGTTCCCCCGACCAGCTTGCGCGCGTGGCGGTGTCGCTGGATGCGGAACTCGGTCTGTTCGCGGACTCCCCGCCGCTGCTGTGGAACGGAGTGGCGCAGCAGCAGCAGCCCCAGGCGCAAGGGCAATGCTTCCAGATGCCCCAGTACCAGCAACAGCAACAGCAGCAGCAGCAGCAAGTGGCGTTCAGCAACGGACGAATGCTGGAAGCGTCGAGTTCCCGAACCATGCCTGCTGGCGCCGTGCAGAGCATGCTTGGCGCGCAGCAGAAGCAGCAGCAGTACGGGGTGGCGGGTCAACAGCAACAACAGCAGGGCTTGGCGGGGCAGCACGGGTTCTGTGCGACGCCCGGGGAAGGCGCGCACATGCGCGCGGACCCCGCGGAGGCGTCCGACATGTCGCTCTTCTTCGATATGGAGCAGCAGCAACAACAGCCCCTGCCGTCGCCGCCGCAGCTCCAGCAGCCGCAGCAGTCCCAACAGCAGTACCACCAGCAGCACTACCAGCAGCAGCAGCAGCAGCAGCCACAGCAGCAGTACCAGCAGCAGCATCAGAGCCGGGGGTATCAGCAGATGCAGCAGCAGCAGGAGTCGGACGTGGTGCGTGATTTCCTCTCCTCGTCTCCAGACGGCGATGCTGCTCTCGACAGCTTGGTTCTTGACGGCCTGCCGTGCGACAGACGGCTGTCCGGCCAGATGATGCTGCCCAAGGATCTCGCATCGTTGATGAACGACGCTGACGTGGACGCGTCTGCCGCCACGTGGCCGCAGCCAAGCAACAACAACGCCGTGTCACCTCCCCTAAGTAACGGCTACAATGCTGGTACCCTGAGCATGGATGCAGCGGCACCAGCTGCTACTACTGCTACAACTGCGTCGGCCGGAGCCTGCGTGACTCGCCCGCCGTCTGTCTACCCTGCTGCCCCCTCCTCCTCCTACCAATCCTCCCACCTCCTCACCGCCTCCTCCTCCGGCCCTCTGCTCGGCTCCTCCGCCGGCCCTCCCCCGCCTCCGCGCGTTCTCTCCGCGCCGGCGCCGTCCGCGTCGTCCGCGCAGTCCGCTGCGCCCTTGCGCCTGACGATGCCGCTGCTGGTGATAAACCGACGCGCGCCCGTGCCCCCTGCCGCGCAGGTGGGTGGCGGTGCTTCCGCCCCTTCAATGTTCCCCCAGAACCAGAACCATAACCAGAATCAGCAGCAGCCGTCGCAGCAGCAGCAGCAGCCGTCGCAGCAGCAGCAGCAGCCGAAGGCGATTCACTTGAGCTGTTCGTCCTCCCATCAGCTGCAGCTGCAGCAGCCGCAGCAGCAAGCGCCACCCATGCACCAGCACCAGCAACGACAGCCGCAGCCATACCAACCTCAGCAGAGTCAGCAGCCACCGCAGCAACAGTTCCAGCAACAGCAACACCTTCAGCAGCAGCATCAGCAGCAGCATGCCCATCCTCCCCAGTACCAAATGCCTCCGCAAGCCAACCACCAGCCCACCTCCTCCCATGCGCAAGGTCGCCACGAGCACCACCATCAGCACAACTCAGCCTGCCCGTACCACAGCCAGCAGCACCAGCAACCCCAGCACCACCAAGCGCAGCCGCAACTCCAGACCCAGCAGCGCGTGCAGCAGCAGCAAAGCGTTTGCCCCACTCACCCCCAGCACCAGCAGCCGCAGCAGCAGCAGCAGCAGCAGCCATACGCCCAGCCCTGCCAGCCGCAGCAGCAATGGCAACAAGCCCCTCCTGCTGCTCAGCAACAGCCGCAACAGCAGCAGCAACAGCAACACGTCGGCAACAATAGCCGCAATGACAGCGACTACGTTCGTCAACCTCAGTTCCAGACACAGCAGCACCTGCCCCAGCAAAGCCTGCCCCAGCAGCAGCCTGCTATGCCACCCCAGGCGCTGAATCAGCCACTGAAGCCGCAGCAGCAGGCACCACCACGGGTGCCCCCCGCGTTTCAGCAGCCACCGCACCCACAGCAGCAGCAGCTGCAGCAGCAGCAGCCGCAGCAGTCGCAGCAGCAGCAGCCGCAGCAGTCGCAGCAGCAGCAGCCGCAGCAGCCACGCATGCAGCAGCCGTCTCAAATGCAGAGGCAGAACAGCCAGTCTCGTGGATGCAGTTTGCCTCAAGGAGCCGTCGCTGCTCCTCCTGCACCGGCTCCCAAGCAGCCTGCTCAACGACCAACGTCGTCCGGAGGTACAAAGCGGAAAGCACAGGAACCATCAAGCAGCAGCGGAAAGGCCACGTCATCACGAGCCCAGCCTCCAGCAGTAAAGAGGATCAAATCTGAAGACGCCTGCGAGGCGACAACCAGGCAAGCTTCACCAGTTACTGCTTCTGCTTCTGCTCCAGCTGCAGCGGGGCCGGTTGATCTGACGTGCAGAGAGCAGGAGCAGCTGGGATTGGAGACTGGCGACGACAGTGATGGGGTGGTGTTAAACGAGCCATCAGTGAAGGGATCTCGAAGTGGTACCACTGCTGCAGCCGCTGCATCTGCTGCTGGTGCTGCTGGCACTTCTGCTGGTGCAGTGAAGGCTGAGGCTCCTGCAGCTGATGCGAAGAATGTGAAAGCGAAAGCGGAGGTGCAAGTGAAGGAGGAGCCAAGCAAGGCCGGGAGCCGAGCAGGCGGATTGACTGGAAGCAGCTCTCAGAAGGAGAGTGGTAACCAGGCGTTCCAGGATGACTTGGGGGAAGATGGAGCGGTGGAGGACGGGGAGGACGACGAGGGAGGGGTGATGGTGGGACGGAAGAGGTCGTTTGTGCAGAATCCGGCTGCTTCTGCTGCGAGGAAGAGAAGGCATGACATGAACCAGCGGCTGAAAGTTCTCGTGGATCTCGTCCCTAACAGCAGCAAGGTGTGTGCGAGTACTGAAATCAGGTCTCTTTCTCTTGCCTTATCCGAGTCTCATTTTGCCTGATATCACATGAAATGTACAAACAGAGGGCACGTGGCTAAAAAGTTACTGTTTCATTTCCGTGTGCCTGTTGTTTATGATACAGGGAGACACTGCATCAATGCTGCTTGAAGTTTTTGACTACGTGAAGGCACTGATGTCTCGGATCTCTGTAAGTCGCTTGTTCCGACAACTTCTCTCGCTTGTCCATTTTGCAAAGAATTTGACGCTTTTGTAAAGACTCGAATCGTTTCTAACCTTCTTCCAGTAACTTTCGTGAGTGCAGGAAGCAGTGGGCGAGAACACCAGTCAAGGGCTAGGACTGACCAAGAGTTCAAGCATCCAGAGCCAAGGATCACCACAAGTGGTAAGAACCCAACTCATTATCAATCACTCCCTATAAATCTTCAATACATTCCTTGTCTCCTTCCAGCATATGTTCCTGGAAGCTTACTGTATCAGAGCCACGAATTTTTCAGCTCTAGTCTCACTCGGTTTCGTCCTGCTCCATGATTGTTCCTGAAATGGTTTTCAGGAATCCGAGTCCAATCCCAATGGATCACAGCAATGGACTTCACAGCAATCCGCTCCGCAGCAATCCATGCCCTGCAATGGGACCTCGATGTTGCCACCAGCACCATGTAACGATCCAACGGCTGGCATGCTTCCCGCGATACCGACGAACGGGATGAGTGCGCGAGCCCTTCAGGCTGCGAAGTTCCGCATGCGACGAAAGTTGATGGCAGCGAAACTTGAAGCGGAACGGAAGAATGGCGCTGCACCGAGCGTTACGAAGGATAGCGAAAACGGCGAGGTGGTTTCAAGTGATGGTGACAAGTCAACGGGTGACGCGAAAGGCCCCCAGCGAAATCTAGCTTCGCGCCAATGCGCTCTCGTCAAAGTAGCACTTGCTAGGAAAGTATACGCACTTCAGCTGAAGAATCACAATACTATGTAGAGTTAGCATAAACAAAACATAGGCATGGCAATAACAAACACACCCTTAATTTGATTTGTTCTAATGTATTGCACTGTTATATTGATTTCCCTTTACAAGAGCTGGCACGCTAACAGAGCACTGATATAGAAGCGTAAGGCTCCACATGATACACCACAAACCTCCAGTGCTTGCTTGTTATACACACGCGTTGGAGACCACTCAAGCATCCGTCTCAGTTTTGGGGAAAGAGATCAACTGCCGTACAGTACGACACAATGGCTGGTTGGGTTTACTTCGATGCTCTGCCAGCATTAGGGACGAAAGCTGACAATATATTCTTTCGAATGGTGAAGTCATCGACCTTTTCAGGCTTCAGATCCTGCCACACAGTCAGGCAGTGGCAAACAGAGCAGTAGCGAGCAGATCAGTCATGAACAGTGAGGCCATAAGTCCAACGGTGGAGGTCCAGCCAACAAACCACTCACCATTCCAAGATTTGCAAGCAGAACCACTGAAAGCACCAAAGGATCCGGCTTGCAAGTTGCAATGGCCATGAACGTCAGAGAGTGCTTTACAATGAAACTACATGATGCTACGAACAGTACCCACCCCGTCAAGGACTTTGGAGAGGCGCGCAATTTCCTTCTTTACATACTCATCCCCTTTTTCCACCACACTCCTCATCACCTTCAGGTACCGCTCTGCATGCCTGCAAGGCACAAGGGAAGGAGGGCGGGAGGCGGGGAGTGGGAGGGGAGAAGTGGTTTTTGAAACGTATGAAAATCTCCTGGGTATGCACCCCCCTTGTCCACCCCATTCTGCATCAAGTAAAGCTCGTCCACCCCTCCTTCTAACCCTCTCTTACTCACCCTCACTCCGTTCTCCCTCTATGTGCCCGCCATTTTGTCCCTCACTCTCTCACCCCCCCCCCCTGGCTTTGCTCAACCCCTCTCACCTCCCTATCTTGAAACATCCCCATCCCCTCTTTACATCTCTTCATTCCCACTCCTCTCTCATCGCTCCCCAATCTCTCCCCTCTCTCCCCCCTCTTCCCCCCCCTCTCTCCCTTCTCCTCCCTTTCTTAATCACCATTTCACAGTCGCCGGCACAGCCACTGCTTCTGCTTCTGCCATCAGACCAGCCCTTTCTTGAGCCGAAGCTTCCAGGAATCTACTCGCAATTCTGTCCAGAGACTCAGTGCGTCCAGCCTGCACAAGCAAGCAGCAGAGGGAGAGGTAGCGGCAAGAAGGCCTATGAGTCCCCATCCCTATGAGCTGACTGAAATGATCCAATCCACCGCATTGGTTAGTCCCCATCTTCCCACTTCTCCCATTCCCCACTTCCCACCTCACACTGTTCTTCCAACAAGCCGCACCCTCCCACCTCACAAAACCCTCAAGACTCACCGCGCTGGTGAGGCCGCCCTTGACGGTCCTGCTGGTGCCGGCGCGTTCATTCACAAACCGCACCAGCTCCACCAACCCCCTCTCCCCACTGTACTTCTCCCCCTTCCCCTACCCCTTCCCCTCCCCTCCCCTCCCCTCCCCTCCCCTCCCCTTCTCCTTTCCCCTCTACACGTTAAGACGTCTCAAGACTCACCGCGCTGGTGAGGCCGCCCTTGACGGTCCTGCTGGTGCCGGCGCGCTCATTCACAAACCGCACCAGCTCCACCAACCCCCGCTCCCCACTGTACTGCTCCCCCTCCCCATCTGCCCCGCTGCCGGCTGGGAACCACTTGAGTGTGGGGAAGCCTGATATGGCGAACCTGGTGGTGGGCGGGAGAGGGCGTATGGATTGATGAATGCCCTGCGTTAAAAAGGCACTGCATGGCTTTTGAGTCGACTCTGAGCCATCTGCCCAGTTGCTGTTCTTCTGGTGAGTAGTGGGGTGGTGATCCGGTGATGCAGGAGTCTGTCGTTCTTGTCATGCAGCTCACGATGTTTCTTGTTCCTTGTGCAGGTTTTGTCGTTGAAGATGTTGAAGACTATACTTGATTGGTGGGATGCGCCTGCGTAGAAGCTACTTGACTGCTTGAGGGCCGAAGTTGACGTTGCGGCGATGTCGACTGTTGCTGATTCGGGCAGTGTGTGCGCGGATGTCTGGACGTCTTGCAGAGTTGACAGAACGGTGGGACGTATTGTTGAGTCTGACGGTTGTTTTGTCGATTGTTGTTGTTGTTGTAGCGTCGTTGAGTGTGAAACACAAATTCTGGTGCTGACGCTTTCTTCTTGTGTCGTTCTTGGTGCAGATCCATATCCTGCTGTTCAGCGTGAATTTCAGCGCAGAGTGATGCTTCAGAGATTTTCCCGTGAGCTCGAAGGAGTGCTCGAGTGGAGCGCCAATGAGGACCAAGGCCAGCGATGATGACTGTTACGAAGGCTTCTTCAGATATTGCTCCTCCGCATCGAAGGAGTCTATCGCGCAGTCCACGACAACGGCTGATATATGCCATTCCCTTTTCGCCGGGTTTCATTTCCACTGTTGTCAGCTGTGCCATGAGACGACTTTGATTAACACTGTCTGTTGCTTGATACAGGCACTTCAGGTGGTCGTGTACCAGCTCGGCGGAGTTGCCGTATCCTCGATAAGATCGAATGTTCTGCTGCTCGTTTGGCGTTATGTTTCGAAGAAGTATCGTGTTTGAAGTAGGAATTTTGTAGTTTGCGGAAGCGTAATAATAAGAATACTTGAACCACCGTGCACTAGTGTGTGAGAACAAGATAAGATGATAATAACAAAGAGATACAAGCTTTTTATATGATTACAAAGGAATATGAAAGGTTCTACTTTTAACTGTTTTTGCTGTTGCGGTCCGATACCGTGGCGACTCGGGTAACTGCTCAGTATCGAGTCAATTATGTGTCCTTGCTGTCGCACTGTACTTTTCGTCAAGTCAATGGTCAGCGACCTTTGACCTTCGCGTAGTCTCCTGCGGTTGCTTTTGTTGACTCGCGTGTTGTTTCGCTGTAGTCCGCTCCGTTCTCGTGTCGATACTTCGATTACTTCAGAAGCGTTAGATTACTTGTTTCCAATTCCAACATTGGGAACTGTTGGTAGGGGCACGAAACAAGGATAAAGAATTTTCCTTGCACTTATAGCTAGCCAGCCAGCTTCATATCATATTAGTTAGCAGTTAAGATTGGACATTATCATTTTCACAGTATTGTTACAATCCCTGGGCAACTTTCATCCACTACATGCCTTCTTGAAGCATTGCCCAAAACATTAGACTCTAAAAGTAGCTCCAAATAATTTCAGCCTTACTCAAACTGACACTTAGCCTAAACAAAAGCAGTAAGAATGTTCTTGCGAATGGTGAAGTCGTCAGCCTTCTCTGGCTTGAGGGACTGCGCAGACACCGCATGCATGTGCACAGAGTGTGAAAGGACAAATATGTGTTGAACAATAGCGAACCCTACACTAATCCAGAGCCAATAAAACAGGCGAAAGACACATGAACGATCCATACAAAAGAGCAGGGTGGAATGTTGAAGGTGACTGAACAAAATGACATGCATGGGTCATGGGAAGCGTATATATGCATGGGAGCTGTAAGGATTTCAAGTAAAACGTACCCCTGCAAGCACGCGGGTGAGGCGAGCCACCTCCTTCTCAGCGTAGTCAGCTCCCTTCTCGATGATGTTCTTCATGGTCTTGACGTAGATGGCAGCATGCCTGGCGTGCCATGGAGGATTTCGTTCCACAGGAAAAAGAAGAAATAGATTAAAGAAAACGCTGGAGCATATTACACCGACTAGCCAGACACAGGTTGCCACCATACTCGGCTGCACACCCGACCACAACTCCTATGCACCGTAAGCCCTTCCTCTGCCCACATTCCCACTCTTCAATCCACTAACCGAGACTCCATCTCCCCCATACCCGAACTATCCTTCCCAATTGTTTCAGACATGTGATAACCACATAGGCACTACCACTCACTCCCTGAAATCCACGCCCCACCCACGACTCACTTGGCCTTGTCGTCAGCTACCTTCACTGCCTCCGCCTTGGCCTTGAGCCCAGCCCTATCGCCCTCCTTCGCCGCCGTGAAAGCAGTAGCAATCTCGTCCAGCTCCGCAATGCGCCCCGCCTGGCAGCCGCGGGGGAGGAAGGGCGAGCGCAAGCAGTGAGTGGGGCAGAGTGGGCGGGGGAAGAGAAGACAGCACATGCAAGATACTGCTCTACAACACTTCTGCAACTATTTCAAATCTAGGAAACTCTACTGTGCATCCCCTTCGAGCTCCACCGAGCATTCAATTGAGCAACCCTGTGGTCAGCTCACCGTCTCAAGCAGGCTGCCAGAGATGGTCCTGCTGGTGCCGGTCTTCTCGTTGATGAACTTGACAAAGTCCGCCAGGTCCCTGCCCTCGTTGTAGTCCTCGCCGTCCTTGTTGCCCGCCGGGAACCACTTGATCGTGGGGAAGCCCGACACGCCGTACCTGGATGGCAGGCAGATTGGCAAGTGGGGATCAGGAAGGGGGGGGAAAGACCAAGGAGAAGGCACAGGGGAGAGCTTGTGAGCGAGGACTAGTTGCGAATAAAGCACTATTCCATGACGATTCCAGCTTGTGAAGGACCAGATCTACATGCAAGAGGACGTGTGGAATGTGGATGAAAGCAAGACTGAGGCACAGAAAGAGAGCACTCACTTCTCGCCCAGGGAGCGGTGCGAGTCAGCGTCCACCTTGGCGATGACCACGTTCTTGTCCGCCTTGAACACCGCGCCCAGCTTGTCGTACGTCTGCACTCGCGAAGTGCGGGCGACGGCGTATGAGGGTAACAGGGGTACCGTGAAAGAAAAAACCGTGAGCAAAACTGTACGCTGGTGTAGGGGCTGGACGCTGAGGAGTATGCAACATGATCAATGGAGTAACAAGAACAATAGCACAGCAACCAAGGAAAATGTCACAATGAGATTGGGCCAATCGAGTGAGACGAAAAACAGGCTGAAAGAAAAGGAGGTAAATAGCACAGGGGAGATCAGAGGACAGACGGCGGGACGGAGGGGAAAGGGCGGATAAAGGTTGGTTTAACGAAAAACAAAAGGACTTACGGGAGCCAGGGACTTGCAGTGGCCGCACCTGCAAGTAGGAAAAAAAAACGTACGTTGGTACAATCAGAGTGAGTTTCTTAACAGGGTGCGGACACGGGGGCACAACGCTACCAACTCCACTGCAGATGATGCAAGCATGGAGTCGTTCCAGTTCCAGAACAACTGCGAGACTGCAAATCATCGTCACTACACCTTCAAGATACGAATGCGAAAGAAAAAAAACCCTCAAATTGGTCATATCAGATGAAGAACATGCATTCAGTATAAAGCTTTACGTGATCTTTCTTTGACAAGGCCTGCTGGTTGAGGATGGTGAAGGTTCTCACCAAGGAGCGTAGAACTCGACGAGAGCGTGCTTGGAGGTGTCAAGCACCACCTTGTCGAAGTTGGAAGGGTCGAGAGCAAGCACATGCGACACAGGCGCAGCGATCTTCACGTGTGTCCCTGCAACAGAAGCCTCAGAACGACACATTAGATTTGCTTCCAAGACGAATCTTACCGAAAGAGGTAAGTCGTTCAAACATTAAGAGATGCTTCGGAAAAGACAGACGCACCGATCTTCTCGTTTACAAACTCGACCAGATCAGATGCCTCTCGTCCACCATTGTAGCTGAACACAGGAAACGAAAAAAATAATAAATTACAAATGAAAAGCCCAGGAGCAAACAATAACTTAAGGTATGCTCTCATCAAAGCAGGTTTGACGAGCATCAACAACGGTGATAACTTACTCTTCAGGCTTGGACTTGCCAGCCGGGAACCACTTGAGCGTGGGAAAGCCACTCACACCGTACTTGCTGCACACATCCTTGTGCTCGTCGCAGTCCACCTGGAGTCCCAAAGGTTATAAGGGAACAGATCCACAATAAGAGGTCACTTATTGGTTGCGATTGCCTACCAGCAGTCAAGAAAAATATGTATATTACGAGCACTGCCTTTGTGAAATAATTTCGTCAGTGAAATAATTGGCTCTTTTGAACAGCGCAAAAGCTAAGTGAGTCTCAAGTTCTCAACATGCCGAGGAGGTCAACCGTTAAGAATGAGTAGCTTACCTTGGCGATGACGACGGACTTGGTCTTCTTGAACGCGGTGGCGAAGTTCTCGTACTCTGGGGCCAGCTTCTTGCAGTGACCGCACCTGAAAGAGAACCATTGCCAACAAATACGTGCTCGATGAATCAAAAGCGAGTAGAAGCTCACTGCACATTCACATGCACACACTTTCAGAATTACGAGACTTTTTGAAGGGAAAGCAACCGGATTGAGATCGCCGATCTGCCTTGGCCTGTTGGAGGGGATGCCTACTTACATTTGATTTGATTCCTTCTCAGATGGCTTACCAAGGAGCGTAGAACTTGACAAAAGCAGCCTCCTCCTTGCCGACATAATCATCGAAGTTGTCATCGTTAAGAGTGACGACATCGGAATCTCCGTCCGCTACGGCCACTGCGAACATTGCCGCGAGGCCGAGACCAAGGAGAAGGATCTTCGATGGAGACATCTTGACGCGACACGCAAGAAGACTGATTTAATTGCTGGAACCGACAATCCAGCAGCTAACACAAGGATGTGGTGGTTTTTCCGAGTCCCAGAGCCTGCCTGCTGCACTGAGAAATGATTTTCCTTGGTGAATTTGGGAGATAGATAGAAGGGTTGGAGCAGGGTGAGCTGGTGTGATGGGATCCAGAAACAGAATGACATTTGACGTGTCTGTAGCCCTGTGATTGGTCCAGATCTGCACTTCAGCCCCCAAGCGGTAAAGGAGTGAACAGCTTATTGCGCTTATTGAAAAAGTAGACACTGCAAATGATCACATAAGTCAACAAACAAATATCCCTTTCCGATATAGCGACTCTTCAATAGTGAAGAAGTTTACATCCAAGAGAGGGAACCCAAAATCACCTGCACAAGAATGATCCGTCTCAATCAAACAAATATATAATTCAATGGCAACCATGCTAATGAAAAAAACAAGAATACTCACTTTCATAGATGGTGTGGGTAAGCTTGAGCCCTTCACAAACCAGCTCGTCATGCAAGATGGACTCTGGAGTTGTCTCAAGAATGTGAAGGGATCCTATGCAGAAAAAAAGGAAGGATGTGAAGAAGCACAGCACCACCATACAAGAACACAACATAATAAATGAGTTCAACAATGTGAGGTAACGCATGCTGAGCAGGTACGTACACGGCAATGGATGTTGCAAAATTCCCACCTGGCAGGTATGTGTCGGAGCCAAGGGACCACCCCATCGCAGATTCAGAGTGGAAAATGGGAACACCATGTTGAATTATATTGCATATCTTATAACTGCCTACAGCTAGCTAGTGTACTAGTTTAGTTATTAGCATCAACTGTTGGTGGTGTACCCTCTCTTTTCCTTGCCTATATCCTTGTACTGTTTCTCATTATTGAACCTCTTTGGCCAACCCAAACTCCCTCGATATCCATCTCGCTATGCTACTCTCTCCCTCCAAGCTCCTAATCTTTTAAGTACTATTTGACACACCATTTATAGCGTCTGCTGCTGTCCCCCTGCTAGAGCTCTAGCTAGCTCTCCCCCTTCCACCTAGTCTGCTGCTTCTGCAACTGCTGCCACTCCTGCTGCTGGCACCAGTGCTGCTGTGCCAGCTGGCATCGAACGGAGCGAGCCAAAGAATGTTCCGAAAGCTCATGGAAGCATCATAGGGTACGGGTGAGCCTGCATGACGCATGCATGCATGGGCATGGGGACATGCATGTGTGCATGGACATAGGGCAGCCTGATGATACATTGGCATGGTTACATGGATGTGAGAATGCACATATGGGGTGGTTGAGATGCGAGCCAGGATACGGGAGTGAGTGGTGGAGCTCAATGTGTCAGTGTCCCGCACTTGCCTGACTGGCAGAAGCCAAGGTTGACGGGGAAGGAATCGGTGCAGAAAGCAGGATACTCCTTGGCGTGGAACCTGTGTAAGACAAGACAAAATAGCACCGAGACAAGAGCACACATGACGGGAGTCAAAACACGTGCGATGTGAGGGCGCATATGAGTCACGCTTCGACACGGCACGAACGTCTCATTGAAGTATAGGTATAGAGCAGGTCCGGTTATATCTATGGGTGGATACGGAGCATGGGATGTTGGTGATGAGTGATGACGCATAAGGGGACTGAGCATTGAGCAAGGAGCTTCTCTGTGCGTGTGTGCATAGAGGTTGAGCTGGAAGAAGGCATACTGTAGGTGCTGGTAAGGCCTCTGAAAGCATGCACACCTGTTGAGCTGAACCACAAGTGCCTTGAGGAAAATGTTAGAGGCACCTTAATGAGTTTGGCAACCATACCGTGTGTGCAGTGTAAGGCCTTGTGAAAGATCTTGACAAGGCGTTTTAAAGTGTGCTCGCCTATACAGCTGAGCCACAAGTGCTAGACTTGACAGGGTCAGGGACGGGTGGCTTACAGGGCACCAAGGCGACCGGAGGCGTGGGTGGCGAAGAGGTGGCAGTGGAAGAGGTCAAAGCGGGAGAGATGGATGGCGGGCGGTGATGAGGGAGGCGACGTGGGAGGGGAGGAGGAAGGAGAGGTGGAAGGAGAGGAGGAGGAGGAGCAGGAAGGGGAGGAAGCAATGGTTAGAGAGGAGAAGGCTGCTATGACGTGAAAGAGGAGAGCAAAGAAGAGGTTGATGTCCTGGTGATGGATGGAGGGGCGTTGGGAGTGGAGCATGGAGGGAAGTAGTAGGGCACAGAGGGAGGAGATGAGGAGAGCACAGGAAGAGGAAGGATGAGAAATGAGGAGGCAAGGAGCCGAGCCATATGGTGGGGAAGCCAAGCCATATGGTGGGGAAGCCAAGCCCTAAACCCTGTTTACACTGGCCATACATCGGTTTCCCTTGTATTCCTGGATGTTTACGAGGATTCTCAACAACACCTTGCTAATATTCCTCGGTTAGCATACACAGGATGTACACTCCATTCCACACTGACCTTACATTGTCTTTGAACTGGTAGCAGGTGGGTGAGCTGGTGAGCTGACACCTGGCAGCATCGGAGCCATCCACGTCAGGCACCTGCTTGTGTTTGAAGACAAACGCGGATCGAGTGCATAAACTTGGACACCTGCTCATCTCAGCAGCGGTCTTGAATACTTAAAAGGCATCTCCCTGGTTAAGGAACGAGAATAAATTAGAGCTTCCTGAATCACGCTACAGCAAGGGTAGACTTACAGCGAGCAGCAACGGGGCGAGAACCTCTCTGCGAAACGCCTCCCGAAAATCCGATAGCTGCGATTGACAAGCACAGTCACGACCAGCAGCACCTGACGGCTGAGAGGAGTCAGATGCATGAGAGGAATGCGGGGCAGCAGGAGGGAAAGTGGAGGCAGTGAGGGCGGCGAGACGCATGACGGCTGGAGGGGGATGGGAGGTTAGCGAGTGGATTCGACGGCTATCATCCGTGGCACAGCCCTTGCCGCGCCGTCTCACCCTCCTCTTTCCCGCATTTCCCCTTGCTCCTCTCCATAGTGTTGCTTTCATAGCAGCGGTCTCAAGAGCACTGACCAGCTGCAGGACCGCATCCCTGTAACTGCTCCCAATCAACTCGCCACCATTCACCCTCCTCGAGCCAACCCTGCTGCTACTGCCACCCCTACACCCCCCACCCATGCTTCTTCTCCCGTCAGGCTGCACCACAGACAGCAAGCTTCGCAGCAACGCCACTCTCCTCTTCCTCCTCCTGCGCATCTCCACCCCTCCAGCCGCCCTCCGCCTCCCACGCTGCAACGTGCAGCTCACAGGTGAGCCAGCAGGAGAACTGCTGTGCGTGCTGTTCACTCCGCGGCTGAACCTCTCCCTTGTGCTCAGTAGGCGTCTCAAACCACCTCTCAGACTGGTTCTTGGATTGCCTCTTAGATTGCTTCTTGAGCCGCCTCTTGGCAAGCCTCTCAGCCCTGCACTGGAACGGTCGCCTCTGAATCCGCGTCTGCGCACCTGCCATCGCCTGTTCCCGTACCAGCCGCCGAACCCAAGCTCGTTGCTCTCTATCACGGCAAGCAAATCACTGGCGCACTTAACCCCTCTCACTCTGGCTTTAAGAAACTTGTGCTCGTCCCACACCCAATTATCCTCCTCCTCGTGACCGTCAACTGCCCCCAACTCCTCCTCCTCCTTATCCTTCTGCTCCTCCTCGTCCTCCTTCTCTGTATCCTCCTCTTCCGGTTTCTCCTCTTCATCCTGCCACTGCGAATTGGCAAAACAGCCGTGTAGCGTGAGAGGGTTCGCCGACCTATCCGGGCCCTCTGATTGGCTGGTAGAGTCCCAGTCGCGCCGCTCGGAACTGTCTCTCGAAGGGACGCTCTCCCTCTGCGCCAATGTCGCCTCTGAACCGATCTGATGCTGCTCACACGCCTCTGAACCGATCTGCTGCTCCTTCTGTTCAGACGCCTCTGAAGCAAGAGTTAGCCCATCTGAACCGGAATGTCCACCAGGAGTCAGAGCGGAGGGGAGAACGTAGTTTCCGCGACCAGAGCCACGCTTTATTGTGGAAGAACAGAAAAAAGGGGAGAGACCCCGACCAGAGATCGATCTATTTGGCCCACGCTGAAGGGAAATTTCCGATGGTGCGTGGGAGTGCTGATAATGCGTGAAGGCTGAAGCAGGGACCCTGAAACGCGCAGTGGGATGGGTTTCGGCAGTGAATTCTTGGATGGTCACTACGGATTTGGCTGCTGCACGAATGCGAGCGCAAGGCGACGCAGCTGACGGAATGCTCCCTCCACTGATCACGCTCGTGTGACTCCTACTGCATCTGACGCCTCTACCAGCAGCTCTGATAGATCTGCCAGCGGCATTGGTATGGCCGCGAGCAGGATTGACATTGCCGCCAGCAACTTCGATATTATTTCCCAACCCCGAACTGAGTGAACGTGTGCTGCTTGGACAGGCTGCCGCTGCCGCTGCTGCTGTGGCTGCTGCGAGGGCAGTGCTCACAACCGACATGTGAAACGAAACCCGCGCTCGCCAGGCGACTCCCAGAGGGCTGCGATATTACTGCATTCTAAAGCGGTTCACGTCACGAGCCCTTGGTTCCGGGACGCGGGAGGAGCAACTGGTGCACCATAAGAGCTACCAACGACGGTGGCTTGTTCGAGGGAGAAGGCAAAACGCTGCACACCTCGTCGGCTAAAAAGTGGTCGGGAGCAAGAACAACTACGAGGAGAGAAAGGTCCTACCGAGAATTGAACTCGGCCTTCCAGATTCAGAGTTTGACGTTATAATCACTACACCATAGGACCACGACATCATAATGTAAAAGTTTTATTCAACTTGTTTCTTATCGAAAGTATGGGAGTCTTTATTTTTCCAACAAATAATCCTCTTGTGGGTACTACGGAACAAACAACCCTTCGTAAGTGAACTACTCCAGCACAGAACTAAGATGGAAATGGATCGACATAGCTTTTTAAAATTATCACATTATTTCGCTTACAGGCAGGAGAATCACTTCTATGCTTATTCTGGACTAACTGTACAGGGCAGCACTGGAAATTTAAAGATCAGTGCACCTAAGGTAACACCTACAAAGACCTTCAAAAAGAAAAGTTACACGCATGGAGTAGAGGAGTGGGAGGGAGGAACAATCAGTGGAGACAGCATGTGGTTAGGAGATCAGCAGCTTAGGATGTCACATCAGTGTTTAGTAGCGTGGAAACCGGCCAGTCAAAGTAAATCTCGCACTCCTTGAATGTCACTTTCCGCGATCTCCACCAGTCTCAGTCAGACCACTTGAATATCCGCAGATCGGCTTAAAAAATCCGCAGATCGGCGTGTCGCATCGCAAAGGCGAGTTGTTACTTTGTCAGACTGGAACGGCCAAAAGCATTTGCTGCATTCGCTGCGACGCAAGAACCAATCGGCGCGTCAACGCATGACGGTCGCGGATGGCGGGCGACGCTTTGCGAGGGGCTCCGGGACATTGAAGCGAAACAGAGGCGTCCATTGTGCGACGTTGGGCAACGGGAGTGACGCATGCCGCGAACGATTCCGACGACGGCTGATTATGCTGCCTCGACGACAGCGGAGTAACTGGAATATCACTTGTTGTAGCACGATCACGGTTCACCAGAGGAGAGAACAAGAAACTCGGGACGCCAAGATCAGGCTCCTCCATGCATTCTGAATCGATCTGAAGCCCACGGAAGGATCCTGACGGTTCTGAAGTCCCCACGTCATTGGAATCGCTGGCGCTTGTTGCAGGCTCTTGAGGTCTCTCAGCCGGCTCGCCTGCATTCGCAGCCGCAAGCGACCGAACCGGAACTTCTCCATTATCGCGCCGCATTGTCCCCGGTCCAGAAATGCTGCTCCTCTTCAGGACGTAAGGAGAATATCGGAGCGTCCTTCGTCTCCGGCTTCTGATGTTGTCAGCATGACAGATTGAAGTCGGTGATGGGGTGCTCTCAGGAGTCATGTCAGCGTTTACCAAGTCTGGAACCTCTGGAGTTTGCACCGCCACGGGCATCGTCACTTTGCCAATCTCAGGTATATTCTCGCTCGAGCTGTTGGATAGTGGTACTAGGCTATCGGAATAACGCGGGGAACGTTTCATGGCTTTCCACGTGACACAGTTTCCAGATTCTAAACACAGAACCAGGAGAAGTGGTGAGTCAATCTTGAATGCTTTCAGCCAGGATGCTCAGAAAGTGTACTGTTGCCTTCCCATGAATAAGAGCTGTGTATCTAAGGGGGTGTCCAGCGCGTACATTTTGGGGTTTTACGTGCCCATACACGTATGGAGGTTCAAAACGTATCACTGTACCTAAAAACGAATGCCCCGTGAGCAGAGTCCATTCCTCCTGTAATGTCTAGCGCGCGGACACAATTCCCCCCACACATTCTTCAACAGTGCCTGCACCAGCTGGAAACCTAGGTAACTGGTTTCCTCGTGAATGACAGGGCTGGCATTTTCGCTCGGTCGAACTTTCCACGACCGAGCGAGCCGCACACCAAAACAACCTGGCGGGCACTCCAGCCCGCCCATGCGACCTGCATTGAAACACACACAACATTGGGAGGGCACACAATCCCTCCCATGCGCAAACGACAAACATACAAAACACCTGGAGGGCACTCCAGCCCTCCCATGCGCTCCGTCAAATCAACACAAATTCCAAGGAGGGCATTGCATCCCTCCCATGCGCTCCCATCAAACCAACCCAAATCCTAGAAGGGCATTCCATCCCTCCCATGCGCTCCCGTCAGCCAAACTCACTTCGCAATTAATAGCAAACGGACAGACATGCATCTATAATACGATGCGTTCTGATTTGGCAACTATCTCTCTCAGCGATGCCCATCATGGCAGCAAGAACAATTCGTATAGTTAATTTAGCGCACCAAGGCCTCGTCGCATGTGTCATCGCCCCTATTGGCAATGTGCTCGCATCTCTACTGCCCGCTCTGGTGAATTCTGTTGCTGCTGCTATGCGGGAAGACGGAATCCTTCGTGATCGCGCTAGTGTGCGAGCAAGGTGGCAGACGCTGCTGAACGAGTTCTCAGACGACCTGTACATCGCCATGTTTCGTGTCGAGAAACACGTGTTCAATTTCATCGTTCAGGAGTGGCTCATAGCTCGTCCGCGGAAGTCAACGTTGAACTACACACATGAGCTCCGTGTCGCCCTGGGTCTGTCACGCCTTGCGCATGCATGGAGTTATCGCATGTGCGGTTTGCACTTTGGAGTGAGTAGGAGCGCCGCTGTTACCATATGTGACGAGTTTGAGGACCTTGTTCTCAAAATGTTAGGTCCCGATTGGGTCAAGTGGCCTGACTTGGATGACATGCCTGCTATGGCCCGTGAATTCCAGAGGCTTGGCGGAATTCCGGGCGTTGTAGGTGCGCTGGATGGGACATTCATCAAGGTACGCGGATTCGGGTAACACCGCGCCGACTTTCAGAACCGTAAGGGGTTTTATAGCGTCATTCTTCAGCTTATCGTCGATGCTCATGGTGACATCTGGGATTTCGATGTGGGCTGGCCTGGGAGTGTGAATGATGCACGTGTGTGGAACAATAGTGAAGCTTGTGCTCGCATTGAAGGAGGGGAGCTACATGGCTATTGCCTTGTTGCTGATGCAGCTTACGGACTACGAGACTACACATTCACTCCCTACAAAGTAGACAGGACTACAAACCTACTCACAGACGAAGAGACAACATGGAATAAGCAGCAGAGTCGCGAGCGCATGATCGTCGAGCAAACAAACGGAAGGCTGAAAGGGAAATGGCGGATTCTTGACGGGCGCATGGAGGCCAACATCCGCAAGGTGCCCCGGACCGTGGGGGCATGCGTGGTGTTACACAATCTGGAGAACACGCTGAGCAGCAGCCCTCGCGCCGGTGCCCCTCGCGAAGGACACCGTTGGTGGCTTGAAGGTCCGGCAGCCGAAGCAGTCCACACCACGCCTGATACGGCCGCGTTTACTCCAGCTCTCCGTCGTGATCGGTTGGCCCATGGCCTCCATTCATCCTGGGCTCGGACTCACCCGGCCATGACCCGACCAACGACCGGGTAAGGCTCTCAAACCTGTCGCATGCACGGTCCACAGCACTGTTTATGGCGCTTGCGATGCTTTCCGCCATGACCGTGGCAATTGCAGCCTCCGGGCCAACACCAATCAAGCCTGCCGTTGACCGACCATTGCTCTGTGTTAGTGATCCCCCTGCAGGAGGCGTCCCCGTCCCACCCGCGGAGGTCGAGGGGGACGCGGTGGGAACGGAAGGTGATGGCGTGGATGGCGAACCAGTGCCAGACGGCGGTGCGGTGGGCTGATTAGTTGTGGTTACTGGAGTCACCACCGCCGTAGTAGGAGTGCGTGGGGTAGGCGTGCGTGAAACAGGCCCGCTTGGTGTAACCGGGGAGTTCACATCCGTAGATGGAGTGCGCGTGTTCCGTCCCGATCCACCAGTCGTTGCAGCACGGATGGTGGCATCCACACTTGGGATGGTGGTGGTAGTAGATGCTAGAACAGCAGGCCTTGCACGAATAGGACCGACGTGCGTCACGGCTGTTGGGGTAGGAACTGGTAGGGGAGTAGGAGTGGTTATCATCGCAGCAGTCACACGGTGGACGGGCTGGACTCCAGGGCGATTGCCACGGATTGTCTCCATCAGTCCGTACCAGGAAGGGAAGTAGCGGATTGCACCGGCGCCGGAGCGAGACAGCCTGTCGCGGAGCTGTTTGTACTGCGCCTCGATCCTCAACATTTTGATTTTGATCGCCCCTCGGCTGAAGCGGAAACGGGGATGGCGCTCAAGCACCAGCGTGTGGAGTGCAGCCCAGTAGTTGGCACCTTGAACTCCGCGCATGAGATCCCAGTCAGGATCCAGGTCGACTCTGGCCTGCACCAGCTGAAGCATATCTGTGGCCGTCCAGTGCACACGCGGGCTAGTGGGATCGTCCCTCGGATTAGTAACAGCTGGAGAGCGGACGAGCGGGACCCCTGCATCGCCAGAATCATCAACAACGGGCCCACCATCAGGAGAAAGGTCGAGGTCGCCTGCGTTGTGGTCGCTCTGGGCTACCTGCAGTTTTCCAGCAGCGACACTAACAAGGGAGGGGGGGGCGGTAGTGGTTGGAAGGGCAGGTGCAGTGGACTCTTCAGTCCCGATCTGGTTGTTGTTGTGCTCCATAGCGAAGGATGTTGAAAGTTGGCGGTAGATAGTGGATTCAGGACGGATTGTAAACTCAGCAACTAGTGTGACCGGGGTATTGCAACACGAGGTGCCTCGTTTAAGTAGTGATTTGTTGAGGGAGAAAAACAAGTCGATGCATTTCTGCTTGGGGCACGTTAGCGCGCGACTTAGAACGAGTCGCCGTATGATCGTGGCCATTAAGAGCGAGACCCGCCGTATGTGACGGGCGCTTCGGCAGACATGAGCGTCATTGCGCATGCTTGCCCGTCGAATGCGCTGGGTAGGATTCGGGTTTACTTTGTTTGTGTCGGCGTGTTGTGCTGGGTTGGTAATTTTTCACTTGGTGGTGGGCTGGGAATTTGGTCTGCCGTGCAATGTTGTAGGCCAGAGCGCAGGTGGTTTCGGCGAGTGTCGCGCGGCACTGGCGAAATCGTGCCAGCCATACAGGGGGATACTTACTGTAGCGGGCTGGACGCGGTTTTGTACCCTAGTACGCGCGCATGCTGCGTGCAGTTACGTGCGTCACACGACGCGAGGTACGTGCAGCTGGCGTACCGTCTCCTACACAAAATTTGGTCGTGTCCACGCATTCTTTAAATCACAGTGTTACAACTCCAAATGTGGTAACTGTATGGCTTTATGAGCTGTAAATGTACGCGCTGGACACGCCCTAAAACCAAATGTGGTGGCGGTGGAGTGGATGGGATGGGATGGGAGACGGAAGCAGGCACTGTCTTGGGGACGATGGACACCTCTAGAAGCGAATCGTAAAGCCGACACACACCAGAAAAACCTGATGCAAGGGTGCTGGTCGAAGAAATCCAGAAAACTCAGCTACCCCAGCCAATGGCTAATTGCCAGGGAATAATCGAGACGGGTTGGCGCAGCAGACCAAACAGAAAGGAAAGAAAGGAAACTGGGAAGAGACGCCAGCGGCTTGGGGTTGGGGGGCATATGGCTGCGTTGGTTGGGTGAAGCTTGAGGCCAACTTGGGCAAGATGTGGGAGGCAATGACAACGGCTGGGCTGGCTTGGGTTGGTCCATCCAACTATCTGCCCGGTTTGCTGCAATTATCTGCCCGGTCTGCTCAATCTGCCACGTCTGCTTCTACAATCTCCCTCCTGCTCTGTGCCTCTTTTCCGTCCCATGACTGTTCACAGGCTTGGGGCCTTGGTTACCACTTTCAATAAAGATCGCACGCGCGGGCAACAAAAAAATAACGTTGTCGGCTCCCTCCCTCATCGTCCGCTGCCAGCTGTGCTCGACAACCAGCTGGAACCAACAATAGTGGACGGAATCGGAAGCAGAGGGATGGCGGATGAAGAGTTGACGAGGTAGAAAAGATGGATAGCTATTGGTGGAATGAAAATGCACGAAGCTGCACGAAAGTGGCAGAACAGAACGACACCGCAGATGTGACCCCTCATTGTCGGTGAATCGTGGGCGTCCAGGTTCATATTGACGTGCGAGATTCATCTGTTCCGTCCGTTGAAACATTCAATGCTTCTCTACAGATTCGTACCAGAGTGCACCATACGTCAGACTTGATGCAGGCAAACTAATGACATCAGAAAGTGCAAGGATGTGCTGGCAGGTGGCACCCAAAGGCACACAGAGAAACAGTTTTACACAGTTCAGAATTAGGCATCTCTATTCAGAATTAAAAACAAAAAAGTGATTTCAGTATCTTAGCTACCACATATCAAGTATATTTTCTAAGAGCTGAATCGAAAGTCTACCCCCTGAATACCAAAATGCGCAACCCATTTTTGCTGCTGGAGGGGAGCTTGAAAAAACATTCTTACCCCCTGTCAGTGAGAAGAGGTGTGCTTGGGTGGCACCCATATTACTGGCGGGATTTCACCACACTTCATCCAAGCGTGGCACGAGACCTGTGGTGTGTAGTAATGATTCCCCTGCAACGAGGTTACATTGTGGCGTCAGTGGCAGCTTGACCTCGATACCAGCAAACTCGGGATTAACCACGGCACTACACTTCTCTGCCACTTTAAACAATGTCATCTCCCATACGTGCTTTCTGACTCGCTTTTCCTGACCTTGATGCTTTCGTCAGAAATAAATCAGAAATTCACCTTCAATTCTCCAGGTTTTGCATGGCCATCTCCGCCGATTGCGCGTGCCGTGCTGGCCTTCAACCAACGCGGGCAATTTTCATGTTGATTCATCCGACGCGGCCACCTGCCAGAACCTCCAGCGAATGGTTTACGCAGCGGAAAGTGCATTACTTCCTCACGAGATGAGCTGTGCCTTGCCAGGATCCAGGTTCTTGGCTGCTTGGCTCGTGCCGCTGAGTGGCATGTCGCGAGGTCGTGTTAGGTGACGCGGCACGATGTAGACGCTGCGCGGCATGCACGCCGATACGACCGAGCGAGGATGCGATCGAAGAGAGAGAAGCCGTTATCAACTTCTCGAGGTGCGATGTCTCCAGTTGCCAGCTTAGTAGCGTCGTGAGCATCGCGCGCGTCGCGCTCGCTCCCTCAAGGTGTGAGGTTTCCCAAGCTTTTGAAATTCGTAAAAGACGTTGGAACTCAGTTCCCTCGTCATACCGCTCTCCTTTCTGCTCGCCCTTCTTCGCTCGGTGTTTGCTTTTCCCACACCACTTTTCCTCGGCGTATCATCCTCCCTCTGCTGTCGTGCTCTTCAAAATGGCTCTGCTGACACTCCTCACCTTGTTCTGCGCTTTGGGTAACCCATTTCTCCAACCATTTCCGCAACGAGTTTCTTTGATTACCCATTCCCACTTTCTCTCATCATCTCCTCAAAGCACCCCTTGCAAAGTCCTCTCTAGATTCCCTACTAGCAACCCCCTATTATGTTCCCCCTCTTTTTCCTGAATCTCCTTCTTCCCCCCTCGCCTCTCCCAGCGCCCGCTTGCGCCCAGAATCTGCCGCGCCCAGGCCCGGTGGCAGCTGGAGGGGGTGGCGGAGTGGCAATGGGGGGAGGGCCCGGGGGAGCTGCAGCGGGAGGGGGAGGCGGAGCAACAACAGGGGGGATTGGGGGACCCTTCCCACGAGTGGCGCAGCAGGGGCAAGGGGGAGGGCCTGCAGGGGGGGAGCTGGGGGACCTCTATGGTGCGCTGATTCGTTCTCTTGTTATGGTTGTCTTGCAGCCTCATGCCTTACTTTCCCGGTGATGTTTTCGTGTCTAAGATCTTACTTTCCGTCCGGCCTTATGTTTGCTTAAAGTCTCTCTATTCTTTGTTAGGAAAGTTTATTGTAGTCCTAAATCAGGTCACTGTGTCAGTCTGTCATGTGGAAGCCCATCTGGAAGCTGATCTGGAAGGTCTCTCTGTCCATCCATTTGATGTTTGCCATGTGGCAGCCCATCTGGAAGCTAATCTGGAAGGTCAGGAGAATGATGACATCGAAGGGCATATGCACATCTTTTCTTTCAGGTGACAGACATATGCCAGTTTCAGCAAGCTCTCATATGTGCATTTGTTCCAGCGGATAGCACCTTCATGAGTCATGTAAGGTTGCGCATGTGTCCTGCCTAATGTTGTCTTGTCTGCGTGGAACAAGATGGCTAGCATTTGCTGTCCTGCCACGTGGATTCTGCTCAAGGCATGCAGTCCTCTAGCCCTCAGGCCTCTTCATCCCTTTCTCCCTTTCTCCTGCCGCAGTGTGAACAACAGCACGTTCAATCTCCTGTACGTCATTCATGTGACGCATGCTCCAGAGCAAGCCCCTCCCACCAACGCTACCATCACTAGCAGCAAAAACGAAACTGTTCTCTTAATTCCCGCCACGTGGCGTGAAACCACTGGTCAGCCGGGGTTCAAGACGGAGGATGGCATGATGGATTGCTCTGGTGGGATGTGTTACAGTTATGCAGCTACGGGTTACTGGCCCAATGTGAATCCTACTCTCGTTGATCTGGTAACCAGGATGGTTGAAGATCCCGAATCTTTCCGGGGTCATGTGGCTTTGCCATCAGGGGAAGATGTGAATGGAAAGTTTGAGCTTGCGTGATTACTGATCTCTGATCAGCTATGTACGGTACAGGTATGTGTTGGTGGACTAGGCGAAGAAGGGAAGGTTTTCCCGTTCTTGATGTATGAACACGCTTATCCTGAAAATTGTCGCAAACAGCACTTTTGCCCTTTTGCCCTATAAATTATTTCAGGGGCCTCTGCACTACATAGGTGTAGTGAAAGCGGATGTACACGAAAATAATCAGGGCGTGTAACTTTTTCTCTTTTTGACCGTCCGTACCGTATACGAAATTGGTATCCGGATCTCGTCAAAACCCGCATGATCTGCAATTCGATAACGAGCTTGGACGGTACGTACCGTGAGCGGGATACCCTGTTCGCATACGGTACGGACGGAAAAAGTTACACGTCCTTAGTAGACTTGTTTTGCAAAACACGACATCCGTGCATCTTCTCATAACGGTACCGCCATATTCAGGACGAGGATTATAGCGGGTTGCTGTTAGCTGTTCGTCTCAAATCATGAACCTCCCAGCAATAGATTATGTCGCCGCCATTCTTGTAGGAATTCCCATAGAGAAAAAACATGCCAGGCTTCTGTCGAGTACTTCGAGGTCTGTCTTCGTTCATGGCCGCCAATCGCGCGAAAGCAGCCGATAGAAAACTCACTCGAGCTCCGTCGGGACAGCGGCGAATTAGTAAAGCCGGCGGAACTGGCATGAACGATTTCGTGATTGAGCGGGAGTTGGCCAATATCGCCAATGCGATTGCGAATGTGTGGTGGGGAACGTTGTCACGTCTGTTTCGGATGTGCTCGATTCCGCCTCACCAGGCTGCCAGGAAAGCAGCGCCAATCACGCCATCGGAGGTTCCATGAATAGCCAAGTTAGCGCCAATCCCTCCCGAATCACGCCATTGAATCGCCTTGTCCATCCTTCGATGTCAACCACGTTGCGAAACGCCTTCAGTCGATCCGCACCAGGCATTTCTTTATCCCATCGACGTTACTGTACGAGGCTCGTATCAAACGGCACGGCGTTAGAGCCGCGGATCACGCAGAGCATGTCGAGGAAGTGTCGTCATGCAGCATGTGTCGAGGCGCTTCACCTAATGTATGTATCCCAGGCGTGTAACATTCTTCGAGGTTTCGAGTCGATTGAAGAAGAATATGGAGTGAAATCGCGGTATTGTTGAGCTAATGTAGGAGTAGAGTACGGGTTTCTTTCCTCGAGATGCTTCGAGTCGGCGAGTGATCATGAGTGGGGTCTCCGCCGAGGTCGAGGTCGAGGTCTCCGCCGTCGGTTGCTTTTATCATCGTCGCTCGCCACGTCAGCCAGTATCTACGCGCTCAAGTTGCGGCTTCCGGCTTTCTGTTTCCGGCATTGTGCTCGGTCCTGCGAGAGCGAGCATGGAAGGCCCGTCGCGATTCTCGCGCCGCTCGCGCTCTGGATTGTTGCTACTATAAAATCATACCGTTGGAAAATCGTATCGTCCGTGCCTGTCATATTTGTTGCCCGCGGCGTCTCTTCGCGCCGCCTGTGTTTGACTTTCAAGTCGCAAGGGAGTGCCATGGGTTTCTTGACGCTCCTTGTCGTGTTCTGCGCTCTAGGTGCACATTTCCCGTTATAGTTGACTCGCTATTCGATTAAGTTTCTGGCCTCCTGCGATTGGTCCTCACCTTGTCTGATCGCGCTTCTTGTGTCTCTGTTATTCCCACACTCGGGTCTAATCTGTTATTTGCACACTCGTATAGTCACGTCACGTGATTGCTGGCTGCTGAATGGCTGAGCTTTCGGGATTTTTCAGTTCCTGTTTACCGTGTGAACTATTGTTGCCACCCACTCCCCTCCTGCTCTCCTCCCACTCCTCGTCCTCCCACTCCTCGTCCTCCCACTCCTCTGCTGCTGATACTCTATTCACCTTGTTTGCCTCTCTTCCCCCCCTGGTTCCTTCTTTCCCCACTTCCATTTCCCCTCGCCCTGTCAACCTCTCACCCTCTCCCTGTTTCCGTTTTGCCTCCGCTTTTGTTCCGTGCGTATCCTTCCTCCCCTGATTCGCTCTTTCCCGACTTCCATGTGACCCTGTTACCCTGTTACCCTGATTCGCCCACTGTGAACCCCAGCGTCCGCGTGCGCCCAGCAGCCCCCAGGGGGAGGGGGCGCAGCACCAGGGGGGGGAACGCCTGTGCCAGTAGGGGGAGGGGGCGGAGCACCTCAGGGGGGCGGGGCACCTCAGGGGGGGGGGAGCACCTCAGGGGGGCGGGGCACCTCAGGGGGGCGGGGCACCTCAGGGGGGCGGAGCACCTCAGGGGGGCGGAGCACCTCAGGGGGGCGGAGCACCTCAGGGGGGCGGGGCACCGCAGGGGGGCGGAGCACCGCTTGGGGGCGGAGCACCTCTGGGGGGCGGGGCACCTCAGGGGGGCGGGGCACCTCAGGGGGGCGGGGCACCTCAGGGGGGCGGAGCACCTCAGGGGGGCGGAGCACCTCAGGGGGGCGGAGCACCTCAGGGGGGCGGAGCACCTCAGGGGGGCGGAGCACCTCAGGGGGGCGGGGCACCGCAGGGGGGCGGAGCACCGCAGGGGGGCGGAGCACCTCTGGGGGGCGGGGCACCTCAGGGGGGCGGGGCACCTCAGGGGGGCGGGGCACCGCAGGGGGGCGGAGCACCGCAGGGGGGCGGAGCACCTCTGGGGGGCGGGGCACCTCAGGGGGGCGGGGCACCTCAGGGGGGCGGGGCACCTCAGGCGGGCGGACCACCTCAGGGGGGAGCAGCACCAGGAGGTGGAGCAGCAGGGGGCGGAGCAGCACCAGGAGGCAGAGCAGCAGCAGGGGGAGGTTCTGGGGGGGCGGCAGCAGGGGGAGGGCCGGGGGGGCCTGGGGAAGCTGGAGCAGCAGGGGGAGGGGGGGCGGGAGGGCCAGGGGGTGTGCCTGACAAGGTTGGGAAGAAGGTTCCGCGCTTGGCACAGCAGGGGCAGGGGGGGGGGACCGGGGGGAGCGGAGCTGGGGGACCTCTATGGTGCGTGGCTAACTCGTGGCCTCCCAGCCATGACTAACCGTGGCTAGACTCTGACTGACCCATGGCCTCCCAGGTCTCCCATGCTCGCTTGTGCTGTTCCTCCTCCAATTGCTCTGCCTGTCCGCAGCTTTCTTATCACTTCCATTCATTCACCACCTCATCTTTCCACACTCCGTAACTCTTTGTTTACTTACCTACCTCTTGTCTCTTCCCCTCTCCTTTGCCCTTTATTTTCTCCGTTTTTCTTCTCCAATTTTTTCCGTGCCTCTCTGATGCTTGTTAATGATGATTGCTCCAATGGCTGTGTGCCACTTGGCAGCCCATCTGGAGGGTGAGCTGGAGGGTCAGAAGAATGACGACATCGAAGGGGAAATCCATCTCTACACCTTCCGGTAACAACAATAGAGTCGGCCATCTGGTTATTTATATTATTGTCGGCCATCTGATTATTGTCGATTGCTTCTTCCGTCCGCTTTGTAACTCGATGCTTGTCTATGAGCTGATAGCTCTTCATATCCCTGCAAGGATCTAAAGCCTTTGCAAGACTTGTCAGATGCTTGGTGTTTAACCTGTTCCCATATCCCCTGCTCACCTGCTCGCGCTACCTCTCATACCCTTTCCCTAACCCCACCCAAGCAGCACCGCTCTTGGCGCATACAACGTGCTCTATGTTCTCACAGCCAAGCAGCTCCCCAAGCAGTTACCTCTCACTCACTTCCTCCACACCCTTTTCCCCCTTCTGCACTTTCCCTCACTCCCCCGCCCTAGCAGCACCTCTTCTGGAGCCTTTAACGTGCTCTATGTCCTCACAGCCAAGCAGCTCCCCCAACAGTCACCCCCCACCAACGCCACTATCACTCGCGGCCGCTCCGTGGCCCTCACCATCCCCGCCACGTGGCGCGAAACCACTGGCCAGCCGGGCTTCAAGCAGAACGATGCTGACGATGACGATGACGGGGATTGCCCCGACGGCAAGTGTTACAGTTACGCCGCGGCTGGTTACTGGGCGAATGCGGATAAGACTGTTACTGATATGGTGAATGCTATGGTTGTGGATCCCACGGCTTTTCAAGCGCACATGGCGCTTCCTTCAGGGGAGGATGTGAACGGCAAGTTTGAACTTGATTAAAGCGGCATGGCATGGGGTGAAGTGATTTTTGTGGTTCCTGGTGCTGCTGGTTTGGAGTTTCAAAAACAGGGATTGTAGGTATGGAAGGGGAGTGGCTGGTTGTGTAGGTTACATACAGGGAGGGTAGTGGATGTGTGAATGGTGTTGCCTGTTGGTGATGTGATGGCTGTATATATGCTGTGCATTGTGCAATGAGCAATCAAATGAATCTGATTGCCTGTGATCACTTGACGGAGAACCGAGTATGCTGCATGAAATGGGCAGAACCACACAGGCAGAACCACATTGGCATTGTAATACGAAAATCAGTAGAACGGGTGAACTAGATCTGCAATGGGTATGATTGCTTAGAGCCAAATGTAAAGCCCTTCACAAAATCCATTATTCAAAACCAGGCGGAATCATGCTTCTGACTGCTGGCTGCTGCTCTTGTGGACGCTGCTGTTGATGCGACAGCTGCTGAAACTGCTCCTGCAGTGGTGGCTGTGGGTGCTGCTGCATGGTGGCAAGGCTGCGACAGACGGCCCACAGGAAAGGTCGATCGAGAGCATCTGCCGCGAGCAATGATGTGAGATGTGGAGCCAAGGGAGGGGAGGTGGAGTGAGTTTTGAGACGTCTCAAAAGTTTTGAGACGTCTCAAAGGTGGAGTGAGCGCATGTGATTATATGAGTCTGACTCAAGAGTTTTGAAGTGAGCAGTGGTTTGGGATGTGGGGCGAAGTGGGAGAAGGTGGAATGAGGTGTAGTGCTTTCAAGTGTCATGCTAAAAGAACACATGTGTTTGCATGGATGTGCAGTCAGGAGATGCGGCAAGGGCGAGAGGGATAGAGGGGAATGGTGGTAGGGCCAGAGAGACCGAGGGATGGAGGGGGAGAGAGATAGACAGAGAGGAGGAGGGATTGGAGGATAGTGTGAGGGAAAAAAGGGAATGGCGACAAGTAAGCAAAACGCCAACTATGGCAAAGAGGAACTAGAAAACACTGGGGAACAATGGCACTCACTCTGACATGTAGGGGACATGAAGTGAGAGGTGTAGAGGGTGGGAGACATGGAAGGGAAGCACTGAAAGGGGAGCCAAGCCTGCACTCACTCTGACATGCGGGCGACATGAGGTGAGAGGAGTAGAAGCTGACTCGAGCCACACCCGGCAGCACCACATCGCACATCACATCGCACACACTCATCCTCACCCCCACATACGCTGCAAACGCGTCTCCTGCCCCCCCACCGTTGCCACCACCGCTGCCACCACTGTTGCCACCACCGTTGCCACGACCACCATCTATACCATATTCCCCACATGCACCGCCCGCAGCACCACCCGCACCACCGCCCTCAGCACCACCCGCACCACCGCCCTCAGCACCACCCGCACCACCGCCCTCAGCACCACCACGCGCCCAGCCAGGGCCCAGCAGGAAGAAGGCGGCGTACGGGAAGGAGATGCCCGAGGGGGAGTGCAGCGCGTGCGTGAACACTGCCGGCCATGCCCCCTGGTCGCTGCGACGACTCTCCTGTAGTATGAGCGCGTTCACAGGAGCGGTGGGATCCCCACCAGCAGTAGGTCTGGCAGTAGGTGCGGCGGTAGGTGCGGCAGTAGGTGCGGCAGTAGGTGCGGTGGGAGGTGCGGTGCTAGGCACGGTGGTATTGGCGGCGAGATGAGTGAGGGAGGTGGCAGCGAGGGAGACCTGGGTGACAGCAGTGAGGGAGAGTTGAGCCGTCACGGTGCCGAGAGGAAGGAGAGAGGCATCGACGGTTCTGATGAATAGAGGCCCGCTGTGAGGGAGGGGAGAGGGAGGGGGAGAGAGGGAGAGACAGAGAACCAGACGGTGAATACAAGAGGGAGGAGAGATGCGTCGATGGTTCTGACGAGGAGAGGTCCACTGTGAGGGAGGGGAGAGGGAGGGGGAGAGGGAGGGGGAGAGAGGGAGAACCAGAAGATGAATGCGAGAGGGAGAGATAAGCAGTCATGATGCCGAGAGGGAGGAGAGAGAGGATGAAAAAAGGGAGAGGGGATGAAAACAGGGAGAGGGGATGAAAACAGGGAGAGAGGATGAAAACAGGGAGAGGGGATGAAAACAGGGAGAGGGGATGAAAACAGGGAGAGGGGATGAAAACAGGGAGAGGGGATGAAAACGGGGAGAGGGGATGAAAACAGGGAGAGGGGATGAAAACAGGGAGAGAGGATGAAAACAGGGAGAGGGGATGAAAACAAGGAGAGGGGATGAAAACAGGGAGAGGGGATGAAAACAAGGAGAGGGGATGAAAACAGGGCGAGGGGGCGAGGCTGAGAGTGTGAGAGAGAAACAGCAACGAGCGAGACTTGGGTGGCGACGGTAACGGAGAGTAGGTGAGCGGTCACAACGATGCACCAGGGACGCCATTCAGAACAGCAAAGCGCATCCAGTACGCCATTCAGAACAGGCGTGTTGCTGATAGCGTTCACCCTCACGCCCTCTCCTACCCCCACCCCGCCGCACGCCCTACCCAGCACACCCCAGTCCCCCGCCCCCCATTGCATCCTCTCACCTCCAAAACGGCTGGAAATCAAACGGCAGCGAGGCAGCCGGGGCTTGTGGCGCTTGAGAGGCCTGCGGCATGGCTGCCTCTCGTGGCGCCGCTGCGCTTGCTGCGTTTTCTGCGCTTGCCGCCTTTGCTGCAGCTGGTGTGGCTGATGGTTGTGGTGCGTTGCCATCAACGGTCACATCTGCTGCTCCATCTTCTTCATCAGCCGTCAGATCTAGCACAACAGTCACGTTTTGGGGATTAGTTGAAGGGTGATCGGCCGCTGATTCTCTTCCCATTCCCGATCTAGCTTCTTCCCTCCCGCTCCATTCTGCTCCTCCTTTTACTCCCTCCTCTGCTTCTGCTTCTGCTGCTGTCCCTGCTCTTCCTACTCCTCCTCCTCCCACTCCCCTTCGTCCGCCTTTCACCCCTGATCTCTCTGCTTCTCGTCCTCCTCCTCGTCCCGCTGTCCCGTTGGTTGCACTTTGATCAGAACCGTCCACGTCAGCGATCCGGTTGTCCACGTAAGCCATCAGGGTGTCTGCGTCAGCAACGGGAGGCGGCACACCCAATCGGATGCATCTGCTGCACTGCCACGTGGACAGGTTCACTCGACCCAAGCAATACCTGCAGCCACGTGGCGCGAGCTTAAAGCAATGTGCTTATACAAGGAGATTCCTTAAAACGAGGTGACACTGAATACAATCGGACTAAATCTAGGCGATCCAGGCCGTTGATGCTCGAAAGATCGGACGGTTCTGCGACGAACGTATGCGTGGCCGCGTGCGACGTCGTCGCAGGCGTCGCATGACGTACGTGTGGCGTGCGACTGTATCGCAGGTGTTGCAGGATCGCAGCTTGGCCGGATTCGCATCGCCGCCGCAGATACCGCACACCGTTGGAGCCATGGACGGACGAGATGATACGTCGCAGCGGAAATCGAGCACGAGGAACGAGCGGATGGCGGGATGGCGAAACGGCAGAAAGCTCGAATTCCGTCTGGGGAATCATGCAGGGTGCAAAAAGAAAAACAAAAGTGGCTTCGCCCGGACTTCAACCGGAGACCTTCAGTGTGTTAGACTGACGTGATAACCAACTACACCACGAAACCTCGATCTAAACCTTGAAGAAAAATAACAAAGCGGTTGACTGGACTCCTCACTCAACGCTCTTTGTTGGAGTTCTAGATGATAATTCACCACACCACAACCAGCAGCAGCAAGGTGCGCGCGTGTTGTAGCATCCGTTGCGATGGCGGACACGGTGCAGACGGTGCTGGAGCGCATGCTCCCGGAGCTCGACAGCCTCGAGAAGCAGGGCCTCTTTACGCGCGAGGAGATTAGAGAGATCGTGCGCCGCCGCACCGCCTTCGAGTACCGCCTCAGGCGCCGCGGCAGCGCGGCGATTAAGGACGACTATATGCGGTACATAGAGTACGAGATGCAGCTCGAGGCGCTGCGCCAGCTGCGGAGAAGAGACCCGAATCGCCGCCAGGTGCCCGCTAATCACTCTGCCCGCCTATTAGTGGTTTAAGGACTTTCTTGTGAGCCCTTTGTAGCATGCCATGCAAGCGCTGTTAGTTGTGCGAGGCCCCTAAATCCCCGTTTTTTCCCCCATTTTCCGCTTCCCCTTTCCTCCTCCCCCCTCCCCCCCCCCCCCCCCCCCCCCCTCCCTCCCCACCATTTCCCCCCTCGCGCACGCAGGTTTTCCGCCAGCGCGCGGACGGTGTGCTGCGGCGCAAGGGAAAGCAGGGCAGCCGCGAGTGGTACCGGCGGCAGCGCGCGGCGGAGCGCGCGAGCGACGTGGCAGTGATCAAGCGCGTGCTCTTCATCTTCTCGCGCGCCACTCGGCGATTCAAAGGCGACCTGGACTTGTGGATGCGGTACCTCGACTTCTGCAAGGCGTCCGGGTCGAGACAGCAGATGCAGAAGGTACGCAGGGGTTCAGATCGGCTGAGAGGGTTTATCAGGGTTTAGAGGGGCTTAGGAAGGGTGTGGTACGGTTCACTGGGGTTTAAGCAGGTCTCATGGGTTTAACGGCGACCTGGACCTCTGGATGCTGCGCTTTCTTGAAGTCTTTGCAAGGCTTCGGGGTTGGGGCAGCAGATGCAGAATGTACGGGGGCTGAGAGGGGCTTAAGAGGGTTCTAGAGAGGTTTAAGCACCTCTCTCTCTCTGGCTGTACGGATCAGCCTACGAGTTCACTCGCCGCAACGCGCCTGCGGCCTTTCCCCATGTCTCTCTTGCCCACTCTCCCCCTCTCCCTCATCTCCCATCAGACCATGGCGCGAGCATTGCAGCTCCATTCCACAAAGCCCTCCCTCTGGCTCCATTCCACAGAGCCCTCCCTCTGGCTCCGTTCCTCAAAGCCCTCCCTCTGCCTCCATTCCACAAAGCCCTCCCTCTGGCTCTATTCTGCATCATACGAGTTCACTCGCCGCATGAGCGCGCGTGCAGCTGTGCTGTATCCCTCCCTTGGCTCCCCCACATCCCACTCCTTCAGGCAATGGCGCGGTCACTGCAAGTGCACCCCACAGAGCCCTCGCTCTGGCTCTACACTGCATCATACGAGTTCACCCACCGCTGAACGCGCTTGCTGCCTTTCCCTGTGTTTCCCTCCCCTTTCTCTCCCTCTCCCTCATCCCCCCCCATCAGACCATGGCACGAGCACTGCAATTGCACCCTACGGAGCCGTCTCTCTGGCTCTACGCCGCATCGTATGAATTCACGAACCGCATGAACGCGCCTGCTGCGCGCACGCTGCTGCAGCGAGGGCTGCGCATGTGCTGCCCGCAGCTCTCCGCTGGGGGGAAAGGGGGGAAGTCGGGGGGAGACAGGGGGAGCGCGGGGGGCGCAGGGGCCGCTGGAAAAGGGCCAAAGGGAGGGGCGGGTGTGGAGCGGGCAGGTGTGACGATTTCCGAGGCTGGGAACATTTCCATCGTGCCTGCCCGGGTTTTGGAAGCGTCTCGTCTGTTGTGGAGCGAGTATTTGCGCATGGAGTTGGTGCATGCGCGGAAGCTTAAAGCGAGACAGCTACTACTGGGGATAGAGACTGAGGAGGGGGGTGGGCAGGGTGGGGGGGAGGGGGAGGGGGGAGTGGGGAAAGAGGAGGGGGGAGAGAAAGTGGGAGGTGGGGAGGGAGAAGGGATGGAGCAGGAAGAGGAGGGGAAAGAGGGGGATGAGGGGAAGGAGGGAGAGGAGGTTGGACTGGGTGAGGGAAAGGGGGATGGTAAAGGTGATGGCAGCCGTGGGAAGAAAGGGAGCAAAGGGAAGAAAGGGAGCAGCAAACCGGTTTCGAGTGATGAGCTGGCAGTGCAGGTGGCGACTGTGGTGTGCCGCACCGCAATCAAATCAAATCCCAAAGATCTGCTGCTGCGCGTCGCGCTGCTGGAAGCCCTGCGATTGGGCGGCGGACAAGCAGAGGCAGAGGCGGAAGAGGAGGAGGACGAGGAGGAGGAGGAAGTGGAGGAGAAGGTGGAGGAAGGTGAGAGAGAGCAGGAAGGGAAAGAAGGGCAGGAGAACGAACAGGGGGAGAAGGCAGAAGGAGAGGAGGAGAAGGAGGCTAAGGCTGCAGGCACGGAAGGGGGGCAAGGAGCAGAGCAAGGGGAGGAAGAAGGGAGGAAGGGGGGGCGGGCACGGAGGCGGGTGGTAGAGCTGAAGGGGTTGGGTGCGGTGGAGGAGGAGGTGTGTTGCGGGCTGGCAACTTCCTTCCCTGAGAGTGCCACGGCGCTTGAGTTGCTGGCTAGGCGGTGCTTGCGGCGGGGCCGCAGAGGGGCGGGAACGGAAGAGGAGGCGGAGCAGGCTGCGTTGAAGGTGAGCGGGTGGGCTGAACTTGGTGGGGTTGGGTTGGGGTTGGCTGCTTGTGCAACCACTCGTTGGCGGCATGGCAGCGGCCTTCCCTGAGTCCTGACAGTACCACGGCGCTTGAGGTGCAGGCTAGGCGATGCCTACGGCGGGGACGCAGGGGGGCTTGAACGGGAAAAGAGGTGAAACAGGCTCCGTTGAAGGTATCTTTTTAGACGTCTCAAAACACTTCTTCAATCCGTTGGCTTAGGGGTATCTTGACTTCCTCCTGCGTGCGGCTGCCCCCTCCTGTGGCCCTACATTGAAACCCGTGCTCTTCAGGTGTTTGAGGACGCTTTGGAGAGACAGAAGAGCGAGCAGCAGCCGTCCTCGTCGTTCTCGCCGCTGTGCTGCGCCTACCTCAACTTTCTCACGCGTCTGATCACCGGGGGGAAGGCGTATGGGGAGGAGGGCGAGGGAGGAGAAATGGGAGAGGCGGGAGAGCGGGGAGGGGAGGAGCAGGAACCAATGGAATGCGAGGAAGCAGAGGGAGAGAGGGAAGGAGAGAGAGAGGGGTTGCCGTTGGCCGATCTGGTGTGCCGAGCCAATGCAGCCATTGCTCTGGCGGAGGCTCGGGGGCTAGGTTCGGACGAGCCAATCGTTGAGCGCCACGTGGCGCTACTGCTGCGCGCAGGGCGAGCTGGCGAGGCGCTAGAAGCTGCGAGGAAGGTTCTGGGAGCGAGCGGAGGGGTGGTGATGCCAGGCCTGTGGGCTCTGGGAAGGGAAGCTGAGAGGAAATTGCAGAGGGTAGGGAGAACGGTGGGGACTGATGTGACAAAAGCAGCAGGAGGAGCAGCAAGAGGAGGAGGAGGAGGGGGAGGAGCAGTGGGAGGAGGCATTGGGTTATCAGGACCAGTGCACATTGTGAATTGGAGCCATCCCAAGCTGGGGGATTACTGGATGCAGGTGCGTGTGCTGCATGGGATGGTGAGTGGCGGGGAGGGGTTGGAGGGGGGTTGTGAGCGGTTGTGAGTGGTTGAGGGTGGTTGCGAGCTCTGTTTGGAGGAGAACGTGTTTGCGTCACGAGGAAGGACTGAGAGCACCAGAGCAGTTAGTCATTCAGCCGCTTCATCTCTGCCCCTCTATTCTCCCTCCCTCACGCTCTCCTCCTCTCTCTTTCTCTGCTCCTCCCTCCTGCTCCTCCCAAAGCAGCAAGTAGAGGCAACGCCAAGCCTGGCATCGCTGCAAGCCACAGTGGACTCGCTTATCACAGCAGCAGCAACCATCGTCTCTCCCACCGCTGGGGGTGGTGTTTCTGCCGCACCTGCATCGTCCTCCCTCTGCGCCTCGCCTGCTGGCGCCAGCACTGAGGAGTCCTCATCATCATCATCACATGCCAAGGGTCTAGTGGCAGCAGTGCAGTGTGCCGCCCTTGAGACTGCCAGGAGGCGCTTTGGCATCGCTGCCGCCCGCCAGCTGTACGCCAGGTCAGTGCTGCTTTTGAGTCAACTTTTGAGGCGCTTGAAATGCCGCCCACCAGTTGTACGCCAAGTGAGCTCTCTTGAGTCGAATCAACAGCCACTGCCTGCCGCCCGCTAGCTGTATGCCAGGTGAGTGCTTCTCCTGAGACTGCTTCTCCTCTGCGCACCCACTGCTTCACCTGCTGCTCCCCATCACGCACACCTACAGCTTCTTCTTGCTCCCACTCGCCTCAGTTAAACTCCTCCTGTGCGCCATTCAAATGGGGCGCGATTGGGAGGCGAGTTTGGAGGTGCCTCAATGCTCCCCTCTTCTCTCGTCTCCCATGTTGCTCCCTCGTGCACGCTGCAGCTTCTTCTCGCTCCCATTCGCCTCAGAGCGGCTCTTCCTGTGTGCCATTCAAATGGAGCGCGATTGGCAGGCGGAGCAGAGCGGGAAGAGGGGGAGTGGGCGGGGGAGCGGTGGAGGGGGGGAAGGGCGGGTGGGGCGTCTATTTGACTCGGCGTTGCAGCGATTCGGTGCCTCCAGTGCTGATCTCTGGCTTGCGTACTGCCAATACGCGCTTGAGGTGGGTGCCATGCCATACTGCAGATACGCTTTGAGGTGGATGGGTGGCAGCACTAGAGGGTTTCGTTACCCTCCAGTGCGGATCTCTGGCTTGCGTACCGCCAATACGCGCTTCAGGTGGGTGGCATTATGGCCTACTCTCGATTCAACCACAAAGCAGTGCGCGTTTGTTCACAGACGCTTGTCGTGTACACTCATGATGCGAGGCACTTTCAAAAGGGATATCCAAAGCACACCGAGTCGCCCTGATCTCGTGAGAATACCCATGAAACGAGATGAGGGAGAGAGATGACTTCACTTTCACAGAGTGACTCCTGAGAGTTTTCATGACTGCCTGCCTGTCTCTGCCTCCCTGCCTGTCGCTAACACCCAACTCTCAGGTGAACGACACGGGCCTGCCCTCGTCCATCCACTGGAAGGCTCGCTCGCCCCTTGCTGCCGGATGCAGCCGGGTAGACTCACTCAGAGCCTCTCCCTCCCTCCCTTCCCCCCTTGTCCTGCTGCCTGCCCCCTCACCCACCTCCCCAATTCCTCACACAGGTGAACGACACGGGCCTGCTCTCGACCATCCACTGGAAGGCTCGGCACTCCCTGCCCGATGCAGCTGGGTTCATGACCGCTTATCACCGCATGGTGCACCTCTCGTCGTCCGCTTGATCGTTCGCAAGGGTTGACCTTCTGAGGAATTGAGACAGGTCAAAATGCTGCTGGGTTCATGACCGCTTATCACTGCATGGTGCACCTACCATCGTCTACTTGATTATCAGTATCTAGCAAGATCGGGTATGGAGATTAAGAAAAAGGTTAAGCTTTGCATGGCTGTAGAGACTGTTCCTTTTGGATGTGATATGATCTGATATGATATGATCTGATCTGATCTGACTATTTGCGACTGTTAGCAATTGTTGCAAATGTGTTACTTTCGCCAAAACCAGCCAGACGGATTTGACGATTTCGGAGCATTGGGCTACAGCAACCATCACCAACTGCCATCCGCATTTTCAAAATTCATGTGGTACAAATTTCAGCCATCAGATGCCGACAACATGCGGAAATGCTCAATTTGAGTGCCAATAAGTGAAGCACAGTCTACACCAGCGAGAAACCAGTTAGCAACAGCAGCAACCAGTAGAACCTAGTAGTACCGTACGTAACCCTACCTACCATACATGGCTTCTTCGTGCTGGCTAAAATCAGCACCAGGAACCACGGCCTAGCAGACACGGCTGCGCATGTCACTACCAATCACAGGTAGAGTAAACTGCACGCTGCAGGCCTTGTCAGTGCAGGCCTTGTCACAAGGCCCTGTGCCATATGCATCAGCATGAGCATTGCCTAATCTGAGCACCAGCAAGCACGGTCAACAGACATGGCCGTGCAAGCAGCATGCCTTCCCCTCCCAGTCACACACACCAACCCATCGCAGTCACAGCTGCGACAGGTTGTGCCAGAAGATAGAGCAGAAATCCGCAAAAGCCGCACTAGACCCCGACACAAGACACAGGTCTAACAGGCTCTCTCCCTTGCCATCCTGCATCAGCACCACTTCAAACCGCAGCCCATCCCCTGCTGCCGCCGCAGCCGCCGCCGCCGCTGCAGCCACAGCTGCAGAGGCCCCTATGCTTTCCAGCGTCAGGCTGGTGAGACTCGTTGAGTTCATCGTTGCCCCTTGCCCCGCCCCACTCCCCGGCCCTATACTTGTCAGAACCGCCCCTGCGCCACTCCCTGCCCCGTCTCCTGCTCCTCCTGTCAAACCCCCTCCCATCTCCCTCACCCCTTCCCTGCCTCCCCCCATCCCTCCCACTCCTCCCCCGCCTCCAGGCCCTTCCCCCATGCCCGTGCCACCCATACTAGAGCACTCTCTATCGTCCATGCCGCGGACAGCAAGGGTTAACTCGCCATCCGCCGTGTGATTTCGACTCCCATCATGCATCCCCCCTGTCACTGACGCATCCCTCAGCCCAGCAGCTACTGTGGCATCATGGAGGCCTGCTGATGCTGCTGCTGCCCCCATGGGTCCAGATTTTTCCAGGATTTGGTTGAAGAGGCGGAGTTTTTCACGCATCTGCTCCTGCTGTAGCTGCTGCAGCTGCTGCTGTTGCTGCTGCTGCTGTAGCATCAGCTGGTGCCGCTGCCACTGCTGCTGCTGCTGCAGCAGTTGCTGCTGTTGGAAAATCTGCGGCTGTTGCTGCTGCTGCTGGTGCTGCTGTTGCTGCTGCTGCAGCTGCTGTTGCTGCTGCTGATGCAGCTGCAATTGCTGTGCGTGTAACAGATGTTCACTCACCCCATTCGGCCCATTCACGAAAGCTCCCCCATTCCCAGTCCCCATAGCAGCAACGCCCCCACCAGAGCTACCATTGCTGCTGCTTCGACTGCTCCCTAGGGCTAAAGACAGGGATACATTACAGGAGGAGGGGGTAGACGGAGAAGTTACCCCCCCAACGCCACTCCCATCCCCAAACCCGGCCCCTGCACCCATCCCATACCCACCACCGCCACCAAGCGCGCTCAACCGCGCAAAACCACCCACTCCCACACCTGCCGCAGCAGCAGCCGCTACAGCCGCTGCTACAGCCGCCGCAGCAGCAGCAGCAGGCCCACCCCCCTGAGCCAGCTTCTTTTGCGCTGCAGCAAGTGCTTCAAACGAGGTGGTGGACGGGATGGCTTGCTCTATAAGCACAGGGGACGAGAGGGACCCTGTGAGAGGTCTAGGCGGGGAGAGGGAGAGCAGGGCGGCTACCCCGCCACGCTGGCGCTTCTCCACGCGCTCGCTAATCGCAGCGCGCCACCTGTACTGCTGCTGCTGCCGCCTCCTCTGCAGCTCCGCCTCCTCCGCTACAGCCGCTACAGCCGCCTCTAGACACCCCTGATAACGCAGCGCCGTTGCTACAGGCGGGTAGGGCGCATAGCAGAGGAGCACATAGGGACCTGAGGAGGCTGAGGAGGTGGAGGTGTTAGGGTTGGAGGGGGGTTTTCGCTTCCACTTCGCGCCTGAGCGGTGAAGGGAGATGCAGACTCGCATGGCGGCGTCCCACCACTTGGTGGCTCCCGCGGATGGGGCTTGCATGGGCGGGTTCGCCGCTGCTGCTGCTGCTATCACGTTTGCTGCGTGTCCCGCGGAGGTCGCGGCCGCGTTGGCTGAATTCGCTACTGAGGCTGCTGCTGCAGCTGCTCCTGCTGCGGCGGCGGCTGTGTTTCCACCGGCGCCTGGAACACCAGTGGCGGCAGCAGCAGCAGCGGCGGCGTTGGCTCCAGCAGCAGCGGCAGCGGCGCTGGCGGCGGCAGTGGAGGCAGCAGCAAGGGGTGCGGCAGCAGCAGCGACGTTGCTAGTATGGGAGGACTGGAAGAGAGGTACGGCAGGGGTCCAATTCGCCCTGCCCCATATCCGCTGTAATAACTGCCCATCTTCTGTCCATAACGCTTTCTGCTGTCCCTGCCCCTGCCCATGCCCATGGTGCCCTTGCGTCACCCCCTGTCCCCCTGCCGCTCCCCCTCCCCCGTTCCCCACATCCCTCCCCTTCTTCCCCTCACCTCCCACCCCGCCGCCGCCGTTACCACCTTCCCCCCCCGCGCCTGCACCAGCGAACCTAGCCGCGAAGGCCTCTTGCACCCAATTCCCCGCTAGCACCGCTCGCCCCTCCCCCGTGACCCTCACGGCCTGCAGATTCGAAATCGCCGTCGCGTTCAGCTGTAACGGCGCGGCCGGCCGGCCGGCAGCCGTGTCCTCCTGCAGGCGGATCAGATCGGACGGCAGGAACCACGGCAGGAACCACGGATGCCGTCGGATCTCGGGGATCGTGGCGCGCATGGTCGGATCGACGACTAGGAGACGCGCTAGGAGGTCTTGCACAGCGGGGGTGACGTGCGTGGGGCGCGAATAGGCGCCGGCTTTAATCTTCTGGTAGAGGGCGACGTGGGATTTCTCGTCGAAGGGCAGGCGGCCGCAGAGGAGCGTGTAGAGCACGACGCCGCAGCCCCACACGTCCACCTCCGGGCCGCAGTAGAAACGACCGCTGATGACCTGCGCGCAGAGCGACGGTTGGGTGGGTGGGAGAGCAGTAGCAAACATGCAAAGTGTTATAGTTTTGTCACGACGCCGCCAACCCACACGTCCACCTCCGGCCCGCAGTGAAATTGGGTAATCCACAGAGGGAGAGAGATCGGCAGACGGAGCAAATGCAGCGTAAGCAGTGTAGTGGGACGGTTGAAACAGGAATGAGGGGAGAGGCGCGGGGAGAGGAGGGAGGGGGGAGAGGGGAGGGGGGAGGGGACGGGAGAAGGGAGGGACGAGGGGAGGTGAGAGGGGAGGGGAGTGGGGAGGGTAGAGGAGAGGGCAGAGAGGAGGGTAGAGGGGAGGGGAGAGGGGAGAGGAGAGGGGAGGGTGGACGGGAAGAAGAGGGGAGGGGAGAGATATGGGCAGACGGGGGCAAGAGTAGGAGGGAGGATTTTTTTCGGAAACTAAAAGACTCGGACGTAAAAGCTCCATCTTTCTCTGATGCCTTTAAAGCTGCTTAGACGCTTACTTGTGTGGCGCATTTGGTTCTGTACGACTTTGTGTATACATTTGGTACTTCTATTCTATAGCGAAAAACACATCAGTTACGAGCAGCGACCCCATCCACTTCTCCCTACTTCCTCTCCCATTCTTCCACCCTTCGCCCCGCGACTCTCCCCCTCCTTCATCTACTCCACAGTTCAGGATGCCCCCATTCATAAGCAAGTGCAGAATATGCACGGCCATGAGGTTCCCCAGCCTGGTATGCGCAGCAAGGCAGGCAAGTAATACTCACCTCGGGAGCGGCATAATTTGGCGAGCCACAACTCGTCCGCAGGAAATGCCCTTCGGTCATGAGGTTCCCCAGGCCGAAGTCCGCGATCTTCACGGTCCATGACGCGTCGAGCAGAATATTCTCGGGTTTGAGATCCCTATGCACCACCATGCGACGGTGGCAGTACTCCACTCCCGCCACGATCTGCTGGAAGATTCGCCGCGCCTCGCCCTCCGTCAGCCGCCCGCGCTGCGTGATGTAGTCGAATAGCTCGCCGTTTTCGGCGTATTCCATCAGCAGGAGGATGTACCTGATGAGGGGACACGGGCGTTCAGCAGGCGACTCAATAACGGGGACGTGGGGAGGGCGAGTGGGGGGAAACGGGGTTGGGTTGACAGGACGTGCGGCTGCGATGTGGTGTTGGGAGATTGACAACAGCCGGCCGGCACGTTTAGCCGGCACGGCGACCTTACTTGGGCGTCTCGACGACGTTGTAGAGACGGATGACGTTGGGATGACGCACGCGCAGGAGAATGCTGATCTCCCGCCGCACCTTGTCCTGCATCCCCAGCTCCACTATCCGTTCCTTCTTCAGCGTCTTGACGGCTACCTTGCCGCCCGTCTGTCGGTGCTCCATCAGAAACACCCGTCCGAATGAGCCCGCTCCCAGCTGCATTCGCGGTGCGTACATTGGCAGCACCTCCTCCACGGCTCGGAGGGACGGCAGCCTCGAGCTCGTCTTTCTCGAGTCCATTTTGAGAGATGTGAGGGATAAGTGATTGTTAGAAGGTTAGTGAGCTGATAGTACTTATTCTGGTTGTCGTTTATAAGATTTATTCCAGGCTGTCGGAAACGACAACTTGAATCGGCTCGTTAGGCTGAACGAGAACGCTGGACCTGTCAAAATTCAAAGCGGATCGGTAACAGCGGAAGAGGTGCTGAGGAAAACTTCTGTCATAACTCAGCAGCTTCACGCATCATCCGTGACGCATCGTTAACTGCATGCAACTCCGCGACGAGATCCATCGCATAATCTATTGCCTTCTGTTCTAATCTAGCAGAATTTGACCCAAATTTGACGGTCATTTTCTCATATTCGACCTATTCCGTAACCTTGGAGAGAACGAGCAATTATCACCAACACTCGAGGCTTGAAGTTAGACGTAGAGAAGATAACGTCAGCTGTCAGGCACGACACATCAGTTGCGGAATTAGGGTTTCTATAGGTATTGTGATCACGGCACGAATGGCTAAGCAGCTGAAAAAAGCGAGTCAGGAAAAACATGGAGGGGAAAGAGAGGAAGCCAATACCTAGGCTGGATTAAATACTGATGCCAGAGGAAACTGTCATGGTTGTTGAGATGGCTCGGGGAGTTCCCGAGCCTGTAACCATCACCTCGGGCTAAAGCTTCGGCTACTACTAGAGCGCGATGTACCGCAAGATGTCTCCGAGACTACCTTGATCTGCCAAACACACTGGCATGGAGCGATGCTGTTGCAACAACGAGGGGGGCGTGGCGGGCGGACCAGGCACATCTGCCAAAAAGGCCTATCGCTAGAGCATGTGGCGACATCCTGATTCGCTTCGGCGATAATGTGACGAGGGTCTCACGCGTGCCACGTCACTGGTAGCTGGGAGGATAACTTTCTTCGGTACAAAGGTACTCATGAGGGGGACTAAAGAAATTGCAGCTGTCACTGGTTCACAGAGGTACCTAAGTCAGCTTCACATATTATTACGTCACGCTTAATTTGAAGTGATTCGTATCACTTGTGATCAGGCCCTCAGAAGTCAGCGAAAAAAGGCTTATTAAGGGTAAAAAGGTTAGGTTTTCAGTTCTGGGGATTTAGTGGGGCTGATTTGTCAGCTTTCTTTTTAAGGTGTGGGCTGAAATTTCAGTTTTTTTGTTACACGTATTGCTGAATTTCCAGATTTTTTTCTGTACTACACACTGACTGATCAGAGTTGGCTCGAGGGGGTGGGCTGAAATCGCTTTAAAGGGGATTCGCGTAGGCGCCCTGAATTCCGGCTGTCTAGGTACACCGGAAGGACCGACCCCTCGTCAATCACGGCGAGATGTCAAGATTCCCCGCCAACGTGTCAAAATGTGATGTTTGTGTAGCCTGCAGTGGGGTACTCTATAGCGAGTACAGCCCGAATTAGGGTTTGCTATATGTACTGAACTGCATGCTAGTGAAAATCCCCTTTTCCTGTTTCTTGATTCTGCCTAGCATTTCAACATGCTATCAGAGCAGGTCGACCCTCCTGGGTCGATCCAGTGGGTGGGTCCCACCCGATGCTTCCGCTGCTCTACTGCTTGTAGCGCGCCCCGGGCGCGTGCTGTTTCTTGCCTGCCGCGCGCTCCGGGCGCGCAGCGATTTTTCTTCCCGCCGCGCGCCCCGAGGCGCGCGGCGGTTTTCTGCCCCGTCGAACCGTCGCGTCGCCCCCCGTCGCCCGACGCGGCCCGCGCGACCTGCGCCAGGCCAGCGCACGGCCCGTACGGGCTGCGCCAGGCCCGCGCGCGGCCCGTACGGCCTGCGCTAGGCCCGCGCGCGGCTCAGGCAGCCCGCGCGCTGTTCGTACGGGCTGCACCAGGCCCGTGAGCGGCCCGTACTGTCTCCCCCCTTGCCGCACGCCGTCCCCCGAGCTCCTGACTGCGCCCCACCCCCGCTGCTGCCTGCGTTCCTGTGTTAGGGTTTGGGGGTGGAGAGTATGGGGGTGCCGTGTGTGTGCGCCGTCCCCTTCTCCTCCTCCTCCTCCGTCTCCCACTGCTGCAGCTGCCGCTGAGGGGGGTGGATGTGTTGGAGCCGTCGGAGTCGTTCGAGGGGGGTGGCGTGTGAGCAGTGCTAGAGGTGCAGCAGGGAGTGTGTGAACGGGGTGTGGGACAGTTGGGGGAGGTTGACCGGAGGTAGCCGACTTGTCGTCTGCAGCGCCTGAAGTCCAGAGAGCCACGAGCCCCTGTAGCCTGAGTAGTCCGGGGCTCTGCGCCCGGTAGCCACAGTGTGAGCACTCCTGGTAGTCCAGAGAGCCACGACCCCCTGTGGCCTGAGTAGTCCGGGGCTCTGCGCCCGGTAGCCACAGTGTGTGCACTCCTGGGAGCACAGTGAGCCAGCTGCGCCTGTCGCCGTGTAGTCCGGGTTTAGCCTGGTAGCGACAGTGCTGCGCACTCCTGCTGCCTGTGTGTCTGCAGCTTCAGCCGTCGCCTCCCATCTTCTCGCCCTCACAGTTTCTCCTCCTCCTCACTTGCCCTCTGTGACTGCCTCTAGCTTTGCTTATATTTGTGAACTACTGCTTTGCCTGCTTGTTGTTTTGATTGTACCCCACTTTGACTATGGGGGTGTGTCAAAATGTGATGTTTGTGTAGCCTGCAGTGGGGTACTCTATAGCGAGTACAGCCCGAATTAGGGTTTGCTATATGTACTGAACTGCATGCTAGTGAAAATCCCCTTTTCCTGTTTCTTGATTCTGCCTAGCATTTCAACACAACGCACTAGGAAGTGGCATCATTCCCGCACTGACCATGCACTGCTGTCGCCGAGCGCAGGTCTCTTCGCTTGTGATTGGTTGTTTTGGGCAACCACATCACTTTCTGGCGAATGGCACGTTAACAACATCTCGCACGCACGATGCAGCACACCCAAGCACATTGTTGCCACGCGACTAGGCAATGACCCCCACATCACCCACCCTGAACCTGCAACCAGGTTCGTGCATGCTGGCAACCGACGCGTCGCCTAACAACAAACCCTTCTTCACCAGCTCCATCTTGATTACCCCCATCCCATCTTGTTCCTGCAGGCCCACCTCACCACACCCATCCTCGCCAGGGTTTCGGTTCATTCTCCTCTAGCCGGGACGGTGCTCGGCACACTTTCTCTTCGCTTTTCCACCATGGCTGGCCATGGCGACGCCCTTTCTGACGACGAGGACGGAGCGGATTTAGACGGCGCTAACGCTGACGCCGTGGAGGAAGCCCGTACAGGCCTCGATCTTCTTCTTAGCTCTCTAGGCCGCCATATTCAACCTCCACTGCCAACCCCACCAGATCCAGATCCTCCCGTTCCTGAGAAACCCGCCGAGCCTTCTAGCCTGGATTCTATGCGGGCAGGCACTCATGCGACTGCTGGTGTTTCCGACACAATTCTCGTCGGGACGTCGACATCGAAATCGTCCTCTCCGCGCAAAGTCAAACTCAAGCAGCAACGGCTGAGATTCGGGAAGTCTTCATCAAGCGTCCCAGTCTCTGAACCTGTCGTCACCGAATCCACCGTGCGCCCTTCTGTGGACATTAACTTGCAAGAGCTTGTCGATGCTATCTATGCTGATGCTTTGGAGAAGTACAAAACAAAGTGGGTAGAGAGGTTTCCGTGGCTTGTCCTAACAAAAATTGTTCGTGGTCTGCCTGCTTTCAAGTGCAGTCTCTGCTCCAAGCACGCCGGTGTCAGGGGACGATGTGGCAGGACCGGCAAAGGTGCGACCGACGTCCAGACCCAAGCGTTTCGCAAGCACGCTGGGACGCGAAAGCACAAGCTGGCATTGGAGAAGCAGGAGGACTTGCTTGCTGCCGCGACTTCGCAGCCTCGCATCAATGAGCATCGTGCGGCCGTCGACGCTGAGAAGGTCCGTGTTGTATCACTGCTGGACGTGTTTCTGTTCGTCAGCCGGTGCGACGCACCCATGGGGACATGGATGAAGTTGGTGCAGAATCTGGCGCAGAAGGGGGTTCAAGGATTCCCGAAGAAAGGTTACGGGACCTACTACACCACGTGAGTATTTAGTACATATGTCCTCGTAACATTGAATGCTCGGTTTTGCTAATACCATGCTGTTTTCGAATGGCAGGTACGGCTATGGCGAACTCGTGCAATCAATGGCAACCTGGCTGCAAACGACTCAACTGGAGCACATCCTCCGAAGCCCGTTCATTGGCATCAGCCTCGACGAAAGCACCGATCGCTGCAGGGGCAAGCACATGATTGTTTACGCCACGTTCATCCGCGACAACAAACTTGTGTCCGAGCTTATGCAACTGATCACTGTTGAGAAAGCTGACGCATCCACCCTGTTGAGTCTGCTGCTCTCTCACTTGCAGGCAGTTGGTGTCGAGGTGCAGAGGATTTCGGGCATCAGCACCGACGGTGCTTCTGTGATGATGGGGAGTCGAGTTGGACTGGTGGTTCGCCTACGAGAGAGGGTCCCACACCTCGTCTCGTGCCACTGCATCGCCCACAGGTGCGGGTGTTGTTGCATCTTGCCCGGTCTGTCTTTATTCTTTGTTCATAGTTCTAATACATCCATTATGTTTCATCGCAGGGAGGCACTTGCCGCAAAGGAGGCGGCCGAAGCTCTACCAGTCTTCGACATGGTCGACGACCTCATCCGCGTGACGGCTGACCTTATGGGACACTCTGCCCCGAAGCACCAACGGTTCATGGACCTCCAGCAACTCTTCACAGAGACAAGCTTGGAAGCCCAGGGCATACACCAAGTTCGGTGGCTGTCTCGAGGTGAAGCCATGCTTCGCATCCTTGCCGTATGGCATGCAGTTGTGATTAACCCGAAGGATTACCATTCCGTTATGTATCTGCTAGCCACATCGTACATGTTTCATTTTTTCATGTACTTTTTGGCTGATGTTCTTGAGCAACTGAACCTCCTGAACAAGTCCTTCCAGCAACGGCAGGTAATTCAGTTTGACTTAATATGTTTTACATTGTCGCGGAAGCTACCATACTGACACTGTTCCTCCCCTT